GAAAATAATAGAAACTGAGCTGAGGCCAAGTCACTGCCCTGGCCTTTTCTCTTTAAGCCTCTATCAGTAACTTGTGAAGCCTTTAAGCCTTTAGCAGTAACTTGTGAAGAAAATAATTTAAATGTAACAACATCAGCAGCTAGAAATAAGCTTTAAAAAGCTGCTAACACTTGAAGGGGGGCTGATTCTGACAACCCTACCAAATTCTAGTTAGTAGCTTTTGTTATTTGCATTGTTATAACAGCCATGCAGATGCTGTGCAAAGTAAACACCCTCAGAGTCCCAACAAATTCCATGGGAGTTCTTCAATAAGAATGTTTGGATTGCTCCGGTGCAGGGATAGCCCCTGCATGTTTATTCAGAAGTAAATCCCACTGAATTTTATAGCTTTCGCTCCCAGGAAGTTTATATATGATTCTATTCTTCAATTCCTAAAAGCATCTCTTAACATAATTATGAAGGTTTCCCCACTTTGACCAGGAAAGGATTAACATATACTGCCAAAGGAGATGGTAGCTGATAACTACCATCAGGCAGGTCCTATGCTATGCTTAAGCCAAAGTCACATGACCAATTGCCTAATAAAAGGACCGGCTAAGCTTCAAACAGAGGGAAATTTCAGAAAACAACAACTCTTTTAGAGGTGGGGGGAGGGAAGTTTAAAAAAGGAAGCAAGACCCTCCAGAGCTTTCTGTGGGTGTTAGAAAGAAGGCTTAGGGAGAAATTCTATCTCTGTTGCTCTGATGTAATTACACTTCAGTGCTGAAATTAGTATTGGATAGCAAAATGTGTAATTGTGGAATTGGTAACTTTTGGATAAGATTCAAGCAATTGCATTTCCCTTGTAGACATAGTTTTCTTCTAGATAGAGAAACTGCAACTTATGAATCACATTTAAGAAAAACTGGGATATAAAAAAGTGAAACTGGGAAGATACTATGCATGTTGCTTACTCAGAAGTAAGTCCTATTATGCTCAATGCAGCACATTGCCTAATAAGGATTAACAACCAGAATTACAGCTAAAAGACTCAAGCTGATGGAAGAAGGACCTGCCCAAGGCCATCTAGTGGGTATGATGTGGCTGACAGCATAAATGCCTGATGCTAGCAGGCCCAACTTCTTCATGCAGCATCCTCCAGTTACTGCCAGGACCCAAGTAGGGCCTACCACTGTGAGAGCCTTTATAAAGAAGTTTCCCCAGGTGCCAGGAGACAGTGCCCGGAAGTCATTCCAAGCATTGCTGCTGTCCACCTCAGCCACGGGTCATGAAGGCACTGGAAGGCATTTTGCCACATGCCCAACACGGAGTTGGCCCAGGGCTCTATGTGTCTGCTTGCACCGACCAACTTTACAGACCCTCTTTTAGTCACCTGTGTTTAACAACAACTAATTCCCTCCTGACTTACTCCCTGTTGAGCTGAGACTCCAGGAACATTGTTGCCTTACTGAAAGTTCTTAGTTATTTGGTGTGAACAAAAGAGTAAGAACAAGGGCAGTGCAAGTTACAAAAGTGATGCATGGATGGGGGGCAAAGGGCACTGGATTTCAGGAAAAAAAACTCAGACAGAAAGATGAGCAAGCAGCAGCAGGTGAAGCACATTTGGGCAAAATGCCAGCTAATCTAAGGCAATCTGAAGAAAGGGAGTTCACCAGGGCCCCTACAGCATGATTTCACCAAGTGCCCTTGGGCGGCAGAGCGGTGTGGCCCAGGGCCTCCCAGAGATTCCAGGCTCCGAGTCCTGGTGGACTACCCCCCCCAACGCTACCTCAGAGAGACAGCACATTTGCTTGATAAGTTACATATGGTATGATACATTAGGCTGCAAAATACCACATTCTTCTACTGCCCCGTGATTTATTTTACTAACATGTACTGCATATTTTATTAGGGTCATCTGATTCTCATAGTGCCGCTTCTGCATTAGAAATGCATTCTGTGTTCATGCGTGTTGGGATTATTCTGGGTCAAATTAACTTATCTTGATAAGCTCTGGGAAAAGGATGCAACTCAACTGTAGAGCACTTGCTTTGCATGCAGAAAGTTGCAGGTTTAATCCCTGGAAACTTTCTGATTCCCTGAAGAGCCACTGCCAATCAGTGTTCATAATTTTTACCTAGAATAACAAAAGGTCTGGCTCACTATGATGTAGTTTGGGTTATATTGTTCAACGTCAAATTAATCATTATTTGTTAAAGAGTTTAAATATGCATGCTTCGACATATAATTTTCCCAAAGTTATTTGCAATCCCAACAGCAGATAGCTATAGCTCATCAATTGTAAACCCACATTCAAGGGGAATGTAACAAAGATGAGGCCGTCAAAATATCACAAGTCTTGTCTAATATACTTTCTAGTCTCTCACCCTCCATCTACACATATAATAAAATATAGGATGAAATTTGTCCCCTTTGAATTGTGACAATTATCATTATAGTCTGCGGATCTCTTTACACATCCACAAACATCCTCCATGCATCTAACTCATGTTCATTTGAAACTGACTTGTATAGGAAAACCCTAGCATAGGTAAGGCCTAAGAGATGCATGGCTTTGCTTTACATTGTATACTGGCTAATACAACAACTCTTGTTGAAACACAAAACTGCCAGCAGATGATCTACACACTGCTTTAAGATTTAAATTTGTTACACATACATAGTCTTCTTGCTAAGCAATGCTTCAGGACTATTCTGTCGCTTCATCAGTGGGTGCACTACACAGACAGAAAGCCACCACATGGAAATTACTCCATGAATGCCTCCTTGTCACCTACAACTTTTCCAAACTGCTTCATCACTTCTCAAATGTAGAGGGACGTCAGTCTCCACACCACAGCTTTAGCGTAAATTCTATTTTAAACACAGATTATTATATCTTTTGTGGAGGCTTACAATTTGCTAATTACATATCAACATTTTTAAAATTAAAGGGGCTTTCACAAAAAAGCCTGTTATTTTAACTGCATTTATCAGTTTCCACAATATTTTAAAGCCATTTCATATGTCAAGCATCTGTTCAGATATACTTGTGGGTGCTGTGGTAAACAGACAGATGAGGCGTCCCTTAGTGTTCCCTCTATTACAATATGCAGCTGTGAGAGCTCCCCCTCAAACTGCATGTTTTAACAGAGTGAATACTGACTTGCCACTAACATATATCAACACTGAAGCAGCTACAGAGCAGAGCTATCCAAAATAACTGTAGCACTGCTGAGTTGCCATGTATTGCAAGTGTGATATTTAATATGTTGTGTTTGCAATAAGAGCCACTTCACACTCTATGACTGTGTGCCGTGGTAAACCATGCAAATGAGCATCTTCAAATAAGCGGAGCGCAAGGAAGAATCCCAACAAATCAGCTGACCTGTGTATTTCCATGAGTGCTTGTGGACATGTATGTGCCCTTCACAATTTATGTTGGATGATTACTGACAACTCCAAACAGCAGCTTCCTCTGCAGTTAACTCAACAGTGTATTAAATCAGAAAGCATGAATCTAGCACAGAGGTGCTTTCCCCTTGGTGGAAGGGAGCACAAAAGTGAACAGAGCTTAATCTACAATTGCCGCCGACTACGGTGTGGCTGGGTAAAGAACATGTGTAAGTAAGAGATGTCAGCATGCAGCATATTTACATACACCATGTGTGCCATAGGGTTCAGGTGCACATCTGTCTCCTTTTTCAAACAGCTGGAAAAGCCAGTTTCTTTATTGAAAGGAGGAATGAAACAGCCCTTCCTAAAAGCTGGCTGCAACCTCTTCTAGCTACATCAGAGAATCCTTCTGATGCAATAGCCTTCTCACCTCTGCAGAGACTTTTAGGAAAGCAGAACTGAGAATTGCTCACTCATGAGTCAGGCAGCATAATGCAGGGTGATCATAAGACTGGCTTTGCTCATGAGTTTTTGCCACCACAGGTACTCCAGGGACAGAGTTAAGACAGCGCATATGCAAACTGATAACCTCCTACTTGTAAAGGGTGACTCTGGAGGCAAGTATGCAAGGCAAGTCCTCTGCTTCTTTTGCTTAGCTGAAATGAGTCTTCAAACAAGAAGCCTTATTGAGCAATAATGACATATAGAGAAACTCCTTTCCCAAGAAGCAAGTTATCAGCAACAGAAGGGGGAAGGGGAGGGGGGAGGAGCAGGACCAAGCCACTGCCTCTGCTCTTGTTTCAAGCAGATGGCTTCCTGGAGTGGGATTTCTTTCTGCAGGAGGTAGTAGCCAGAGGTGGTCTGGAGCTTCCATTGTATAACTGCCCTCATAAGAACTGCTGACAAACCAAACAATGGGTTAAATTTGATTTCATTTTACGACAATGCAATGATTAATTAGCCCTCAGATCAGCCAAGATGCACTACTGTAAAACCTAAAAGCAGGATACAATTTATCCTATAAGGATATATATGCATACATACATGCATTACACATAGTCTAAACTCACAAAATGCAACTTCTAGAAGATGCTGTTTGATCTTTCCTTTCCTCCAAAATCGAAAGCATGAGCAAAAGAGGGTGGGTTGATAATCTGGGTCCTTTACATTCTCTCTCCCCCCGCCCCCTTTGTAAGGAGATGTAGAGTCCTTTTGCTTGCCTGGCGGGTTTTTCCAGGCAGACTTGGGGTACTTGAAGGCAAATTTGTCTAGGAGAAATTACATATCTCACCTTCTCCAGTTTTGAGTTTGTTCGTGTGCTTTTAAAGTAATAGAGATTTTTGGGTTGCTCCCGCAACTGAGAACACTTCCAAATTCTCCGCCTCCATTTCCCTCCCCCAATATTAGCAGAAGGCTCCTCTGCAATGGAGAACTTTTTTTCACCATCGTTTAATTCTTCGCATTCCAGTTTTCCACATCTCTCCTAGCGAAAAGTGCATCCAACTTTTGGAAAAGCGTTTAACCCTCTTAAGCATATCCCACGTTTCATCGCATCCCCTTTCCGCTCGCTTCCTCCTCCCCACACGAGCAGCAGCTTCTCTGGAAATCGATCCGCCAATACATACCAGGCTCGTTGCGTTGTCAATAAGATATTAACAGGAAAAGATCCATCGTGCATTGGCTTGCAATCCACAACTGCAAAGGCTCAAGGAAACTTTCAGAGCCCGACCAGCCAACGTGCCTTTTCAGACGGGAGGAAAAAGAAAACGCTAATGAAGAATATGGAGACATCCCCCCCGCCCCCGAGCAATGGGGGAAATAAAACGTGTTCTCCCCGGAAGGTTAGTAACTTCCCCGGCCAGACCCTTGGGAGGGAGGCTCGGCTGTGCTGTGCTCTTGAGCTGGACCGAGCCCTCCGAAGCCAAAAGAAAAATGCGAGCTGGATTAGCACGACGGAGCGGGAGTGCTTACCTCTCAACTGCCCGAACTCTGGAGACCAGTAGGTAGCTCCACGTGCATCGGGGGTATCACGGAAGACGCTCAGAGGACCAGAAACAAATACCTTCAAGAAAAGCGTGTGCCTAGCTGCGTCCAGGAGTAAAGGGGAAATAAGAACTTCTCCTCTGGCATTGCAAGAACTAGGCTTAAAATTCCGCGCTCTGAATCTGCCTGAAGAGCCAAACAAAAACCATTGGCTGGAAGTTACATTTGATTTCCTTCTGATTAACAGTGTTCACACGTAGCACAAATATTCCTGAAATAAGCTTTTTAAGGCGTACCTGTGCAAGTTTAGGCAAAAAAAAAAAAAAAAAGGCCTACAACTCCCAGCATGCCATGGCCAGCTATCCTAGCTGGGTCATGCTGGGAGTTGTAGATCACCTTTCCCCTGCCTAAACTTGTTGAGGTTGAACCCTGGCATAGGCTTTGACATTTATGTCCTGACAAACTCCAAATACACTTTTCCATATATACAACGCGTACTATTTCTTAACCTCATCCTCTGCAGGATTAGGCACACTGATACAATTTAAATTTTAAATCGAGTCACATTGGAGACTAAAATATTCAGTACTATTGCTATTTGAATTATGGAAGAAAGTTAAGGAGCCCTTAATCACACATGCACCACCTCCACACATTATTTCCCCTAATTTTAACCAAGCCATTACCTGTGTCCTGTTATTCTAAGAGCAGTAGTGAAGGGGAATAGGCCCCCTCTGCTCTTCACCCTCTTGAGTGCAGTGCAGAAACTCAATATAGTCACTGTCTCTTAACCCAAATCACCTCACAGTGATGTGATGAATGTGAAAGTGACAGCTACCTCTTTCCACTTTAAGCTTCTTGAAGGAATGTATATTTATTGACTAAATTAATTCATAATCCAAGTACCGGATGTGATACAGCATGTAGAAATGCAGAGGCAAACTTAGGTTATGTAAGAGCTGCTTCTTTTTTTGCTATAAGAAATGGTCCACTTCTATATTGTAAGTAATTTGTAATACCTGATCATGGTTGTGCATTCTTGTTTAAGAAGTGCCTTATAACATCAGACCGAGATCCATGCTAATCCACCATTCTTTGAAGTTCCACCAGAACGGGGATTTACCATCTAACTAACATCTGTTCTCTCCAGTCTTCATTATAAGATGATGATCTCTGGTGTATATATAGTAAAAATTGTGTCAGAGCATCGGTGATGTATGCACTGAATATTGTGCACTGATTGGTCAAAGTGTATGTTTGTGATAATCAAGCATAGCAGAATAAATGCCAACAGCTCTTTCTTTATCCTCAAGACTTGTGTATAAAGCCTCTCCATAACTTGACTGTGTTCAGATGATATACTGTGCCTCATCGTGTGTTGTTATAACCCAAGATGAGCTACAGTGTCCACAGGTACCAAGTTGCATATACTATCTCAACTTAGGGGTTATTATGTTGTGCAAACCTACCAAGTATGGGTTATATGAGGGTTAAAGAACCCTCACAAAACCCTAGAACAGAAGATGAATTATGCACATGTTGTTTAATTCTTGCATAATCCCAGAAAATGCTGTTTGCACAACAGGACAACCCATCAACAAGGGTTGCATATTCAAAACAGTAAGTGTACATTCCTCAGTCTCACCAGGACTGGTGTGGGGCACATGTAGCTGCTATTCTGATTATGCAGTCCCTGTTCAGGATTTGTCATTTCATGTGAACTTGACAACTATGGGTTATGTGAGGGTTAACTCATGATTGGTTTTACAGTAATGAACAGGTTCTTTTCACTTGTGGACACCTAAGTTCCTTGTGGTTTAATTAAACTATGACAAGCAGCAGTTTGCTGTTCAAACTGGTTGTGTACTATTTTGAAGAACTGGAAGTAGAAATGTCAATTAAAAAGATGGCTTCATTTTTTATCCCACTGATCAGTATATGCTCCCTCAGAGCATAACGTGAAAAAGCAACACAAGACTGGTTGTGCATTTGCTGTTGCTGTCGTTTATTATATGTTAAGCTTGGGAAGGCATATTTAAATCCCTGTCTGCTTTTATCCTGACAATTACCCTATTAGGATGTGAGATGATAAGTAGCCAAAGTCTCTTTCCAGTGTAGGTCCCATGCACTACAATACACCATACTGGTCGCATCTGTCTTCTGTCAGCTGTGTGACAAGGAGACCAAAGCAGGAGACAAATGCAGGCTGAAGCCACTGCCTCCATGTGAACAGCAGTGATAGCTGGTTAGATATACTATACTGTTGCATCCAGGCCCTTACATCCGTAATATACACTGCAAACTGCTGGTTTACTATTGTGTGACTTATGCCAATGCAAAAAGACAAACAATTTTAGGTACTACTGTCAAGGTAATATAGGGTTACCAATGTCAATTCCCTAAAAAGGTTCACCTGAGAGTTTTTCCATACTCTAGCGCTGAGTACCGCTCACCAATTTTTCCTGCACAGTCATGGGCAACTTACAGCTACCCAGATGTTTCAGCCTATGGTCCTCATCATCCTTCACCACTGGCTATGTTGGCTAGCCAACAATTATTCTTCTTTGCTTTCCACTCATAGTAAGGACAAATATAATGGCCAACTTGTATTTCTCTAAACTGGGGAAGGAAATACAATAGACTCTCAGTTAACCAGTACCCATGGGGATTGGTAAATGCTGGATTAATGCAGGTTTTGGTGGCTTGAGAGTTACTATTAAAAATAGGCCTAACTTAATACAATACCCCATATTATACCATATCATACCATACCATAAACTCTGTATTGACTTGATATTAATATTGAAATATAGTAATCAAAAGCAAATTAAGTCAAATAAAGGCAGACTTCTACCTTCTAAGACTGAGCCTTAATGTCAGAGATAGTTGACAGACAGACATTACATTCCTCCATGAGCACAGTAGGACTCTCACCTTTCTCAAGCCTCTTGCATATTTGCATATTTTCATCTTCTGCTTGAGGGTAAGCACTATGAGTTTACCCTTACTTGGGAGCTTCAGCATACTTGGGGTAAGGTGAGAACACAAAATTCGAACAACATCATGGTGTATAACGTGCATAGCGTGCCTAGTTTAAACTTACATTTCTGCTGAAATTTTATTTTATTTTTTATTCAAAGTAATATTTCTTTGATTCTTTTGCCAGTTGCTTGAGTTCCAGTTAACAGAGAGTCTACTGTACTTACGGAAGGCACATTCTTACCTAACTGTATTAAATCAGAGGTATTCTATCTGCACCAGCTTAAACCACTTACAAACCAGCTCATATTAAATGTAAACATAAGGAAAATTGTACAGCCATAAAACCTTGGCTATTTTTAAGTAAAAAAAATATAGTTTTGGCAGTGATGAAAGCCAGTACTGGAAGTGTTCTAAAAGATGAAACAGGCAGTCCTTGACAAACTAGATTTTTGATGTTTGTAAGCCGCCCTGAGATGCTTTTGCGTGTAGGGCGGGGTATACATATTTTAAATAAATAAATAAATAGATAGATAGATAAGATTCACAGGGCTAGCTTGCCTAGATCAGAATATTCTTCAGGTAAAGAGCACTTTTAATAATCCCTTTCAATTTCTGGATCTTTCATATTAGTTACATCTAATGATATAAAATAGACTATAAATGCATCACACACACACACACACATATATATCTCATATATACATGTATATATAGAGAGACATATTACTCTGACATGAGATAATATTTTTCTATGAATCTACCTGAATACAATAATTCATTTGTATTTGTGCTGATGACAAATCCATTTGAATAGGTGCTGATGTTGCCATTCATTCTGCCCTTTACATTAAAACGGTACTGTTAACAATGCTGGCCATGTAAGTCTTATCTCCATGACAAGAATCCTGTGAGGTAGGCTGGGTTCAGAATCTGTGACTGGCCCAAGGTCACCCATTTGGCTCCATGGCTGAGCAGGGATTACAACCTAGACTTCCTGAGTCCCAGTCCCATGCTCTTAACCACTACACCACACTGGCTCTATTCGTTTCCACTTTGAGTGGATAGTTAATAAAATTGCTTCCAAAATGTCCCACAAGAAGGGTGCCCCAAGCAGTTGCCTGGGAGAGCATAATCCAGCCCCGAGGATACAACATGTTTTAGACAAGCTGAGCATGTAAGCTAGCAAAACTTTCAGTTTCAGCTTCTGTGGGCAGGAAGCTAGTTAGTTGCTTATGTCTGAGGGATCTCTGATAAGGAAGCAAAAAGCAAGCAAATAATAGTCATGATGCCTACAACAACCAGGAGTTGAGTTGGAAAACAGGAGATGGAATTTCTATTACCCCCTCTATACACGTTGAAAGACCATTGAAAGAAGGGTTCCTAGGTTCATGCGAAATAGCCTTGCCCCACTGCTGGAATTGTGTGCCCCCTCACCCCTCCTGACTGAGATTTCAAGGCCAGGAATGGCTTCCCTTGGAACTCTACCACTGTTGTTTTACAGTTCAGAGGTCTTGCTGGAGCCTTCCCCACGTCAGGAGGCTAGTGTTATCAAAGGCGCTTGCAACCACTCTTGCTGGCCTGGGATGTAGTGGGGTTAGTGAAAGAGAGTAACCATAATTAATGGTATGTGCTTCCCCTGTTTTTTTTTTAAGCAGTGGGGGTCAGAGGACTCCTCTGGAGACTTGTCAGATGAGTGGCATTTGAGAGTCTGGGCTTAGGTGGCTGAGTGTTTTTAGAAACTAAGCTCTTTCTTTGTTTTTGTTTAGGAAAGTACTTGTTGAGAACCATGCTTTATTAAAACTGTGTACATTACAGAAAACCCAAAGGAGAAATAGGAATTTAATACTATGGTCGCAGGGATCAAAAGCTACCTGGGCAGAGTACCCAAGAAAAACTACATGACTACGTCATATCCCAGACAGACAGAGCAGTAGAATCACACAGAAAGTAATAGATGAAAACCCAAAAGGAGAACAGAACTGGAAAAAATATTCCAATGATCATCCATCCCAACTTCCCTTAGCTATTGTTTTCAGAAGGTTAAAGCACATAATGATTTTGGCTGACAAGAACCTGGGTATGATGCTTGTGAATTGCATGAAGGACTCCCTCTCTTTTCCTCTGATAATTTGAGTATTTGAATTTTGTTAATCTGCACATCCCAGCACTTCTTTATTTCATATAATTCATTTCATTTAAGAACCCATTCCTTTGCTGCCTTTCAAGACCATAGTCTTTCCAAGGTGGCTTACTAAATAAAAGTAATGCAAAATAATAAAATATATTAAATATAAATAATGTTAAATCCAATTATAAAATACTGATCAACAGCAAATACCATTAATACATTTAATTAGGGAGAAAATAAGAGAAAGCCTGGGGGGAAAGTGTCTTGATCAAGGCTTGGGAAGATACTTGGCTTTACTCAGCTACTTGTGAGCAGCTAGTGTGAGCCAGGGTAGTGTTTTGGTTAGATTGTTGGACTGGGGACTGGGAGATTTGGGTTCAAGTCCCCACTCAGCCATGAGACTTACTGGGTGGCTTTGGGCCAGTCATAGACTCTCAGCCTAACATAACTCACTGGGTTGTTGTGAGGATTAACTTTATTTATTTATTTACAACTTTTGTGTATCATCCCATCACTGATTTCTCAGGACGGTTCACAACAACAGCAATAACACAAGTAAGATAAAAAATAAAAATAGCACAGCATCCAATAATAATATAAAAACCACAGATTAAATGGAGAAGGGGAGAACCTTTCAAGCCACCTTGGATTTCTTGCAGAGGAAGAAAGGTGTGGTATAAAAGTAATGTAGCTATAATTAATTGGTGTAATTGTCATGGTCCTATGTTTGGCCTCCATGTATTAATTAAATCCGAATTCTTGAATACTGTGCCATGCTTTCCCCAAATCATTAGTCTCAGATGCCAGTAAGACCACTGAACTTTGCCATATATAGTTATACCTATATAACTATAGATAGTTACAGAGATACTATCTGCCAGCAATAGAACTGCCAACAATGGTGTAGTAAAACCAGAAATCATTGGGATTTTTAAAATTAGAAAGCATGTTGCTAGGTTTCTCCTCAGTTTTCAAATTAACTTGCAGTCCAGAATAAATTATATATATATAATATATTGCTCCATATTGTAAAGAATTTGTGGGGAGAGGTCTTGACTAGGCAATTCAAACCCATTAGTTTTACAGATAGGAAGAAAACTGATGCATTAGAAATAGGGTGCTGGAGGAGAGCTTTGCTAATTACCTGGAGCTACCCTAGACCCACAGAAAGATGAAAAAGTGAGTCCTGGATTAAATCAGGCCAGAACTTGGCCTGGAAGCAAAAATGATGACACTGAAGCTGTTGTACTTCCAGCACATCATGAGAAAGCAAGACTCTCTGGAGAAGGCAATCACACTAGAGAAAGTTGTAGGCAGAAAGAGACGAAGACCAAATATGAGATGGATCAATTCCATAAATGTAGCCATAGGCTTGAATGTACAAGAACGGGGCTGTCAAGGACAAGAAATTATGCAGGATGCTCATTCATGGAATTGCAGTAATTCAGAGATGACTTGCCAGCACATAATAAGTTTTACAAAAGAGCTGTTCTTGATGGAAATGAATACTACTAGGACTATTTTATTAATGGGAATTAAGGTACAGTACTTGCCTGAAGTCTTGACCTTTCCTAGGAATATGGCTTTGGAGCCTGTCATGAGAATCTGCACTTCCAAATTTACCACTGAACTACTTGACTGCCTGGCTTCATTACCTGTCAGTTTCCTTGCCAGGGCCCAAGTTCTTCCTCTTATGTTTCTGCTGCATGAAGAAGAGTTTTACTCAAAACCACCAAACACAAAATATAACCCATGTTCTCCTTAGCATTTATTAAGGCATGGGAAACAACTAAAAATCATAAAGAATGTGTACATTTTGAGGTTTGTCACTTCATCAGGTAAGTTATTATAGAAAAGGAGGTTGGCTGGTGGAAATGGGCAGACTTTATCTTGCAGTTAGGATGTCAGCATAAGATATGAAAAAGAGTTGCATCTTTAGACAGTATCTTGTTGCATCTTGAAACACTGACTATGCAGACATCCTGACCAAAACGCCCTGCCTGAAGAGTTCTGGAGATGTTTAAAGCTTGCACATATGCTATCATCTTTGAGTTCTACTAATAAAGAATCACTATATGGAATGTGACTTTTTTAAGGTCAGCACCACTACTTGTCTTTGTTTTCTGCATGGCATGAAGGGATAATGACAGAGCACCATTGCATACAACCCTTGCCATGAGAGAAACTTCTCACTTTGAGCTCGTTTCCTCCCAGCAGGGTAATACAATCATAGGGAAAACTCTGCCTGTGTAATTCCAGCCTGTCATGCAGCTTTTGAAGGGAGAGAGGGCGGACCAGCGGGGTGGCAAGATGGCAACCCAAGAGGAGGAGTGAATGGATACTCGGGCCCTAATGGGGAGGTGTAACCCAACTGCCAGGAAGCCTGGGCGGGCAAGCCCTTCAGGCAGGCGGTGGAAAGGGAAGAGGCGAGAAGGCCGACGGTGGGAGGAGACGCGCCGCTACCGGCGACTGAGCAAGGTCTCCTGCAAGCCTCTGACGCGATTAGCGGGCGCCGCCGGCCTGGCAGAGCCGCTCAGGGAGGCCGTGGCCACGACGATGCCCGACGCGCGGGCTGCCCGCGTCCGCGGCTGGGGAGCGCGCTTCCTGTGAGGGGCTGAGGGGCGGCTGGCCCAGGCGAGGCAGGAGCCCCCCTCCCCGCGCCGAGCTCCGCCTCTGAGCCTCGCTGGGCGGAGGCTGCGAGCGCCCGGCACCATGTGCTGGCGGCGCTAGGCGCGGGCTGGCTGGCTGGCTGGCTGGAGCCCGCTTTGCCTCTCCTCCTTCGCCCTTGGCTTCCGAGAGAGCCGGCATGGCCACCGAGACGGCAGCGGGGCCCAGCGCCCGGCTGCCCTCGTCTCCGGCGCGGAGGGACTTCTACTGGCTCCGCTCTTTGCTGGCGGGAGGTAAATACCGAACAATCCTTTATTTCGTAAATAGCGAGAAGGAGGGTCTTGTCAGCCAGGCACAGGCACGTAGGGCAGAGGGCTGTCTTGCCTGCCTGCCTGCCTGCCCAGCCCATTGGGGCGGGGCAGACGACCCAATATTGCCCGCGGTTTGGGGCACCAGGCTGCCCTTCCGATTGAGGTGAGGGTAAAATAGGGCTTCCTTACACTGGCCTTGCCTTAAGCGGCTCCTCTGAGCGGTAGAGCTCTCATTATGAGCTCAGCTTCGTATATTCTGTGTATACACGCAGAGGAAATCTCGATTCCGTTTAAACAGCGAGGGGTTAACACGTGTTGCTCTGCAGTGTTAGCGGTTCAGCTGCGAAGGGAAATCTGGCTTCTTTGGTCCATACCCCGTGCCGGTATGATCAGGTCCTGCTTGAAATGGATGAGACCGACTTTTGCGGTTCTGGTCCTTCTTTCCTTAGTACTGAGCAAGTTTCTAAGGCACAAACTCTTGTAGACCACTCTTGAAGGAGAGCACCTGTTCCCAAGAGCTCAGTGAGCATTCCTGTATCCTACAATAGAGATGGACTGAAGGTAGTTTCGGTTATACTGGCAGATCACCAGATGATTTTCAGTAGATGGCAACAGTCAGACTCTTGTTAACACCCCCAAACCCTAGTAAAATTGACTGCTGAAATGAAGAAAGCTTGCTGTAGCCAGGACTGGATTTGGGGTGGAAGGACCGTGAGTTCTGGAACTTTAACAATTTCGTGGTCAGAGTTATTTAATTCTAAGTATATTTTTTGTACTTGACTCTTGGTTGGAGGATGACAGGGCTGTTCTGAAAACAAAAAACAGTTCCAAACGTCTGAAGGCTACTTTTCTCTTCTTTTTGTAAGAAAGAGAGGTAATTCCAAGTGTAACAGTTTTAAACCAGGTAGAATATTCTAGGGAATGATTCTGCAGCCCCTAGACATTGTCTGAGGGGTCACAGGATAGTTTGGATTCTCAGATCTGAGTTGGAGATAGTGGCTTTAACAGAGCTGGGAATTGGGAGGAGGGGAGACTGGAGCAACTAGGTATTCTGAATCTGCTTCAGTCTCCTGCCCTCCTTTGAGATGTCCTAGTGAAAACCTGCCTTGCAAAAATTTAGGGTGAGAGGATAGCTTTGCTTTGCACTGCATGCCTGCATGCTTCTGAGTTAACCGCTTACAGAATCTGGATAGGATTGCATGCTTAAGAGCTTTACACTGCTATTGATTTGTGGCTATAATTACTCTGATAAACAAAAAGATACAGACTACTGCCTCATGCCCATAACCTTGGAAGATCCGATGCAAGAGTCACTGAGTCCATGTGGGAAGAAAATGCAAATGTTGTTTAAATGGCAAATATAAAGTCTTAGGGAATAATTAAGAGCCCAGTATTATATCCTAAACTGCTTGCTAAATTTTAGATGATCATCATCATGAGTTTTTTGAAGTTGGGAGATAATGTTCCAATGGTACATTTGGACTACAGACATTGTGATGATTAAGAATAAATATATGGTATTATATTATCTGGGTATTGATTATGATAGAATATATAATTATCAATGGAATTTCTGTTAAAAATTTGACTGAGCTATCAAACCACTCTAGGTTGCTGATCTGGAAAGGATGGAATTGGTGAGCCTTATGAAAAAATACCATGGTGGGGATCCTTGACTTTGCAAATGCTTTCAGTTCTTATAGTATAGCAGGGATCGGTATACACTTGCAGGAAGCAAGAACCTGTTTAAGGATTATCTGTCTTGTTTGCTGAATCACAGACCCAAACTCCAGAAGAGCACAGAGTTCCATAAAAATCTTTCTTGTTTTCACTTGCCCAGGAGCATTAAGTGTTCACACTCTGAGGAAAGATTAGGAAATTCCAAAATTCCTTATAAAGATGAAGCAGCTGCTGGAAATTGTAGCAAATGTGCTCCCTATCCAGCTGAGTTGCTGACTTATAACCATAGATTTATCCAAAGGAAAATGAATAGGGCTTAACAAATGGCCCTTATCAATTAAGCTGTAAGATAATGTTTTATTTGTATTGGAATATAGCTTAGTTCTCAAAGAGCTCTCGAATCCTTACAGCAATCCTGTAAGGCAGGCGACTATTATTTCTCTGTTAAAAATGGAGGATGGAGGGCAGAATTTGACAATGTTGACTTCCCATAGGATATTATTACTGCCCTGAGACATTGTGAAGAGTGGGATATAAAAGCTTTAAATAAATAAGCAAGCTCTTGAAGTGTAGATCGGCTAATGACCTAGAAGAAAACAGCCTTGCAAGCTCCTATACCTTTTACAATAGCTACATTTACAGAAATTGAAGGTGAAGTTTTTCATGTTCAAGTTGATGTTAAAGGCACAGGAGCAAGGATTGGCAAAAAGGTTGTGATGCTGTTGAAGTGAGACTTGAACCAGAAAGCCCCAGATTGTCTACACTCTCTCATCTTTGTGCAGTCAGGCTCTTACAGCTGAATTAGGGGGAAAAAAGACTGTTCCATGCCTTGGCAGTAACTTCAGAATTACTTTGGCGCATTCTTCTTGAGTTAATGCATTTTTTAGTGCGCTTTCCAATTTATCAGATTAACCTGGTTCATATGATCACTGAAGGTCAAACAAGCTGCTGTGGTTTGTTTAATTCCTAGTATGTGTGATTTGGCTAATTACCTGCTAGGGCAAAGCTTCTTGTGTCATCCAATTTCAAGCAGCATGGCTTGAGGGGCAAACAATCTTCAAATAACTCACGGACTGTTGTTGTGGGGCAGAAAGAAAATCACAAAATGAAAAAGCTCTACTTTTTCCAGAAAACCCACATCACTGATTGTTGGGTTATTTGAGGGTTTATTTATTTATTAAAAGCTTTTCTATGCTGTCCAAGCATCTTGGGATGGCTTACAAGTAAAAGAAAAGAACCCGAAAATATAAAACAAAACAAGACATTCTTTCCAGGCTCAAATTACACGACAAGCTGTTTCTTTGTGGGTAATTGGGCAAATTGCATTGACATGCACTGAAGCTACATGTCACAGTGGCTTGTGTGTATAACCTTTGGTGTTTGTGCAAACTGGACTAAAAAGTCTCCATTTTCTGCAGTGATGATAAACATTGAGCAAGGGGAGTCATGTTTACCAAATGTGTGCAAAATCTTTAACAGATAAAATTTTAAAAATAACTCTTGCTGAATGTTTGACATGGCTACGCTATTTGGCAGCTAGTAAAAGAGAGTTCATTTTTGTCTGTTTGAAAGGTGTTGCAGGATGCTGTGCCAAAACAACCATTGCACCATTGGATCGAGTAAAGATTTTGTTGCAAGCTCATAATCATCATTACAAGCATTTAGGTAAGGCAATTTCTGTATATTTTTTTGTGGAATCTAATGCAGTTTGCATTGTTGGTAAAGGACGTAGACTTAATTTTAAAGTTCCTTCTGCAGCAGTAAATACAGACTATGTGCTTTCCATCAAGATTTCCAAACTAAATTTTGGATGATAAGTATCAAAAATGTTTTACAAATCTTCTCTAATGATCTATATGCATTCACACACAAATGGCTGCATTTCTGGTAAAAACATTGATGAATTTTACTCTGTGCCAGTAGTTGCTGGTATTTTAATAGCTGGAGTCTGTTTAGCTGATATGTGTTTTTGGGAGCTCAGTGCTTAATCTTTTACCATGTATCTGTATAGTGGAAGGGTTGCTGTTATGACTTGCTTTCATCAGAGCTGTAACCTAGTAATTGGTTCTGACTCACCAGTTGAAAAACAGTGTTGCAGCATACAGACAATAACTTTGCATGAACAATGCCCACTAACTAAACTGTGGCGGTAGAACAGTGCAATCGTACATAAGGTTTTCCATGACTTCTTGTTGTGATGCACTGGTGCATTTCCGTGTGGTGTTCTAGTAGCTCTGACTTCCTGCTAACTAACAGCGCAGTCCTATCCTCATCAGTAGCATCTAAGTCCCATTAACTTCAGTGAGGCTTATTCCCAGTTGAGTGGGTATAGGACTGCAGCTGAATTTAACAAATTAGGAGCTTGGCTTGGAAGTTTGGTGAAATAAATTCTCATCCTGTTTGTGTAGCTGGGACACAGTGCCTGGAGGAATAAGGAAGCTGCAGCAGTGAAGTATCTATGAGGAAGATCATTGGGCTCAAGGTTCATTGAGGATTCTTCACAAAACAGCACTATGGGTTATTGCCAGGGTGGGTTGTTGTGTTGTGTGAACTCAGCCAAGTTTTTGTAGGAAGATAGCTTGTCATTCAAATTTATGCTGCTTTAAGTTGCAGCCTTATCAAAAACTTCATTTCACCTACTAAAATTACCAAATTCAAAGATACCTAGATACCTTTGCAATAGTTATGCTGACACATACATAGTCTGGTGGTGTTATGAGGAATGAATATCCAGCTTCTTTTATTTGATTCTGGCAAACTGTCTCAGACTTCAACATTATCCTACATTATATGTCCCTGAAACAGAACAGGTTGTATAAAGTAGGTGAGGCATGGTAAATATCAGCGCAGTCTGTTTGAACAAAGTCCTTGTTAGGTGTTTGTAACTTCCATTTCCTTTCCAATACTGCTTTTTATCTCCCTGGATCCTTTCGCTTTTTTCCTGAGTTTGAAACCTGGCTTTCTACTTTTCCTCCTTATTTTCCAGTTATTATTTTGGATTTCTAAACATTTTGATATATTATCAGAATTTGCTCAGAGTTCGTTCTCTCCACAGTTCTTTCAGTCATACTGTTTTGTATGATTGTTCCTACCTGTCTCAGACCATGTATAATCTTTATCAATCCGTCAGCAATTTCTTTTCAATGGTAAAAACACTTTCTTTTTGCATTTATTTATTATTCTCTCTCTGTCCCCTCGTTTTAAGACACCAATTCTGCTTCTGCTTTTACTTCTATGTTGTCATCAGTGTTCAGCTTCCTTCCTCTCCCTGTTGATCACCCTCCTCAGTAACTTTGGTGGACTTCAAGGCAGCATGAACACTTGCCTGTGCCAGTACACGCTGGGAGGCAGTGGCATGGTTTTGGCAGAGACTTGAGCACTGTGCAGCAGTGTGCTTTCTAATGCAGTGGAGGATGTTGCCTGTTACTAGTGTTGAAGACGAATCTGCTGGTTCAGTTGGGTTTTGTACATGGAATGGAAGGGGACAACCTATATTTTTCTTTGCCTCAGCCAATGTCTTGAGCTGGTCTTGGGTTAACTTAATTCTTTTGGACCCTTAGCTCTTGTTCTTGTGCTTCTGAATATGGTTAGCTGAATCCCATGATCTTTCTGATCTTACTCATACAGATTTGTCTCTCTTACTTTCTTTGTACGTTTTCACATTCATTTTCTACTGAGGCCTTTTTTGACCTTTTAAAAATTGACTTTTTTGCCTAGTCTCTTTCCTGCTCTTTCTCACTTTCTCAAGCCAAGGGCCAGTCCTTCTCTCTCTATTCATACTCCTTTGTTTTCCTTCTTCCTAAAACAAGCACAGACGTGAAAATGCGCTAAGCAAGAGGTAATTCCTAGGTGTGATGTGGATGACTAGTAGTGAATATAAGAAGAGAATGCAGGAAAAATGGTTTTATACTTGAGTTCAGTGCAGATATTGGCTCGGCAAATCATCAGGTCAAATCATTCCTCTAAACTTTCAAACATAAAGGCACCACTGTAGAACTGTTTATCTGCTTTTGTTTTCTATATGTTTAGCTCCCCATTCTAGAGGTGCAGTTAATTCTGGAGATGGAGCAATAACTGCAAGTATAGTTAATTTGGCTGTAACATCAGATTATAGTTAGTACAAATGATGGGTTGCAAACTAAACTTCAAATCATGAGTTCTTATTATAGATTAGGAACAGTAATGCAAAAACTTAGTTGAGATTTTAAAAAACCTTTTTAAAAGGATTCTTAAGTCAGCTTCCTTAAACATAGTTGGTGTGCTGTCTAAATTCAGCTGTTTAGTCTGCTGCTAAGAAAGCTATGTTGTCCTAATCCTGGGAACATAACCATTGAAATTGGTCTCTGTTGAAAGAGATTAATATATGTTGGATCAAGATATCTCTCAATAGCGTTAAAAGCTTCTTCTGATGTTGCTTAGGTATATCATTTAGAGTTTTGGACCTGACTTGGCTTTTTCAAAGTACTACTTCTTGGAATGTCATGAGTTTGTGGAATCCTTGCAGACAGAAGAAAGTGTTTTCCAAATTAAAGGAATATGACACTCATACGGCTTTTCTACAAGAAATGCACCTGATGGCAACAGATACATATCAGCTGGCATGAGACTGGATGGGAGAGACTTATGTAACAGATGCTTCAACTAAATTTAAAGGGGCAGTGATTTCAGCCTATAAACAATTTACTTTTATGTTCACCAAACTATTATTGATTTGGGTGGTCATTTTTAGATCATGGTTGTAAAACACAATGAGAAACTAATTGTTTAAATTAACATGTATGTGTCCAACATTGCCTTTCTGCTATTGTTTCTTGACTGTTTCATTCCTTTGCTTGACATGGTGTATGACTGATACTGTATGCGTGTGTGCACTGGTGCTTATATGGGGGGCATTAACAAGATCATAGATCCATTCCTTGATAGGAATATTCTGACCTTTAATAGTCCAGCAATAAAAAGACTTGCAATTCAGGCCTATGTGGCTGAATTTTACCTAATTGACCCTTGAAGAATTATGCATCCAGATAAGATGAGGGAGATTACACCTTTATATACTTTGTCCATCATAACTGCTTTCAGTGAGATTACTTTTAAGTTTATAAAGATCTTTTTTCAGTGAAAAAATATGATACACAGAGTCTCAAGTAAAAATGGAATAATGAATTGGAGCACTCCGTTTTGCCTAATCCATGGTGTGGACATAATTAAATTGACCATTTGGAGGTGGTACAACATAGCTAACACTCCTTTTATTAATATATGTTGACGATGCCCAATGGCTGCTTCCTTTTGTGGATAGCTAATGATCTGCATAAATACTGTGATGGAAAATTCTTTAATATATAGATTTAAGTGGCATTTTAAATGTTAATATTATTGAATTTTATCTGGCCAGGGCGGCTTATTTTATATTGTATGTTTGTATTCTAATGTTTACATTTTTAACTTATGATTATTATTATTTAATTTATTGTTGTAAGCCGCCCCGAGGCTTCGGCGAATGGGGCGGCATAAAAATGTTTTAATAAATAAATAAAAATATGCATGTTCTTCTTAATTGTCTGCCCAGATCATAAAGCAGTATAAATTGATTTTCTGGTCCTTTTTGATAACTAAAAGACTAAATATTACAACATTGGAAGGATAGATGACCACCAGCAATAACACAATGCAGAGGACTTGATCCAGCTTTCAATTTTTAAACCAGCTGTTTTTAGCTGTAATTTACAAATGGAGAAATATATGGATATTTGGACTGCCTTAAAGTCCATACTTAGTTATCGTCAATGGTAGTGTTGTATCTTGCTATATCATTGTATAGCATAGTACAGTATAGTACTATACTGTAATTGTAAGTAATTGTACAGTATAATTATACTATATAATTGTCTGTAGTATTCATTGTAATGCATATACTTACATCTCATCTAAGAAAACTGTAAATTTCATTTTTCTCTCTTTTTGTTGAGTTGCTGAGTTTTGGTTTTGAAGTTCACAATAACAAAAGATGTTGTTGTTGTTGTTTAAACCCCACGTAGACATTCAGTTCCTCTTGTATAATTTTCCTTCTGTCTGTGCAACAAGACAAATCAGAAAAAGTACTGAAAAATGATGCACCTGCAAAAGAATAGGATAGTATTGTACTAACTGTAACAACCATTGAGGATGTATTTGTGATTAGGTGTGCTGGTATAAGGGATGATTGGATTCTTCTAGCATCTACATCCTAAAAATTGACATCAGTATATCTAACATGGAGATTAAAAGTTATTATAAGTGATGTATATCTGAATGTTTAAAAGTGTATGTCATTATGCTGTGTTATATACAGCACAGGTGCATTGTTTAGAACTCATTGTTTATTTGTGCAAGATGTGTTAGGCTTGGGCTATATTTATAAATCTTTGGAGTTATAACAGAATACATTTTATTGCTAGTGTTTTTTACTTAAAGCTGTAATGCTCACTAAGGAATTTTGATATTATAATGACAGTGAAATATTAAAACAGCATTTCTGACAGCCAAGTTCTTTCAGATTTGATGGCATTCTTCTCTTGTATATGAGCAAGTTCAGAGAACTGGGTCTGACTCAGTAATACTTAAGGTGCCTATTGTAATACTTGAATATGTGTTCTATATTTCCGACAGGTGTGATTTCTACGTTGTGTGCTGTACCCAAAAAGGAGGGTTACCTAGGATTCTATAAAGGAAATGGTGCAATGATGATTAGAATTTTTCCATATGGTGCAATTCAGTTTACTGCATTTGGCCAATATAAAAAGGTAATGTCATTTATGTTCCTTTCCCCACCATCATTATTACCTATGGATTTGTAGAAGTTCAAAAAATCTTAAAACACAAGCCCTTCCCTCCCAAACCAGCCTTGTATGAATTGAGGATGCTCAATGGTTGCAGAATGTTTTGAGTATTAGAGAAGAAATAGAAAACAGGTAAATATTGGGGAACAAAATACCCTGCTTGAATCTTTACATCTCTAGTATTCTGGAGGAAGGCAAGGATATTGACTTTTCAGTATTCTGAACAGAATCACTTCTATGAGGAGATGAAGATACTCTGCAATCATTTGTTGCAGTTCTCTGTGTGTTCCAATAGATTCTGCGGTGGCCTTTCTAATGACAATTTAAGTTTGTCATTATTTGCTTCTTTTGTGAAAAACAAATTATTACAAGGCTGCTAGCTTTTGAAAAAAATGAAGACCAGATTTTTAAGTGAAAGAGGAGGATGAATGATCAGTTGCTAAAATTCTTTCAGAAGATACAGATGAGGAATTACAAATTGTAATTACAAAATTAAAGGGGTTCTATTATATGACTTATTCAAAAGGGATGCTATCACAGATGTAAAACTCAAATTAATAAATGCACCCACAAAACCAGATTCCAATATTCAGTAGAATTATATTTGTAAACAGGGACTAATGAACTTAGGCAAAATCAATATAGCAAGGAAAGAAAAGTATAGTATTGTTTCATTTACTTTACTTACACAAAATTCATTAGCAGAAAATTGCAATCTGCCTTAGAAGTTATGGGTAGAATAAGGAAAATATATGGCAAAACATTGGAGATTCTAGAGGAGATTCTGCTGATTTTTCCACTATTTGGAGTGCTGTGGATGTCATACTAATAATCTTTTTTCTTGGACATTGTAATATAAATAACAGAGAAATCATAGGGTGTGATTTTAGTTATCAGGTTAATTAAAGTCTATTAAGGCTGCAGTTACTCCCATATTTATTTGGGAGTAAGTTCTGTTGAATTCATGGGTCTTCCGCATAGGTACATATAAGATTGTACTGTAAAGAAAATTACTACAGAGAACTTGAGAGCAAATCCATTATTTAGGAAAGAACTGTAAAGGGTGGGGAAGAAAAGTTCAGATCATAAGTTCATGTCAAACATCCCTGGGAAGAAGGAGACATACTACAGATTCTCTGATAGAAAAATGGCAACTGTTTCTCTAGTACTGAACTAAAATTAGGTGGCAATATGTCATATGATGACTGCAAGTACTGACACAGTAATAAGAAACTGACCCAATATTAAAACTTTTATTAAAGTAGACAAGCAATTCAAAGCAAAGTTGGGCTGGATTGAAGGGGCATATCTTCCTAAACCTTGCTAACGCATGCTGTCCAGTGGTGGAGAAGCAGGAGTGTGTATGGTTTTGCTGGGTTCTTCAGCCTGTCAGCTACTTTTTATTTTGAATTCCCACTGAAATGAGTGAGGCTGTATGGAAATAAATATGCCAACTGCAGTGCATTACAGAAGTTATATGCACATCTGAGTTTTGGAGTTTGTTGAGATACATGCTATTATATTTTAAAGCAGTGTTGCTAATTCTTAAAATGTAATCCAGTGTTTTACTAAAGTGCCAAACTATTATTTGTGCTTATAGAATTAGGTTCACTTAAAGTATACTAAGGAATATTTTGTTGCACTGGAAATTTGATATTTTTGTAGATAATAAAGAAGAAACTTGGCATTTCTGGGCATATTCACCGGTTAATGGCTGGCTCTATGGCAGGTATTTTGTTCTTCTGTATATTCTTCCCTTTATTTGCCAATTTGAATTTTGCTTCATTGAAGAGCCTAGGCTTAAAGGTCTTTTTTAAATTAAAAATGGTAATAAATAGTTTCCAGCAGCATCCAAAATGTTTGCATAATTGAAAGTGGCTATAAAAGCTTTTGAATTAAGCAAGATGGTCCTTAGGGAGTCGCCATCCCTTTCCCCCACTGTCTATAGTAAGGAGAAACAATACAGCAGAAGGAAGAAATTACTGTCATCATTGGTTATCTTACATGCCTCTTGCGATGCTCACAAGAAAGGTATGTGCAACTAGTTTCGGAAAGCTTGCTGGTAGTTAGAAGTGTACTGTCTCTGAATGCTTGCTTTTTGGTTATCATCCCTAATTGTCAGTGGTGGAGCTATTTTACATGATCTGATCCATTTTAAAGAAGTCATTAAGATAGTGATCATTAGCACATGTATAGAATTCATGTCTACAGAGTTTAGGAACATGTTGTATGAAGGAAAGCCTTTTTATTGTTTATCTTGCTCCCACTGCCAATGAGTTTTATTTTAATGACCTTGAATTTAATAGTATTAAAAGAGCCCTCCCTACCTATGCCATTCAGGGCTTGTTAAACATAATAAATATGTTGGTTCTGTGATGCATTTTAAAGTTTGTCCATCTGCTAGGATCGAAATAGAGTGACCTTCTTTTGAGTAGTATGGAAAATTCAAACACATGAATGATTTCATGAGAAACTACATATTTATGATCTTTGAAATTATATGTGGCCAATGAAAAGGAACAAGAAAAAAATAAAGCAGAAATGAGAGGATGGGAATAAATGGAGGGTGGAATTCATTGCAAGGGAACAACTAGATAGTAGTAATATCTTTCTACCAGCACTTCCTGCCAGGGAGACTTGGTAATATGAGCAAAAAGCATGGGAACCACCATTACAGTTCTTGGTTTGATGCGAAAATGGTATGGGCATGGAATATAAAATGAAAGGAAAAACGGAAAAAAATACTGCAAGGAGCTGTAATCCTGAAGGAGATTGCTGGTTTTGTTTGTTTCTAACAGGTTGAAAAAGCTCCCTGAGTACTTGCAAGATTTAAGCAATTCTCTTAGCACCAGAAAACTAAAAATGAGGGCAATGTAAGGAAAATGCCATGAAAAGTCTATTGTGATGCATCTCCTGGAGATGGCAAAGTTAAACACTATGGTGGAAACTTTCAACTTGGATTTCCTGAGTCTTGTGTAATTCAAATCTCACTGCTAACACTCCATTGGTAAATAATTGCCTTACAGTTTCCTTTAAGGAAAAAACAAATGGAAGAGGAGGAAAAACCCTGATTTAAACTATTTAAAACACAAGTGCCCTGCATCCCTTAGTCCCATGTGAAGGTATTTTAAGAACAAAGGGATTTAAGCTTTCCGAATGCAAAACCAGAAAGACGAGCCAAACATATTTCTTCCCATCAATATGTTAGCTTTTTTCCCTGAAAAGAAATAGTGTTGGAATAAGCATGAGAAATACGCTGTTTTAAAAAGAATGTCACCCCTTCCCTGTAAGTCAGTTCCATTGATTTGCAACCAAAGTATCTATGAAGCATTTGATTGTGCAATGTTCTGCATTAATTTATGTCTCTGAGGCTAACAGGACAATGTAAAAATCATTCTCTATTTTTCCAAATCTTTGGAAAGCTGATTTGTAGCTATGAAAGTACATATTCTCCAAAAGCAAGTATGAGGCTGAGTTTTAAAACAGTAGACTTTTTTTTAAAGGTATAACAGCAGTAATTTGCACATACCCTCTTGACATGGTGAGAGCACGTCTAGCATTTCAAGTAAAAGGGGATCATGAGCGCACTGGAATTATTCATACATTCAAGACCATTTATACTAAGGTAACTGTTCTTTCTCTTATTTTGGGTTACTGGTTTCTATTAATATGTTGGAGCAGTATTTAGTATTTGCAAGTAGAAGATAGTTAAGGTATCTGTGGCAGAAAATTAGTGAATTCATCTATTTGCCTGCATTTTTAAGGCCAACAAATCAAGAAAAAAAATTAATGATCTGGAAGCACCTGATCTATGACATTTTGCCATTCTAATTGGATTTGATCTGCTGTTTGTGACCAGATAGGGGGTTCTTTAATGTTCTCCAAAAATTCTTCCATTATTCATTAAGAATTTTCTGATATGATGATCAGTAGAGGGATGCTTTAGGATTTTTTCATGTACTTTTCTCTGAGACAGACTGCAGTTTGCAGCTAATGAATTTTGTATAAATATGCACCTCAAAACCATATAGATCTACACATACATGTATATAAATGGCAGTTTATAAATTGTACTACAGCCATGTAGTTTTCAGGAGCTTATTTGCAAAAATTTCATTAGTGGTTAAAAGATCTGCAAAATCTGTCTTAGAATTAGAAATCTGTGAGCTGACTGAACATGCAGCACAACAGGTCAGTGCTAATGCAAGGTGAACAAACCAGAATCCAGGGGGCAGAATCATGGCAATCCATTGGGTCTTCATTCCCCTATTGAATTCTATATAGAGCTGTAGAACGCTCAAGAGAATACACGACTGGGCAGAGATTTGTGTCCCAATTATTTATTTAAAACATTTTTATGCCGCCCCCATCGCAACGAAGCCTCGGGGCGGCTCACAGCCTGGTTTACCCTGGTTTGAGTGTGGTCATTGGTTCACATGCTCTTGAAAAAACTGGAACAATCATATGCTGTGGAATGCTTAAGCCCTGTACAATTAGTACAGATGTTAGTATAGACATTCCTAAAAGGTCATGTGCTATGTGCGCAGTAGGTTTAAAAAGAAAATGCTTACCTCTGTCTTTGCACAAATTCATCCTGCAACCTGTGTGCAAATCTTTTTTTTCTCTTGCAGCCAAAGAGCCTATTTCTGAGATAGTCTGCTATGATGGCACTAGACGGTGTTTTGTAAACAACTTTGATATAGCTGGAGTGCAAAATATATTGTGAAACAGGGTTAATATGGTGTGGGACGTGTGATGCAAATATTGGTTGCCACTTAAACTCTGCAATGACATCAGTTTATTGTACAGACAAATTGAACAGCCTGAGTTGCATTTGCCTCTGACAGTTTGGATCAGCCTATAGAACTTGTTGGTGAAGACATATATAATGCCTGAACAAAGGGAAAAGGTGGTTTTCTTCCCTACTCAAAATATCAGTCTAATTTGTCTGCATTTTGTATTCAGATACTTAGATACTTAACTGTTACTTTTGTTCTTGTCATTATTGGCTTACTCCAAAGGAAGGTGGTATGCAAGGATTTTATCGAGGACTTTTGCCAACAATAGTAGGAATGGCTCCATATGCAGGTGAGTTGAATTTGAACGTGATTCCTTCGCAGTCAAGACCATGGTGTTTAATTTTAATTTGCAAAATTGTTCACATTGCTTCTCTTTAAGTAAAAACTCATGTGTTTACTGCATCAAGGGTTAGCATAGACAGCATCAGGGAGGAAGAGCTACAGGAAATTACTTGTCATCCTGACTTGTTGGGCTGTTTAGGCATTGCTCTCTTATTGACTTTCCTGGTCTTTTTTGCTGGAAGAAATTGTAGGAAACATTCCCAAAGTAAGCAGATTTATAAGGGCAATCGGCAGAATACTCTGTTTCAGCTTCTGTCCTCTAGTTGCCCTTAACTGTTTGAAAGTTCAGTACAAACACAAAATATCATACAGAGCTATCAAGTAAGTTATAAACAATAATTATAAAATGTTACGAAATGCACAAAGTGAAATAGACACATTACTTAAAAATACGGATAGCCATGGGGACTAATTTGAATTTTGGCGTTTATTTCTTTCTGCATTCTAGAATTTATATTGTGATTGGAGGGTTGCACTTCTCTGTTTGTGCTTGTCTGTCATGCAACTCTGTCATGTCGTATGGTTCCTGCTTCTTTTTGTCTTCGCTGCTGGGGTTGATTTTGATTATTTCCTATCCTTTTTTTCCAATTCTTTTGTAGCAGGGAAAGTACTCTTCTAGTGTGAAGGCATGTGAAACTATACCTGGAATAGACTGAAAGCTGTAGCATGGTATTGGCATTATTTTTCTTTCTGGAGGGATCATAGCTTTTCCACTCAAACATGGTTTACACTTACTTCATCCCCCCCCCCCCCCACACTCTGTGCTGCCCATGCATGTTTTTGTTTTTTTCTGTGCTGGAATTCTGGTCTCTTATGAGGTGAAATTCACTGTCCAAGTTTTGCTTCTTATGTAAAAAAAACCCCACTCCTCATTTTCAGTCATCAGTGGGACTTGGACTACATATGTGCTTTCAGGGTTCTTGATAGCTTGGAAGTACATTAACCAGTTGAGGAATGCAATTGAGTTACTTCTTTCTGAAGGATGTGTCTACAAGTGCTCCCTCTTCAGACTTTTCTGGTAATTGTGGTATCTTGGACTACATGTGTGTTTGATGTAATGTTCTCATTACCTCCCCAAGCATCTTTACCAAACAAACTCATCCTGATTTTCTGTTGACGAGGCTCTTTTACTCCCTCTGCTGTAGTTGTAGGTGGCATTTGAAATTGTTTGCTTGGTTCTTCTTTGCAGCTGTACAGCTCAGGTCAGAAGGGCTTCTGTGCTGTGACAACACTCAAGGTATCTTTTCTGGATGAAATACACAGGCAAAGATAATTCTTAGGACAAAGAAGAGAATTACTGGGGAAGAGCAGCTATCTTGAAAAGGTCTTAGTAGAGATGAAGGGAGATACTGGTTTCTTACCGTAAATAGACATTGCACTGTGCTGGGAAGGGGTCTGTGTTTTTCCTGAAGTTTCACCTGCTGTTGAGGGATTCTGAATGCTCATGCAGGGACTCTGTATAAGTCGATTAAATACCAAAGTTAGAGGCAAGCAATAAAAAAAAGATTCTCTAATATAAATATGAAAGCAATTTCAAGGTAGGAGCCAGCTAAACCTAAGCCCTTAAGTTTCATTGATTTCTTTCCCCCAGTGCTCAATTCTTCCATTCATATAAATGAGTTTTAAATGTTCTTAACCTTTGGTTGAATTGTGCCTATAGGATCCATGTATCTATAGAGTCTGTGTAGCTTGTGGCTGATGTTTCCATTTAGCTTGCTTCATTTTTTCTTTCAGGTTTCTCATTTTTCACCTTTGGTACCTTAAAGAGTGTGGGACTTTCCCAAGCACCAACCCTGCTTGGGAGGCCTTGCTTAGATAATCCTGATGTCTTAGTTCTGAAAACTCATGTAAATTTGCTGTGTGGTGGCATAGCTGGAGCAATAGCACAGACAATATCGTAAGTTATTCAAGTATTCTCTTGCACTTATTGAATAATTATGAGGATAGTTTATATTGGGAACTTCCTTTACTTGTATTACTTTATCTTGGAAATAATGAACTTTAGCTTGGCTACAATCCTAGTCTTACCCATTGCATTGTAGTCTGGGAAAGGAGACAATTGCTTAATTTTAAAACTAGTGTATAACTCCAAGACAAGAAAAAAAGAGACTTTCATACCTGTACTGAAAAGACTGAGGTGTTACTGAGAGCAGTTTGTTCTGCCAAGGACTCTGTAGGCTTCAGTTGTACACAACTGTATTTTATTTGTCATAAATGCTTCCTCTGAAATTATTTGAATTAAGGCAATTGTTTATTGTTAGAGGTGCAGTTCACAATCAACTATTTGTTTTATCAATTAAAATGAGGCTTGGAGGGAGAGTAAAACTAAATGTAAGGTGTAAAATTTAGTCTTAATACAGCAGATGTTGGCTTGAACTGTATTTGTCAAACTAAGAATGTAAGAATTGCTCGCTAGATCATGCCAAAGGCCTACATAGTCTAGCATTCTGTAGTCAATGAGATGGCTTTGAGAAGTCCTCAACAGGACATGAATGCAATGGCACCATTCACTGAAGCTTTGCTGCTCAGATATGAATAAACCCATGAACTGACGTAGAGTACCTGATGCAGGCAAGTTGTTGAAACTAAGCAGGTGTGGACCTGGTTGGTGGTCTGGATGGGGGATCACTAAATGTGTTTCTTCATAATCTTTGTGCATTAGCATAGGCTGACATTCATTAACTTAATATTAAAGCATTTGAGTAAAAAAAGCTTTCTCTATAGTATTATTTTATTCCAATTCAAATAGATCTTAGTGAATTTATCCTGCCTTTCCTTTGAAAGCCTAAATTTATATACATAGGTGTCCCCCAAGAAACTTGTAAGGAAGGGTACACTGAGAGTTTGTGACTTACACAAGGTTATCCAGCAAGCATCAGGACTGAGTGGAGATTTGAACTTTCATCAGTCTTAGTTCAACACAGCAATCACTACACACATTGCTGGCACTAGAAAATGTTACAAATTTTAGGTGCAGAATGTTAAGTATGACTCAAGTTGAATATGGCTATATTGTTAACCCACCCACCTCAACCACAAATGACTAAACAGGAAGATCAATACTTGGTACAAAAGAGTTCTAGTCTTTTGGTTGGCTTTAGGTTTTTCCATATATAGTGTGCAATTAGGAGGTGTATTACATATTTAGGATCCATTAAAATCCATCTATTATGAGGAAAATGCTACATGCAATGACTTTTTACTTTAACTATCTCATTAAAATCAAAAGCCAGTATCCAGTGTATTCCTGCTGCTAACATAACGGATGTTGGGTAAACTACCTCTAGTACAATACCAGTAGCATATGCTGATGTGACTTGGTTTTTTTTTCTCTTGTTAAATACTTTCCAAAAAAACTTAAGGTGCAGTCTTACTGTTCTATCCGGCACAGTAACCTTCCGACTTGGAGGCTTCCATGCATCCAATGGCTGGAGTGAGGTGCAGGGCTGGCAGTGGACACCATACTTCACCCTATTTATTTTATCTAAAGATGGCCTTAACTTTCTCCCCCTCTGCCCCCCACAGCATGCCTCCTTACTACCCCTTTGAGTTGCGTTTGTGGTATGAGAGGAGCAGGTGGTGTATTTTTTCCATGCTGACTGCAAAGGAGTAGGGCAGAGGCTTTACCTTCAAAGTCTGTGGCCCCCTAGATGAAGTCAGGAGGTCAGACAGTTGCTCCCTTAAATGTTTATTATTGGTTATATTCTGTGCTTTTATATTAAAAAAAACAAATTGTGTATTAAGCTGTACAATGTATCAATAGAGAATTTTGGATATTTTAAAATGTATACAACATAGCATTTGTTGTATGGTATATAATCGGATCAATTGTGTGTATATTGAGAAACATGTATTTCCATGAAAACATTATTGATACTTCATCTTTTAAGTAAACCTCAATCTAACAAGGCTTACAGTTTTGAAATGGAATAGAATGCATGCATTACATATGGAAAGTTGTAGCCTGAATCTCCCACGTCTTCATTTTTAAAAAAGATGAAGCTTGGATACTAGGGCTGGGAAAGACCTTGGCTTGAATGTTGGAGTGCTTCTGTGAGTCAGAAGAGATGCTATTGGGATAACTAGTATAATTTTATCTTAATATTTATATACTGGCCCATGATCTGACCCAGTGTAAGGCTGTTTCATATATTCCACACATTTCTTACAGGAATTTAACTGCTATTTCACTGTTTAGATACTTGTACTGTTATGCTGACACTCCTCACTTTTTCCTCTCTAGTTATCCTCTTGATGTAACACGTAGACGAATGCAGCTGGGAGCAGTGCTTCCAGATTCCGAAAAGTGCCTGTAAGTTTAATCTCTTAAACTATATCCAGACTTGTTTTACTACTTCATCATACCGGCTCTACAGTTTTAGCATCCTCCTATTATTCATTGGTTCAATGAGATGTATACTATTTGTAAAGTTTTGAAACTTACACTGTTGGCTGAATAGCAACAGAATACAGAGGCAACTCTTGCTATATAACAGATCATAAAAGAAAAATGGAGAGTGCATCAGTCCATGAACTACAGACCTCTTATTGTTCTTGACAAAGAGCAGTGTAGCAAACATGTGGTTACCCAGATATAGTTAGTGTCCAACATCCAAAAACCTTGTCAGCATAGCCAGTGTTGCAGGATGATGGGAGTTGTAGTCCACTCTGGAGGGCCACACATTCCCCATTCCTGACAGAGAGAGTGCTATAAAAATACCCATTATGCACAATGATAAATCTTGAGTTCCCTATGAATTATATCTTGCTGTTATGTGCAAGAAGCTCCATTGTGATGATACCCTGCCTCATTCATGGACTTCAAGGCAGGGTCCAAATGAGGACATTTTCCACTTGTAACCCTCCCGTGCTTTGCCTTTGTTAGCATTTTTTTCTTTTCATCAAAAAAAAAAAAAATCCATTAAGGAGGAAAGGCTGGAATAACTTTGTCTTATGATTGGTAGTGATAAGAGCCATTCACCTGGAAGCACCATTTATGGGAACAGCTTTATAATACACTCCAATTTTCTGCAAAGTTGCTTTGCATTTAAAAAAAATGTTTAAATACACATTTAGAAAAACTGTCACTTAAAGTATTTTATGACTAATTTTGTTTTTCTTCTAGTACAATGGTACAGACACTGAAATACGTTTATGGAAACCATGGAATAAGAAGAGGATTATATCGTGGACTATCTCTGAATTATATTAGATGTATTCCTTCACAGGCTGTTGCTTTCACCACATATGAATTTATGAAGCAGGTTTTGCACCTCAATTAAAGACTCTTATAAATTAATTGAAAAATATTTGCTTATTTTTATATTGTATTTATCAGTAAAATTTACCATGTCAAATGTTAACTGAGGAATCACTGGTGTTAATAATAATTTCTTTAGTAAAAGAAGTTACAGTATGCTCAACAAGATCAGGTAAATCATTAGTTTTGCATATATTGTGTAAGATGATTGAAGATTATTGATGGAAATACACACAAATTTACTAAAAATTATTACAAGAAGGAAACAAATTTGAAGTTCTAAATGATTACACTTTTCTATCACGTTTTACTTCACTTGCTTTTTAAATTTTGTCTGAGTGTCTGGTTTTCTAAAGAGTTGCTTACATAGTTTAAATTACAATTGCAGATATACTTGGAAAGTCATTCCATTGAACTCAGCTTCCATGCAAGAGTTTAGGGTTGATGTGTCATTTTGTAATGCACAAACTACTGTTGTATTCATTTCTGAAATCCCGTTTATGGGGTTGTCTGTTTTATTTTCCAGTTGCTAGAAAATAGGCAATGCAACAGTTTAATACAAAACACCTTGACTGGGATCCAAAGTGATGATTAGGCTATTACAAAGGGCTTGCAGTACCTATTGACTAGTTGGATTCTCATGTCATATTCCTAACTGCTTTTGAAGCCCCTTAGTTAAGGGCTGGCATAGATGTGAAATGCTTTTAAGATGGAAAAGGTGGGTTGATCCTTACATGCAGTTCCCCTTCCCTGAATTTCAGAGCAGCTGCCTGGACTTAATATTACGAAAACCTAAACAAATATGAGAGATCGTTATTATGAATCTCCCATATTGTTTCTAGTTTGTCCTTGAGTTTCAAAAATACTTTATCATAAACTATTGCAATTTTTTCCATATAATTATCTCTAAAGCCTCATTGGATTAATGGAATAAATTTCATGACCCTTGGATATTATACCTGGAATTTCTATATCTCTAATGTTATAGTCCTATACATGTCTACTCAGACAGAGTCTCATTGAATATAGTTAGACGCTTAAAGAAGTTCAGTCTTCTGTATTTTACCAAAATCTCAGGAAATACTGAAGCATTTGTTATACGATGTATTTACTAGGAAACACATTTAAAAACCATAAAATATTACATCACTGTGGATTTTGATTTATAAGGTTCAGGAGAATTTTTAAAATAGAGAACATGAACAAAAATAGCCAGTATGGGTCCAAATTTCCAAAGAAATTATACCTCTTTGTGCTGTGTGTGTGCATGATGCTACTGAAAGTTAATGTTATTCTGAAACTTATAGTGTCTCATATATGTAAAACTGGGTCTTTGCATGGGTTTTATTTTGGTCAGATTAAGTGCATCTAACACAAGACTGCATCTGGACCAAGATGGACCACCTTCTTCACTGGAAGGTGAGGGAGAGCTTTTTTAAACAAAGCAAAAACAGCCAGAAAGCATCATACTAAAAGGAACTATCCTGAACCAGTTATTAGACTATTAATCTCAGATCTGCAGCCTTAATTTTTTCAGTAGCTATGCTTGCACATACAGTGTGTATAGTAAGAATGCAAAGCTGTTTATCCATTTATCAGCCCTCAAAAAGGCTAAGCGGGAGTTTGGGCTTCTTCAGATGAGTTCTCTCCACATTGCATGACAACACTGTATTATAGTGTGGATTACCTGTTGTTCAGTGCAGGTGTAGCTATGCCATTTTCTAGGAAACCTGTCCATTTTTAGCAGCAAATCTCCATATTGCCTGGAGAGAGGTCCAGCAATTTTGGGAGTTATAGACAGTGCTAGCATTGGCAGACCTGAATAAGCCTCCCCTGAACAATACACTCTCTTTCTCTAGCAGTCCTGCAATGTCAACTTTCTGTTCCAAGTAGCATGTTTGTTTTTTAAAGATGTGTTTGATAGTCTACATTAGTAAAATCCTTATTTTATCAAGAAAATGGCAACGATTCTCATAATTTTACTGTAACAAAATGTAATTTATTTATTTATTGTAAATACTATATACAGAGTATGAAACCGGTAACAGCTACGTTACCAAAATTAGGAGCTATACAATGGCTATTGTTATGGTCCTCAGCTGGGACGTATACTTTTAATGTTTTATGATTTCATTGTTTTATTAAATTATGTATCTTTAGATATTACAATTTGACATACATATTGGCAGAGATGTACCTATTTTATTCTAAAATGTCTTGAATAGCAATATGACTAAGCATATCAGCCAATATAAGTGCATGTATTTGAAATGATGTATTTTCTTTTTAAAAAGATGTAAGTGTTTATGAAATTATATTAAAGAGATTGCAATTAAACTCTGGCCTTATTCAGGACTTCTTTAATAAAGATAAGCAATAGTGTACGTTTCAAGTATGCCAAGTCACAAAAAAATGTGGCTTTAACTTGGAAAAAGTAGCTGTGTTTAAAATACTGCAATCCTATACCCAGGGAATGTGTCGGCTTGGATATGGTGGAACACATATTGGATTGCACTGGAAGTCCTTATAATTTATATCCCTATCCTTGTCAGATTTATTTGATATCTTTTACTTCCAAGAAATTCAGCTTGGCAGCTGTATAGCTGAATTATCATGAGCTTATTATCATGCTTATTATCATGAGCTATCCCTGGGATAGTTTCTGTAGTAAAACATGCTACTCTTACACTCTCTGTCTTGAATATGCGTCTTTTTTGCAGTGGCATAGGCACAATCTAGTCAGGATGCCTGTACCAACCCAAACTTATTATTGGCATACTATTGAGGACAGAAGAAGCATGGAAGCAAAGATCATCTTTGTATTCCTCCTTAGATGCTTAGATGGCTGGTTTTAGCTGTAGAAGCACTTTGTTCCTGGTTGCATGGAGGACAGGCTGAGGTCCCGTTGAGTTATGTTGATGGAGTCACACTCGCCTGCAACTGTCCCTAGCACTGGTTTCAAGATTGTTGCTTGGAGCTGCAGCAAATCTTTGCCTTTGCAAGGGTAGAGGGATGGTGTACTGAGCCCATAGCTTTAGCTCTTACCTTGGGATGTTTCCCAGGCTGAAGCTCAAACTACAATCTTTCCTGTGGGCATCTAGACTGCATGTAGCACTCATAGAATTGTGCCTTTACTAGAGTTACTGGAGTATAGTGCCCGTATTCCACACTAAATTTACAATCAAGCATTTTTTTTAAAGTCCACTTAAAGAAAATGAAATCTAATAGGTTTCATAGACAATCCATTAAATACTTTCCATATTTTATCTCAAGGGTTTTCTGTACAGAGAGTACAGCTGTCTTCCAAGGAGTAACGCCAGTTTCTTGTGAAGCAAAGGACTATCTTTACAGAAAGACAAGACAACCTCATCCCTTGTTATAGGACAGAAATAAGCAACCTCCGACTACAAGTCCCATCATGCTGGACCCCAGCTGGATTGGCTGGGGTTTATAGGGGTTGCAGTTTAAAACCGCAGAAGGCAAAGGCACGCGCTTCCCCACGCTGAAGGAGAGGAATCCTTTTAGCGCGCGAAGAACGAGGCATAACCAAATAAAGGAGCTCCGCCTGTGCCTCCTCATAGGTTAGCGCGGCGGTTGCGCCTGCGCCTGCGCAGTGGCGTTGCAGGTTACCGGGTCGGTTGTAGCTTTTTGCATGGGAAGGTTCGGGATGGCGGCGGGTCAAGAGTAGACGGAATTGCTGGAGGAAAGAGAGCTGGAAGAGCTGATGGAGAGGAACTTCTTTGACGACCCGTCTCCGCGGGTTGGGTGCGTGGCTTGGGCTGAGTTAAAGAAAAGCGCGCGGTTCCAAGCAGCAGCTACTGTGGCTTCCAATTTCCCGCCTTCCCAGCCTGATTTCGGGCTTGCTCGGGGCGCTTCTCTCACCGCGTCGCGTGGTATAGCCTGCAGGGCAAAGAGACCCTCACTTCGACTCTGTTTAAAGTTTTGGTTTCTCGGGAGCCGTTTTCCCCTTTTCAAGAGCGCCTGTATTTTTTGTGCCATAGACCATTGATTTGCATGAGATGTAAATGAGACGTATTGCATACAGCCCATTAGCTGCGCAGTGGCTCCTAGAACATAATGGGTGTTTAATCCATTCTGTGCCCACTAATTGTTCCCTCCAAATGCTCCTTTGAGGTTGTGCCTTTCTGCCTAGTTTTAATCACACAATTTAACCCGAAGGAGAAAAAAATGGCAAGGGGAACGTCATAGGGGGAAGCTGGGGAAGGGTACAGGTTTCGTGACTCCCCCAGGTTTGCTCCGTGACTGGTATTAGAAAGTAGATACAGGATTTGAAACCCTTGGTGTATTTTGCAGTGTGTTGCCCCAGTTTCATATGCTATTGCAGTTCCATTGTCCAGCTTGTGAAAATAATTACCCACACAGGCGTTTTTATTTTGAACATGGAGGAATATAACTGCAGCGCTTGCTTTAGAACATGGCCTATTTGTATGGTTCCCTTGGGCATCTATGTTGCTTGCTGTGAGAAATGGGTTGCTGGGTTCCCTTTGGATTAGTATACAGTCCCATAATACAGTTAATAAATACCATTGTTTGTTTATTTGTTGATTTGGCCAAGTAGCAATGTTAAATGGTTGGGTGCTCATAGATGACTTTCCTGTAGCTAGAAGTGGTGTTATTTTTCCTTTTTGTGCTTGATATTTCTGCTTTAATGTGTGGCAAGTCTCATGGATCTTATCTGCAGTGGCATCTGAGCCTTTTTTCCCTTTTATATGATGTACATGACTTTTCTGTTGTATGTGCATGTATTGGTTTTTTTTTTAGATTTCCAAAGAGAATCACGGGCTTCTCTGATACCATGCTTTGTAAGGGTCTGAACAACAGGTACTGTGTTTTACAAGTCCAAGAAAATGATCTTGAGAAACATCTGACAATCACAGCTGCTGCTTCTCTTGAGGACACAGAACTGTGCATCCTAAGGAATGACTGGTAACTGTCATGTAATATAGTAATCACCTTGTATGTTGGAAAACATGTTATTTACACTTGTGTTATACAGTTTCTAGAGTGTTAAAAACCAAAATATTTTTGTGAAACAAATATTTCAAGTTTCTGGTTGTTCCCAATAATTTTAGGAAAGGCACAGGAAAACACTGAGTGGAAACATTCTGATAATTAAACAAGAGGACCATAAATGACCTCTCCCAACTCCAGGCCTTTCTGTGACACATTTTTTTCACTCCCAGGTAGCAAGTTTTCAGTGCTTCAAGTTAATTAATTATATTTATATCATTGCCAATTTTCCTTTCAAGAAATTCAAGACAGTTTACATAATTTTCCTTCTCCTCTCAGTCTTATTATCATGACAAAACTCTGAGTTAGGTTGTGTTGAGAGTCTGACTGACTGAAAGTCACCCAGTTAGTTCTATCAAGGAATGGGAGCTATAACCCAGATTTTTTGTGTCCCAGTCTCACAAACTAGCTCACATAGACTGATAGATAATACTTTTCCCCAGTTTTATACATACTGTACAGTTACAGGATAGCACATTATTTACTAACTATAAATCAGAATATATGAATTAGTCATGGTAAAAATGGCATCACTTTAGCAGTGGAAATCCAAGTGCACATAGACAGAAACCTTTTATAGAAACAGCTTTTGTTTTGGTATAAATGAATCAATAGCAGTAAGACCATACTTTGAGCGACCTTGTTCAGACATCCACGACTGCTTTACTGTTCAGCTCAGCTGTTCATTATAAGTTTCCCAGATGCCTCTTATTTTCACCACCTTTTCTTATATATCTTTGCAAAGCAAGGTGGGTTGTGATGGGCTCCTCAAAAGTCAGCATATAGCTTTCATTGGAAATTGATAATGAGGAAAGGGTTATGTGTATAATATTGTACAGAAATAACAATTCAATTTTAAAATACAAAGCTGACATGCTTTTTAAAACAATAATATACCTTTCATTTTTCAGGATTTCTGTTCCAGTTCAGCCTGGAGATATCATTCATCTAGAAGGAGAATGCAGTTCTGGTATCTGGAAAATCGATGTAGATTCGGGATACTTAATTCTCTATCCAGATCTATTACTTTCTGGCACCACTGTATCAAAAGGCATTCGATGCATGAGGAAGGCTATACTGAGTGAAAAATTCAGGGTAAGTGCAAGATCATTGGGTATCTGGATGTTCAGAACATAATTTAAGGTTATTCTCAAGTATTAGTTTAAATGTATTGGACTTAGGTTTAGAGAAAAACAATGCAAATTCATTGGATAGGGCCTGTCTTACGCCTTTTGTATAGCATCTGGTTTTATAGTGCTTTGTGCATAATAAAATTCTTGAACATAAGCTTATACTGAGATTTTGAATCTGAAGGTACTGGAGAGCGAGTGTGCTGTAGTGGTTAAGAGCATGGGACTGGGACTCAGAGGATCTGAGTTCAACTGGGTGACTTTGGGCCAGTCACAGACTCTCAGCCCAACCTACCTCACAGGGTTGTTGTGGGGATAAGATGGAGGAGGAGAGATGATGTAAGCTGCCTTGAGCCCTTTGCAGGAAAAAAGCAGGATATAAATTGCAATATAAATAAAAAATAAATACTAACATGTTTAATGCATCTATCATTATGTGTAGTAATGAGTGGATTTTATTAGTTTGATCTGCCATGACGGCTGAGAGACCACTTTTTGGATTTAAACCTAATACCAGCCTTTGCAGCATTGAGACATGACCGCTCTAATGGTCTTCATCTAAAGTAGTGCTGTCTTGTGGAAACCTATTTTCTGACATGAATGGATCAGCAAGAACACGCTACTCTCAGTGTCTTTATTGTGGGGCAAAGCAATCTCCTTCCCATGGGGAGGATGCACATCCAGCCCATTGATGCTTGGGCTCTCACTGAGCCCATTTCTTTGCTGAGCTCTGTTCCTGGGAAGCTGGGCGCTACTGAGGAGTTATTTATAAGGATTGTAGAATGGGATGAGAGGGGGAGAAAGGTAACACCGTGCAACAATACCATTGTACATATATTACAGATAGATGAATAGTGCATATTAATGTAACTATTTCTTTGGCATTTATAGGGGGGTTATTTTATTTTACAGAGATGTGAGTCTGGTTCTCGTCCAATGCTGATAGGTACAATTCTACATGAAATTTTCCAGAAAGCAGGAACAAACTTTACACAAGAAAAACTGCAAGAAATTGCCTTCTCCGTTGTTCATGGACTAAAGTACCTAAAACAGCTGTAAGTGTTATTTGTAGCAGATGGGCAACACAATCCTAGAAAGCATCTCCTCCTTTCAGCCTCCTTCCCTAATGCTCTGAGGTGCTCCCCTACACAGTCCAGATTGGCCATGTAAGCATTTTCCAGGGAGGGAGGATCAAGGATGTGAAAATGTACGTACTGATTTAGAGTATGCAAATATTCTTTGTATACACAAATATGTTTTTATATAACCATGTTTTCAGGAGATCAATTCACTTACTAATTCTTTTTCAGTAGTGTGCTCTACACTCAGTGCTGTGGATTTTCCAGAAAATTTTTCAATAGAAAATTTTCCAATGCAAATTAGAAAACCAGCTTTGTGTAGCAATTTGTCAATCTTTGTCCCTATGCACTATAAGTACTTGACGTGAATTTTTCTATTTTTGCTGGGGTGGAGGGGAAATTGAAGCATGCTTAGGGCACAATCCTGAGGGGATGCCTGTAACCCTCAGGACTTGGTGGATTGCAGGCATTGTAGTCCTATTCTGTACTTCTGTGGTGGGAGAAGTACAGAGGCAAAGGCAACCTTGGCACTCTTCCCCTCTCTGCCACAAAACAGCGCGGCAGAAAGAAATGCTCGTGACAATTGCTCAGCTATTTCAGGATAGTTCAACTCTCTTCTGCTACAGTTGTTGGGGCACCTTGGGATTTCTTGCCGTTGTTTATTGGTTCCATTTCACTCCAAGACTTGTAGGGCACATTCCAATAGGAATGCCTGTAAACTCTCTGACCTTGGAGGATCATGGACATCCTTTGTGGGCAGGAGGAGTGTAGAGGTGGTCTTTGTGTAGCTCCCTTCCTGCAAGTTAGCTAGGTGATTGATTTTGGCTGTCTAGCTGATGTGATTTGGTTGGGAAGGAAAGCAGGCTGGAGTAATACCAGGATATCTCATATCCTGGCAGTCCTGGCCTCCTCCCTTCCCTTCTTTAATCCTTTTTAATCATCTGCGTTCTCTTTTACATCCTTGGAGAAGAAGCCAACAGGGTCCTTCCTTCACAGCTGAGTGGGGAGCCTAGTGCAGATTCTCAGCTCTGAGGTCAGAACATTTTTCTGACCCTGGAGCTGAAAATTCAAAGCCACTCTGGATACTGTCTCAAGGGGCATAGGATCACTCTGCCTGTGAAATATATGTATACCAGTGAAAACAATACGTACAACTTAATGAAATCACCTGAAAAACATTGATTATAACCTAGAAACTCCCAAACTTCCCTAATACTGCATTTGCAATCCACATACAAATACTTTTATGAATAAATTGATAAAGGGGAATATTTGCTTTATTTTTCTTTACTACATTTGGAAAAGTTTCTGCCTACATCACAGACTACACTGTGGTTGCAATGTACAGCTCCTTGTTTATCAAACTGGGAATGTCTGTAAATGCCTAAACATTTGGGTAACCATGGGAACATGCAAATAAAATATAAATACTTGTACTTCAGTGAACTTTTTCATTATTTCTTTTTTGTTTTATTATTTGTTATATAGTATTTAACTTGCTTTCCTTCTTTACTCCTGAAGGTACCAGTTAAATCTGAATGAAAATGATATTATGCAGGACATAGAGGAATACCTTCCATCTTTTATTAAATGGGCGGAAAATTTCATGTCTAAGTTCAACCATTCAAGCCAACCTAATATGCAATTAAAATTGTAAGTAGTGCTATAGGTAGAACAAAGCTATTTGGGAAAATGGCAGTAATTTTTTTTGTTTTAAATGTCATACAGCTTCCTACCATAAGTTGGATTGTGCAGCTTCTCCTCTGGCAAAGATTCCTGGATGCTTTAGATATCTGATGGTGGAAGAAATTCCCTGGGTTGGATCCAGATGTGCCCTCCTATGAATGGAATGGACAGAGATTCAGCCGAGGCCCTCAGCAAAAGGATGTGGGGAGGGTATTTTTGCCAGTTCCCTGAAGCTCCTGTGTCATCTCCCACACTGTTCTTGATGGTCCCATCACTGTCTGTCTGTCTGTCTGTCTGTCTATCTAGACAATTTATATGCTGCCCCATCACATGAGCCTCGGGGCGGCTTACAATTATTAAAATCCCATATGAAATGCAAAAAATTCATCAAATTCAAAAATGCATGCATGCATTCTTGTTCTTGCATTAGGTTTTCCTGTATTCATAAATGCAACTATTAGCATGCAAGAACGGTATCTTCGGTGACCCAGCTACACACATTTTGTGTGTGTTCATCCATTTACCTTCAGCAGAATATCTGCTAGAGATCCTATCACGTGCAATGCTCCATCTTTCTTCCTGGGATCAATGTTGGGCTCAGTGAGGATCTGATAGCAAAATGTCATCATTTTTGGTAATACCTCTTTTCTAGAGCAGGTTCCTGGGAGAGACAGGAGGAAGGGGAATTGGTTTAAATAATTTCCCCTCCTCTAGCTGATGCATTCATTGAGCAGAGTACTACTTATAGGAATTCTGAATCCAACCCAATATTTACTTCAGTTCTCACTTGGATTAAAATTCTCCCTCCCCCTCAACTGATTCCATGTCATTTCATGTTCCCATCTATCTTAGTGTTACCAGACAATTGCTAAATTCTACAAAAGGCTTGATAACAAGCAAAACATGTATGATTTCATTGCTCTCACCACATTGTGTAACTAATAATTATTAGGCAAAAATAGCAATATTTCCCGTATGTTGGCATATTCACAAAAAGAAAATGGGAGCAAATAATGTATCTGTAGTGTTGATTGGAAAAGATGAATGGTTAAAATGGAACAAAGCCATGTAGTATGATGCTAATTTTGGTTTGCAATAGAAGAAACATAATAAAAAATGACTACTCTTCCTATTATTTTTAGTATTTCATGTTTCTGCAATACCTCTCTTCCATCTAACACATATCTAGTCTCTGTTGCAGAAATTCCCTATCTTTTACTGCACATTCTGCAGTTCCTTGAATCTGTCAATAAAACATTCATTTAAAAAGCTAGCTGAAGTATTTCAAGGGTCTTGTTCTCTTACTTGTGAGTGAAATCAGTTAAGAAAAGTAAGCCTTTTAATGCAGAAGTTCTACAGTTCCCAGCATTTTCCAGCTATCATGGCTAGTTGGAGGGATGCATGGAGTTGTAGGATTTTTTCTATCTGAACATCCATTGGACTGTACCCTAAGGTGCAATTTTATACCCACTTATTTGGGAATAACCCCCATTGAACTCAGTAGGGCTTACTTCTAAGTAGACATTTAAAGAATTGCACGGTACGTGGATTTTGCCCCTTCATCAAGTACCTGCTTAGGAAAGGAGACTTTTTGCCTGCTGAGGAAAACAATTCCAGTTACCGTAAATAATTTGATTTTTGTTTTTGTTTTGTAGGCCCAGAGATATTGATTACTCCTCTTGCACTGTCAAAGTTACAGAAATCCTGGATGTTGAGGAGAATATCTGGTGTCCTAGATTTGGTTTAAAGGGCAAGATTGATGTTACAGTTGGTGTAAAAATTCATCACAGATCTAAAACTCATTTCAAGATAATGCCACTGGAGCTTAAAAGTGGCAAGGAATCTAACTCTATAGAGCATCGAAGTCAGGTATGTCACTTTGTTGTTGTTACTTGCAAAGTTGTGTCTGACCCATCATGACCCCATGGACAACATTCCTCCAGGACTTCCTGTACTTCACCATCCCCTGGAGTCCACTTAAGTTGACGCCGACTGATTCAGTGATTCCATCTAGCCACCTCATTCTCTGCCTTCCCCTTCTTCTTTTGCTGTCAGTTGTTCCCAGCATTAGGGTCTTCTCCAGTGAGTTCTTCCTTCTCATTAGGTGGCCAAAGTATTTGAGTTTCAATATCTGGCCTTCTAAAGAGCAGTCACGGTGATCTCCTCTAAGACTGACCGGTTTGATCGCCTTGCAGTCCAAGGGACTTGCAGGAGTTTTCTCCAGCACCACAGTTCAGAGGCCTCAATTCTTCGGCACTCAGCCTTCCTTATGGTCCAACTTTCACAGCCATACACTGCAACTGGGAAAACCATAGCCTTGACTATATGCACTTTCATTGGCAGGGTGATGTCTCAGCTTTTTAGTATGCTGTCTAGATTTGCCATAGCTTTCCTCCCCAGGAGCAAGCGTCTTTTAATTTCTTGGCTGCAGTCCCTATCTGCGGTGATCTTGGAGCCCAGGAAAATAAAATCTGTCACTACCTCCATATCTTCCCCATCTATTTGCCAGGAGGTGATAGGAGTGGATGCCATGATCTTAGTTTTCTTATTGTTGAGTTTCAAGCCAACTTTTGTGCTTTTCTCTTTCACCCACATCAAGAGGCTCTTTAGTTCCTCTTCACTTTCTGCCATTAGAATGGTGTCATCTGCATATCTGAGGTTGGGTATGTAACTTAATGTATTTTTAAAGGGTACCTGAAAAAGAGTGAGTAGGTATACATAGAAAAGTAGCTGACTCCTGTGACAGAGTTTTGTGAGAGCTTTTGGGAAAAGTGCCTTGTGCATCAGGCACGATGGATCCTCTCACAGCCTCTAGCTTCTAGAGCAAGTACTGGAAATAACATGGTTGGGTTGACTCATTCAAGCCCAATTGAATGCCTGTACATCATGGTGATGTTGGTGGTGAAGAAGTCTTACCATTGTGCCAACATGGCATCTGCTCCCAGTTGTTAAAAGTCTTGTTTGGCCACCTATTGGTGAACCTGTGGACCAACAGTAATCTCTTGTGACTTATTTTTGAAGCATCTTGCAAATAGTCCCCTTGCTTTCTGCTGGTCATAGTTGTTTAGTTGAATGGCCCTTGAAAATCCAGGCCTTGGAGTGACACAGTGTGCCTGCTTCTCTGCTGCCTTTCTTGACTAATAAGAGTTGGCAAAGGGAGGCTCTTTGGCAGTCAGACCGGTGCCAAATACATCTGTACATGGTAGAGTGTTCTTTGTTGGCAGCGGTGACTCTCCGTCGCTAGAGTCTGTTGACTTTGGCAATTCTAGGCCAGTCTCTCTTTCTCTTAATTAATTAATTATTTTAGCGAGATGCTGGCCAGGCAACTTCACTTTGGCTCTCATGCAGAAACGGTCATAGAAGGGAGCCAATGATACCAAGCTTTACATCTTTCCATCTCCAAATGTCATGGTGGCTTTCTTCAGTTAAGAATGAAAGCTCCATCTAGAGAAGATAGAATTAATGTTAGGAACTCATTGGACTGGCTAGATGGGGAGGTATTTGTTCTGGATTAGGAGCATAGCTTCTTGTTTAATGCCCAGTATTTTTGCTTGGTTGTAGTGTCTGTTGACTAGGACTAGGTATTCACCCATTGTGGTTTAACATCTGTGCTGCTAATGAGAAAAAGATAGATGAAGCTCATCAGTCATAGCTTGATAACCTCTAAACTGGGTTTCTGTAACATGTAACACGTCGGATAACTTACTGGGGGGACTGCAGTTTTAAAGCCTTTCTTACTACAGCAAAACATTGAAAATGTATTAAGTTTGCTTCCACACTTAAGTTTTCATTTAAAAATATATTTTCAGATTGTTTTGTACTCACTCTTGTGCCAAGGAAAGCGAATTGATCCCGAAGCTGGATTGCTCCTTTATCTTAAAACTGGTAATATGTTTCCTGTACCTGGAAATCGCCTAGATAGGAGAGGTAACGTTTGTATCTACAAAAATACCTAGCTAGAGATGTATTTACAAGTATTTCCACCCCACCCTTAAACAAATCCTCAAGGTGACTACTACCAGGTTTACAAAATGCTATTAAAAATAGCATTTTTAATATTTGCTATTACTAATATTATTATTATATCAGGCAAACAAGAAACAGATAAAACAGCAGCAGAATTAAACAACAGATGGTGAAAACAATACTAGAAAAACACTGTACCAAAAATCTGTGTAAATAAAACAGCTAATTTTGGTTTCAGAACGTCCCAAACAGGTTTCTCTTGGGAGGTCAGTCTACCAGCTGGGTGCTATTACTGAAAAGGCAGCCTTTGGTAGTTACCTGTCTAATCTCTAAAGGCAGAGGGATTTGGAGCAGGATCCCCAGTAACAACCTTAGCAAATGGGTAGGTTCAGAGACTGGGGGAATGCAATCATTTAAATACTTTGGTTCCATGTGATTTAGACCATGATAGGTCCATGCCAGTTCTTTTAATTGTGCCTGGAGATGCAGTCCCACCTATACGCCATTAACCTGATCCAAGCTGGAGGTTACCATGACAAGGGAGATCCAGCCGATACGCTAGCTATAATCGTGAAAAGGCAGTTCTCAGGAGTCCGGAATTTCATATTGTCAGGGCAAGTATTCAGACAGTCTCTGGGGAACATCACAAGCCCAGATTTCTTGTAATGCTGCAACTGCAAGCTGGACAGATGATCCCTCTCTCCTCCCAAAGTCTGAGGGAAACTTGAAATTTTTGTTGGCTCTGTGCTTGCTGAATGATTGGACTTCCCAGCAAGTACAAAGCCACAGCAAAGCCTCTGCTTCCCCTCTGCAGCTCCAAGCTATCTCTGCTCTTATGTGATCTGAGCACCCAAGAAGTGGTGTCCTTGGTTCTTTTGACCAGCTCTGAAATGGAATGAGATTAGGGCTTATTTTCACATAGTGCAAATCATTCATGCCCTTACCCAGCTTCGAGGACACTCCCATTTTTGAGAGTGTCTATGAGAATAATTTCCTTCTAGGATGCATGGAATTTATAGATTCCTCTCTGTCCTTGTCCAATTAATTGAGTTAGAAAAGATGGGGGCAATACAAATTCAGTGCATTCCAACAGAAAATGAAGCTCTTAATCGTGTGCTCAGGTGCATCAGAATTTTAGCAAAGGTCATATGGACCTCTTTCCCATCTGCAACAAGCGTTCCCTGCTGTCCGTTCTTCTATGGTGCTTGGGAAAGTGGAAAGGTGTGGGGAGGACCGGGGCAGTTTCCTCTAGGTATTTTCCCTCCTCTCAGCTTTCTCAAAAGGACATAATTTTTCTGAGAATTATTTGGAATAAAACTTGGAAAAACAATTAATTATGAGGCAAACTGGAGGAATTGGTCCATTATGCTTCCACAGTCAGTTCAACCATGTACCACAGGAGTGCATCTACTCTCTGCTAGAGTTAGCTCTAGAAAGCTTTCCCTTATCAGAAATCAAAGAAAAAAGAAAGCTTGTTAACCCCTTCACTCACTGCTTAGAGATAAGGGTGTATGTCTTTGCACACACATGTGCAGCTCCCTAGTGCAGCTCCCTAATGCCATCCGGTATGGCTCTCAGGGCCAAAATGACTGAACATCCCAATCTATCATCTTTTCTGTATTAAATAACAGTCCAGTGCTCTCACTACAACACTGATAGTAAATGGAAACAGACAAAACTCAGCACCAGATTCCTGAACAGCCTCACTCAGCAGTTTCATGTAGATGGTATGCTGGACAGAAAAGAACCATGAAGCACAGCATGGCTTAAATGTCATGGGGTGAAACAAATCCCCCAAATTTATGATTTGGAATCTGTGTGTCAGGTAGGACAGGGTGTGGTGCCTCCATTTCCCTTCCCATATAGGTTTCCTAGAACTACAATATGATGTGGAGTCCAGATCAATAGGAACTTGCATTCCTTATCTTCCAGGATAGGTTATCTACTGAGGCAACCGAAGTAGCTTCTCAAAAGTAGATAGACATTCATCTAAATAATTTCTTTCATCCAAAGATGTCTGGAGTTTTCCCACTATCACCTGTTCTTGACATTTCTAAAATATTATAGATGACACATAGATGAATTTCTTCACTGATTCCATGGCTGCTGTTACTCCTTTAGAGCACTAATTGACATTTTTGATGGAAGGTATCTTGAGTAAAGAGAAACACAATTTCATGTTTAATGGGAACACCCCATGTAGCAAGGTCTTCAGTGACAGGACAGGCTTCAGTTGTGTTGGAAGGTCACGTGATAATTCCATTTTGTCATAAGTAGCTTATGGTGGGGGCAGGGAGGGGTAATCATCGTGGTTAATCTGTGGTTAACCTGAACAAGTCAGGTAACCAAGTTTGTGTTGTGCTTTTCTATGTTTTGAAACTTGAAGCAACCTGGACATTGTTCTTTTTCCCCTTTCTTGTGCAGAACTAATTAAAATAAGAAATCAGTTGGCCTTCTATTTGCTCCACAGCACATGTAAATCTGACTCGGGGAAGGAGCAGACAGAGCTTGCTTCTTTGCCTCCTTTTACTGATGATAGTCACATGTGCAGCTATTGCTCTCAGAAGCAGAACTGTGTATTGTATAGCAGGTAATTCCTTTTTAAAGACATTTGTGTATAAATGGCTTTTTTTGCAAGTTGACCCCAATTCAGCATGTTGGGTAGCACTGTTTTAGTAAGGTTCAGTCTCTATAACCCAGTATCTGTATGGATAAAACTATACCACTGGAGAAGTTTGGGTGATATAGAAATGTTGTTAATAAATATTGGATAGAAGTGTGGTATGGTTGTTTTCTTTCTTTCATACAACCGCAAGACCATAATAGCAATTGAGCATTTTCACAGGTTTCCATCATGTTGGATACACAATAAAGCTCAGCTGGCCTTGCATAGTAATCCACTGATGCAGTGGAATGATTCAGTGGATGTCTGTATACTGTCTGTCTGTTTCATGCCATATTGTGTTTGCTATAATTTGCCAGCCCAGCAAACAGGAATGTAGACATACCTAAAATGGTGGTTGTTCTGTGAGAGAAGAAACCAAAAGGGTAGCACAACATGAAGGACAAGCAATAGAAAGGAACAGAACAGAACTAGATTTTTAAAGGGTGAAAACTCATAAAAATATCTCTGAAGTAAGCACACATTTTTTTAAATGTTAACGTTCTATGAAGTTGCTTAGCAGAAAAACAACCTTTGTCAGAGGTAATACGTCATCTTAATTGCAATTATACATAATTTTCCAGGGAGGCTTATGTTGGGTTTGTTTTAGAGTTGCAGAGCACCAGAAAAATATGTCAGTTTCTCCGGATATGGTCACTGCTGTTGAAAAAGAGATCCAGCATCTGGAACCCTCTCACTTGGAATATTTCCGTCTCTGGTATTTGATGCTAACCTTGGAGTCCAAATACAAAGATGAGAAAAAGGGGCATAGAAATATATGGATGATACCGGCTGCAGAAAGGTACAAAAATTTTGTCATTCTTTTAAAGATCATTTACTAACTTTAAATTTGGGAGTAGCAACACAGTAGGCATTGCTGTGCTCCTGGGCCTGCCAGGCTCTTGCCCCTCCTTTTTTTCATTTTTAGATTTTCATTTTTTTGTTTTTGTAATCAGGAGGCTACCGTGCTGCAAAAGAAAGGGCCAACATATCATGCCATCTTAATTTCCATGGGTGCTGATAGGCCCTACAAGCCTAGCATTTAGTTCTGAGACATTTAAGCATTTCCAGTTTGTTTTCTTTGGAAATGATACTATTTTGGCAGGGGTGTGAATATGCATGACTTGTATTTATGGCTCAGACTTTGTCTTTTACTCAGTTTCTTGTCTTAGCTGCGTTGCTTCATTGTTTCTGAAATGGTTACTGAAACAAAAACTATGGCTTCAGAAGTGTAGCTGTATGTTTTTGAACAGGGTTTCATTTCTGTCTTGTGCATAGGTTCTTGGCCAACTAAATTTTACTTTTTTCTCATCAGTTTGTCTTCTGGGAGTCAAATGTTCTGTGACTAGCCAGTCTTTTTGTAAATAGCAAGCTTCCCCATGACAGCCATTTTATGAATGCTTACAGTACTTTCTCAGAATTTCAAAGGTATCTCATGGCCTGAGAAGACCCCTATTTTAGATATTGAAACTGCTATCATCTTATCTAAGTTTTCCACACTATTGTGAAGACGAAAGAAATGGGATGAAATGTCTTGCAGTTTTTCTTGATGGTTAAATTAGATGGATTAGTGAGTGTGTACAGCATGTTATCCAAGGCTATAATCTTAACTTTTATAGAGAGAAACACGGAGACTGCATTGGAAATATGATCAGAATGGACAGTGTACAGGAAGTGACTGATGGACAGTATCGGCACTTGTTTCAGCGTAAAAATGATTCTATGCCTGTGACAGCCCTGATGATAGGAGACAGAGTTGTTGTGAGTGGTGAAGATGGTACTTTGCTTGGCTTGTCTGCTGGCTATGTTGAAGAGGTCAACAGAACCAACATCTCCTGCTTATTAGATAGGTAATACAATGCAAAAATGCTCAGTGCTTTGATTGAAAGGATAATTTAATACAATAACTGTTCCTCTGAGGCAGCAGCCCAGTTCATGTGTCACAGCTTCCCAGAGTTTAAGGAAGCCCTGACCAGGTGTAAGTGTGCTGGCTCCTACCCACCCCTGCTGAGTTCAACAACCTGAAAACACTCAGTGCTAGACTTGTTTGTTATGATGTCCAGTCTCAGAATTGGAGGTTATTGACAGAAGAATAACCCAGACTTAAAACCCCTGTTTTCTTGGGTTACAAGTATGGGTTGTTCTTCCCCCAACAATGTCCAGTTCTGGGTTCTGTTACCATGATAAACAACCCAGGAATGGAGCATTCCTGGGTTGTGTAACTCAGTGGAAATGGACAGTCAGGAGCCACCTGATTCCCACTTCATTTTTATGGTTTCTGATGTCCAGACTTAGGTCGTATTTCATAGGTTATTTAGCCCTAAGAGAAAATGTAATCTCCCATTTCTTCAGATACATTCCTGTTAGCATATTATCAGAACACATAGCATTTTAAGAATAGCATAATGAAGGATGGGCCCTTGCCCCCAGAAGTTTGAAATCCTGAATTTAGAAATGGAAAATGTAGAGTGAGGAGAAAGAGGTGAAACAACTGTTCACTGGTCAGACTTTTTAGTGTATGTCTTATATGTGAACAACAGGGAATTGGAGCTGCTTCGGGGAGTAGAATTTAACTTCTTCGTTGTGGCCTTTGTGCATCACGCATATGGGTGCTGCGCCTGCGCAGTGCAAAGTCTGGAAAGATTGCAAAGCTTAATGGTTTTTGGTGGGAAAACTCCGCTCCCCTCCCTCCTAACGATATAAATGGAGCAGAGTGCCCGCCATTTTCCCAGTCTACTGGAGACCGCCGTTCGCTGTACCTCGAACCTTTTGCCTCTTTGTTACTACTAGCTCTTTAGATCTCATTCCTCTACTTGTTGTTAGTTGATAGTTTTATAATTCCAAGTTTTTCCCTTTCCTGTTTGGAGTTCTCTCTCATTTACTCTTCCCTGTTTAAAAAGAAAATTACCCCTTTTTTCTCTCCTACCCACTACTCTCTTCTGTTCTTCCCCGCTGGCGCAGCATGCGGCTTTCTGCAAGTGCTTGCAGTGCAGGTCTAAAATGTCACCAACTGACCCGCATGATCTGTGTCTCCACTGCCTCGGAGAGGGCCACAGGACTGGCAAATGAGGCCATTGCCAGGCCTTTACAAAGCAGGCACGAAAGAACTGGGAGAATCGCCTGCGAAAACTCCTGTGAGACCAGGCCCTCCTACAGTCGGGTCAACTGGCCGGCAAATCTGCCCCAGCCTCTGCTTCCACCGCTCCTCCACCCCACCCATCGGTTGATGGTGCCCCAGTGCTGGAAGCTCAGCGACCTTCTTCTCCCCCTCACAAACAGAAAGAGAAGAGGAAGCATGGTGGATCCAAGAAGTCCTTGGGCCATAAGAAGCCCAAAAAGGACAAGGCAGAAAAACCGACCCATAAGCCTAAGAAAACTGATCACCTGAGACACCATGATTCGGGCTCCTCCATTCCATCGGTTCCGACGGCCACCACGGTACTGACACCAACAGGTCCGGCCCTCCAGATGGCCATGCAAGTGACCCCGCCTGGGTCTCCGAGGCGAGTTGTTTGGTTCACTCATCTCCCGAGCAACCTGATGTTCCCTTACAGGGATTGATTTCTTATGGACCCTCTATACCGACACATCCCTGACAGGGTGGGGAGCCCTGTGCGCCGGCCTTTGAACGCAGGGCACCTGGGACCAACAGGAATCCACCAGACACATCAATTATCTTGAACTCCTGGCAGTCTTCAGAGCACTTTGCTCTTTCGAGGACACTCTCCAGCGACACATTGTGCAGGTTACCTCCGACAATGTTGTCGCTGTATTTTATATAAACAAGCAGGGCGGGATGAAGTCCACTCCCCTCGCCCGTCTGACGATGCAACTGTGGGACTGGTGCATCCCCAGGGACATGACTCTCCTTGCAGTCCAACTGGCCGGTACCGACAACAAGGAGGCCGATACTTTGAGCAGAGAAATGTCAATGACCCCCGAATGGGAACTGGATCATCCAACTTGCCGTCGCCTTTTCCTCAACTGGGGCTATCTGGACATAGATCTGTTCGCTACTCACAAGAACAGGATCTACGACACATACTGCTCTTGTGCCGGCTTTGGTCCAGGTTCAACAGGAGATGCCCTGATGATCCCTTGGTCCAACACACTTTTCTATGCCTTCCCTCCGATCCCACTTATAACAAAAGTTGTTTCCAAGATCGTCCACGACAGCGCTATGGGGATTCTGATCATGCCTTGGTGGCCCTGTCAGCCATGGTTCTCCACTCTCTTCCAGCTATCCAGCAACACTTTTCTCCGGCTGCCGCTCATACCACATTTAAGAACCCAGCAGGACGGAGCTGTTCGCCACCCAGACCTTACTTCACTAGGTCTTACGGCCTGGCTCATTCGGTGAACCACAATACCGATCCTGTACCGACAGAACCAAGGTCTGCCATACTTACCAGACACAGTCCTGATACAACACCCATTCCCTCGGGTTTGATAGACCCTACATTGGATCCGAGCACTCTCCATCCCGACATCCAGCATATTCTTCAATCTGCCTTAAGACCGGCAACGTGACGATCTTATGCGGCGAGATGAAATCGATTCTCATCCTTTGCAGAATCTAATTCGCTTATCGCTTCCTCGGCCTCTGTTGAAAACATCCTCCAGTTTCTTCTGTCACTACATCAGTCGGGACTTAAACCCTCCTCCATCAAGGTTTACACAGCAGCAATTTCCCACTACCGTGGTCAAGTGCAGGACTCCTTGCTGTTTTCCCAAACAATCATTCGTAGGTTCCTCAAGGGATTGCAGAACCTCCATCCACCAATTCATCCTGTCATGCCCACCTGGAGCCTCTCAGTTGTCCTTCGAGCACTCACCAGAGCCCCCTTCAAACCCCTGGCACCTACTGATTTACGTCTCCTATCTTGGAAGACTGCCTTCCTCGTAGCTGTCACTTCGGCCAGAAGGGCTAGTGAACTTTGCGCACTTAGGGTAGACCCTCCCTACCTGAACTTTCATAAAGAAAAAGTTGTTCTCTGCACTGATTTGGCGTTCTTACCTAGAGTCGTGACACCATTCCATATCAATCAGGACATTGTATTACCTGCCTTTTTTCCATCACCCTCTTCTCCGATCTAACGGTCCTTGCATTCCCTCAACGTTTGTCGTTGTCTTGCCTTTTACAGATCTCGTATGGAATCCCTCCGTAAATCTAACCGTCTCTTTGTAAAATATTCAGACCATGACAAAGGTTCCCCTGTGAGTTCACAGAGGTTTTCGAAATGGGTTGTGCAGACAGTCGAGCTGGCGTACCAACTTGCCAAGCTTGATTTACCTGTTATGCCCAGGGGGCACTCTGCAAGAGTGGTAGCAGCTTCCTCTGCCTTCGCTGCTGGGATTTCAATTCAAGACATCTGCAAAGCTGCGACATGGACTACTCCTTGCACCTTTGCCAGGCATTACCGTCTTGACGTGCATGCCAGACATGACTGTTCCTTTGGTCGGAGAGTCCTTTCCGCTGTCCTTCAGTGACGACACTGCCCACCTCCGGGTCTGGTAAACTTGCTAGTCCCCCATATGTGTGATGCACAGAGGCCACGACGAAGAAAGGCAGGTTGCTCACCTGTAACTGTCGTTCTTCTAGTGGCCATCTGTGCATTCACACAACCCACCCGCTGGCCCTGCTCGGTGTTGGTGAATGGGTTTTTTTGGTACCATGTTTCTTTCTGGTATTAATGGTCCTGTGCGAATTTTTGCAGTATCTCTCGCTCCCGTGAGGGGGCGAACATCTGGTCTTCAGTAGACTGGGAAAATGGTGGGCACTCCACTCCATTTATATCGTTAGGGGGGAGGGGAGCAGGGTTTTCCCGCCGAAAACGGTTAAGCTTTGCAATCTTTCCGGCATAAGGCACTGCACAGGCACAGCACCCATATGTGTGAATGCACAGATGGCCACTTGAAGAATGACAGTTACAGGTAAGCAACTTGCCTTTATTCTTCCTTCTGTTTAATCTTTTCCAGGAACTTGTCACACCTCCCCAAGGACACTATATTTAGACTAGACCATGAAGAAGGAGCTTTTGGCATAGATGTCCCCCTAGGAAACCTTTCTAAACTGATGGAAAATTCTCCTGCCTGGTCTGTTTACATTGATTTTATATCCATACCTAATATTTCTAGAAGTGTGTTGCCATTTTTGACTTTGTTTCTTCCTTTCTTAACCTCTTCCATTTTTAGTGAAAAACTTCGTAATTTAATAATAGATTTTCACAAACCTCAGTTCATCCAACACTTGAGCTCTGTCCTTCCTCCAGAAGCAAAAGAAACTGTTGCAAAGATTCTAAAAGGTACAGTAGAGGCATTTTAAAGAAGTTCTGCTATTGTTAAAGTAGAAGCTTAATTCTTTTAGAAATTGTCTACATCAGTAAATGAATATGCTTCTGTTTAAAGGTTCAGTTCCAAAACCCTGTGATTGAAAGTATCTGAAGTCCATGGGTCCTGTACATCTTCAACAACAGACACATTGAACTATTAAAAACCATGATCAGTTGTTCAAGTTGCACAAATAATTATATTTTGGGCAGAGCAAAACTGAACTACTGTTCATTTAGCCTTGTCCAGAATGCTTTAGGACACATAACCCCATCTTAAAACAGTGCTGTGAAACAGCTTACCATTATTTGTGCTTTACAAATTGAAGAGCTATGGCTGATTGAATGGGTTTTGGCCAAAGCTGCAATGAGGCAGGGCTGGAACTGGAATTTGAAGCAACATCTGAGATCATCTCTGTATCTAATGCATGTTACTCAGGTATGTGAGTACTGAATATCAGAAAGGTAAATTCCCAAGCTGGTCCAAAAGCATTACTGAGTTCATTCATATTTTGAGGCTGTGTAGCAAACACTTTGAATTTCACCTGAAAGCTAATAAGCAATATATGCCTTGTAGCTTTCTGTTGACTTTGAAGATAAGTCTTTGCTTATCATCAGAATGGAAGTGTTTAGATTTAGAATGCATTGCAGGTAAGTCCACAAAAGATGCTAATAAAATACTCTTCTGCTAATGGGGTTATTCATACATGCCCATTTTGGCAAACTTGACTACATGGAAGAAGTACCTCTTAGTTTACAAATGTCTTCCTGTCTCCTTTGTCTGGAGACAATTCTTACTTGCAAAAAGTGAGTGCTCTTTGCAAGTCGGGGTTTAAAATGTTGAAGCCTTCATTTGATTGATGTAATGTTGGGATGAGGAACCTTTTCCAGCCTAAGGTTTCTGGGACTATTGGTTAGCTGCATTCCAGTGATGAGCAAAGATGAAAGCAGAGAGGATGGGACCAAAAACAAATTTGACCAGGGCCAAATATCCAAAATAGTAGCCTTTTTTAGCTGAACGCTCTTACTTCCAATAACTAAGCCTCAGGAGAAACATTTTAATGTTTTGATGTAGTGAAAAGCCTTGAGGGCACACAAGCAGGGTCTTCCCTGGTTTCTTTCTCCCAGATCTGTTGCTTAAATGAAACTCCTGTACACACTGACTTGGCATAAGCCCTATGATCTCAATGGATCTAGTTCAATAACATGCAAAGGATAGGTCTTCTCCATATGGGGAACTAAACCTAGCCAGAGAATTATATTTGTTTTAATTTTTTAATAATTGATGTTTAATATTTTAATATTCTGTACACTGTTCTGAGAGGCCATCTGATCAAACAGTATAGAAATAAGTATCTAAATAGTTTGACCGATACTGTTGTTTAAAATGAAGGACGTCAGTTGCAGTTACATGCAGCAATAATGAACGTTGTATTTGTTCCATGTATCAAAGGCCTGAATAAACCTCAGAAGCAAGCAATGAAGCAAGTGCTCCTTTCAAAGGATTACACACTCATTGTTGGTATGCCTGGAACAGGAAAAACCACTACGATCTGCACTCTGGTAAGGTCTGATAAAATAACGCGTATGAACTTAGTAAAACTGCATGCTTGCTCCATTGAGGGTTGTTACATGATTTGAATACAGAATAGTATATCAAGAGTGCCAGAATAAATATCTCCGTGACTTGTCTGTGGCAGTTTTTTAGCCTCCGTATTAACATCTTGCTTTACTGACTTTCAGAAAATGGTTTAATATGAAATTTCATTGCCGCCTCTTATGTTTGAAAAATGTTTGATTTGGACACTAGAATATCTTATAATCTTTCAGAAGTGTGTGTTTCACATTTATGTAAATAGGTTCTGTTTTGTAGATAAAATGATCAAAGAGAATTTGAAAAAAAATCTGTTAAATCTTTCATCATCTGACTTCCAGTTAAGTATTCTAGAACATCAGGCTTGGTTAAAACCACTATATGTATTATATCATATGGAAAGGCTTATAATAGGGTTTCTCACTGAACAGTTCACCCCCGCCCTTGATTAAAAAATATTATTTTTAAAATGCTCAGATGTATTAACCTCAAACAAGAAGGCTACTAAAGGTTAAACAGCAATCTGTATGTTCCACGTCTTCATGCATACTCAAGAGTTTCCCAGTAGTTTTCACATATGGGCACAGACCTACATATTGCATGTTGGCAAGCACTTTTTATAAGGCAGAAAAAGGACTTTTATGTGCAAGTATTTCTCATTGAGGGAATCACATCTAACAAATGCATGAAAAGCCATATTCATGATAATAAAGGTATGTCCTGGTTGCTGTAGCTTTCCAAGTGTGAAGTATAGAACTTACTTAAAAAATCACTGTGTGGGATATTTTGTGTTTTATGTAGACAATTTTTATAACGTTGGTAGAAAAAGACAGAACGATAGGCTGAGGACAGAAAGTTGCAATCTCAAATCAGTGTTCAGGATTTCCACCACTTCATATGCACTAGTGGTTCATATGAATTACCCACCACCACCACTCCACTCACAAAACTTCATGATGTGAGCGTGGCACAGCCCTGCAACCCTTCTCACACTGTCCTTTGGGTGAATACCCCTCCTCTCTTATAAAAGATCTGGAATTTCTCCATATGTGCTTGAAGAAATAGAAATAGATTTCTGGGAGGGAAACTATAAGAAAATGCGGATAAACGCTTCCTTCTTTCCCTTGTTTGCTTTCCATGTTTTAGGTCCGAATTCTGTATGCTTGTGGATTCAGTGTGCTCTTAACAAGCTTTACTCACACTGCAGTTGACAACATTCTTCTGAAACTAGCAAAGTTCAAAGTAGGCTTTTTGCGGCTGGGCAGAGCACAGAAAGTTCATCCAGACATACGGAAATTTACAGAAGAAGAAATCTGCAAATCCAAATGCATTAACACTGTAACTCAGTTGGAAGAGCTCTATAATAGTCAAGTAAGAAAAATAGCTATTGGGCCTCAGACTTGTTTTTGTTCTTTCGAATATATATGTATTATATATGCATATATGTAAATATACATAATTGTAGGTGGCCTCTGTAATTGAAAAACCTTTACCACTAGATAGCACTAACTTTACTGTGCTGCCTGCTTACTTACAAGCTAAGTTTGTGAAATAAAATACACCTTTGACCCTCCATTGTTCAATGGAAAATATAATTGCTTGGAGAATATGGAAGTTTGCCCCTCTGAGATAAGCATTCTTTATTATGAAAAGTGAATCTAACTCTTAGGGTTTGACCATCAATAATTTAGAGGTATAAAGTTGTTTCATTTATAAATCCTTATTTTGACCTCATTTTTAAATCTTAAAGGCAGAACAAAGGCATGGATGCTGAGAAACAGCTTGCCTTTGAGAGATACTTGTGATCAACCCCTCCCCTCCTTGCATCCCTCCTGCCCAGGTTACTTAAAGTTTACATCATGCCTGTCAGCGTCCAAGGCTGGGGTGTCGGTGGCAAGAAACAAGACAGCAGCACAAGGATCGGGGCAACAGAACTTGTGGCAAGGCAAAGTCCCAAGTCCAAAAGCAAGGTTTAGTAGCAAGTCCAAGTTGTAATTGCAGGGCAGGGCCAAGAACCAAAAGTATCAGGGCAGAACAAGGACATGGCCATGAACAAGCCAAGCGTCAAGAACAGGAAGACAGAGCTGCAGGTACTTTGAGGCAGGATACATGGCAGGTCAAGATGTAGGAGATGAACTACAGCTACATATTGCTGAGGCAATATGGCAAGGAAGTATACAAGAAGGATCAGACAAGGTACAAGTGGTAAACTACACAACAAGAATGCTTCGGCCGCTGACATTAGATAGCAAGGCAGGATACAGGCACTACAGCAAACAGGAACAACACCTGCATTGCTGTGGCAAGTTCTGGAGGTTGCCCTTGTATAGCTCTTCCTCCAGGGCCCCCGGCTGGTGCTCATCAGGAGGCTGAGAGCCCCAGCAGGGCCTCCGATTGATCCTGTGGGCTTCTGGTTCTGAACATTAGGAGAAGTCCCAGAGCAGTCCGGATCTTGACAGTGCTCCATCTGGAATTCTCAGGGCAGGCAGCTATAAAATTGTTCTAAATGATATCTTCAGAGTCACCAGTTTTGCACTGTTTGTATTTATATTTGTATAGTATTTGTATTTGTATTCTAAATGAGAAACATTTTCACACTTTCAGGCAGAAGTTATTGTTACAAAACACGAAGGTTATTGTTTATATAGAAAACTAATTTTTCATCATTTTCCAGCCAGTTGTTGCAACAACATGCATGGGAATAAATCATCCAATTTTCACTCGTAAACAGTTCGACTTCTGCATAGTTGATGAAGCATCTCAGATTAGCCAACCAATCTGTTTGGGTCCACTTTTCTATTCGCTTCGGTTTGTGCTGGTGGGGGATCATCAGCAACTACCTCCACTTGTGCAAAATGCAGAAGCAAGGTAAGCCATGCTGCTGACAATAATTTATATAATGTATTAGTAAAGTATTTTGCAAGCAAATGACTAACTTTTTCTAATAGAGATCTTGGCATGAGTGAAAGTTTATTCAAGAGATTGGAACAAAACAAGGATGCTGTGGTACAGCTAACTGTACAGTACCGGATGAACAGGTATGTGAAATTGTAACTGCTGTTTAATTACTGCACAAAATAAGATTTCAGACCTAACTTAGCTTTGCTTTTTTAATCCTTTAGTAAAATTATGACGCTGAGTAATAAGTTAGTATATGAAGGCAAACTGGAGTGTGGCTCTGAGAGGGTGTCCAAAGCTGTAATCGATTTGCCGAATTTAAAAGAATTGAAACTGGAACAGGAGTATTGTTCGGAAATGTGGCTAAAGGAAACACTTGACCCAAACAACCCTGTTTGTTTTCTGAATACTGAAAAGGTAGATTTTTTTGAAAACAGTTCCATTTTTGTTTTCTTGTATTTATTAGAATTTGAAGATGAAAGACTTTGAAAATGTCATATTTCAGTGCTATTAATTCCCGTTAGTGTAGTTTTCGTCCTCTTTAATGTAAGCAAATTAGCTATGTGGAGTTCCTAAATCTAAGGTAATCTTACACATTGTTCTCCAGCCAAACACACAAAATTGAATCTGCACTGTTACAGACTTAAAATATGGTATTTGTCCTTGGCATAGGTTTCAGCACCAGAACAGACAGAAAAAGGAGGTATAAGTAATGTGACAGAAGCCAGACTGGTACTCTTCTTGACAACCCTGTTTATAAAGGTATCTATCTTGCATATAATATTTGGGAGGAAGATTTTCGTTAATGGGGTGGACAACCCCTGAAAACTGACATGTTTTTGGCTGTGTATGTATGTTCATACACTTAAGTGAAAATACAAGCTCTTCTGAACTTGCTGTTCCGAATACGCTGTTTCTGTGGCATCCATTTAAGGCCCTTTACTGCAAGAGTTAAAATCATGGTTCTCTTCTTCCTCTATGTACATTTTTAAAGAGTTGCAGATGAAATGGTGGGGAAATCACCAAAATTACTCACAAAATTCTTTCTACAAGCAATACAGTATGTGTATAGTTTATTAATGAGCTTGATTATTTGGTCACTGATGATTAACTTGAACAAGCCATGGTTAATTGAGGCATGGGTTGTCATTATGTACAAAGTCACTGTGTGTATTGCAATGTAAAGCCATAGATTTTCCTAAACCGCACAGTTAAACTACAGACAGCCAGTGTGGTGTAGTGATTAAGAGTGCAGGACGGGGACTGAGGTGATCTGAGTTCTAGTCCCCACTCAGCCATGGAGCTCACTGGGTGACTTAGAGTCAGGCACAGACTGCCTGAATTATGTAATTCAGCCTAACTCTCATATACAGTAATCATTGTGAGAAAGTATAAATATATTTTGGGCATAACTTTTTTATAACTTAATGTACCTTTTTGTTGGTACAGTCCTGTATAAAGCTGCAGTAAGATACTTGGGATGTAAAAACATTCTCTTGTTGAAGTATTAAGAATTTGAAATCATTTATAGTGAGAAATATTTGTTCTTATAATATCTCTTATATTTTAAAGTTTGGGCTTTGGGGCAAAGACATTTGTTGACAAGTGAAAAATAGATTCAGATAGCTTTCCCATTATTAATTCTTGCTCATACAGGACCAGAATTAAAGCCACCAAACTGTTCGGTGAAATATTGCTCTATAAGTGGTAAACTGGCAAACTTAACACAAACTATTACAAACAATATTAATATGTAGCTACTGAGGCATGTTATCAATGATTTGTAAATCTCCTGTTTTTCTGTGTACTTGTTGTTTGAAGTAGCTCTGGTTTTGATTACTTTGATACCTGCAAATTTTTGTATTTTTGTTCCTCACTGACAGTTAACATCTACATACTTTGTGTTTGTGGCATACCAATTTCCTAAAAGGTTTCTTGATAGGTTGTACCCTAAACGGACTAAACTGTTAGAGATTAATTATTTAATGTCTGGGTTTTTTTCAGGCTGGTTGCAAGCCATCTGATATTGGGGTCATATCTCCATACAGACATCAGTTAAAGATAATCACTGACTTGATGACAAATTCTTACATCAATAAAGTAGAAGTAAATACTGTGGACAAGTATCAAGGAAGAGACAAAAGTATCATCATAGTGTCTTTTGTAAGGAATAACTATGATGGAAATGTGAGTAGACCTTATTTGGAATCTTTCAGCAGTTCAGCAAACCTGTTGCTTTGCATCAAACCATTTTTTGAAATTTGAGGGTACCTTTTTCCATTTCCAAAAGAAATCCAGTCTAAATCCCATTGTGGATAGGCATAGTTTCTGAGTATGCTTGAACATTTATTGTTTTCATTGCTTCCAACAATGTTGAAGATAAACCCCCAGGCATCTGCCACCACTCCCATGCTTGGAGGTGCTCTAAGCTTATTTAATTTAATTTAATTTAAACATACATTTATGTCCCATCCTTTCTGACGAATGGCTCAGGACAGCTTACAGAGATTTAAAATATTACAACAATACAATGATAAAACAGTAGATATTAAATCAGTATAAAACAACACTTCATCAAACTAAGGGAAAGAGAGGAAGCTTATAGGTTTACTTTACTTTTTACACTGGATTAGTGCATGGGGGGCCAGGGCAGTGAGGCTGCTGGGTGAGAGCATAGTTCATGTGAGGTGTCTGCATAAAGATCCTTTACAAATGCATTACTATTCCTTCTTCTGTTGCAATGAAAAAAATGCAACTTGCTAATTTCTTACTGTATCCAGCAGCATTTAATGATAGTATCTGAAATAGTAGTTTTGATGGTTTGCTTATATGCAGATGTTTACTATTAGGCCAATTGTTCTTTCTTCTGATAGCTTGGAGAACTTTTGAAGGACTGGAGACGTCTTAACGTTGCTATTACAAGAGCTAAACATAAATTAGTTATGGTGGGCTGTGTGCCATCCCTATGTCACTATCCGCCTCTAAAGAAGTTACTTTGCTATTTGAAGACAGAAGCTTTAATATCCTTTTTTTCTGTACATCTTTTGCATATATGTTGTTTATTTTTTGTATTTATATCCCATCCTTCCTCACAAAGAACCTAGTTTTTGCCTAAACAAGTTATATTGAGTGTTCAGCTTCTCAACAGTACAGTTGAAATATTTTAAAACTAGAGACACTGCTAAAATTGCCCAAGTTATCCAGAAAAGAGACGTTTACATCATCAGTTTTGGCCTGAAAAGGGTGCACCTGCTTCCTTGTTATCATGGTTACATAACATAAACCATACCAGACCACATTTTTCCCTGTGCTCTACAGATTTGAAACAGGTCTGAATCACACTCCAGCCATATCTTGCTTAATCCCATTCCCTGTCCATCTCTAGATGTTGCTGGTATCAGCTGCATAAACAACAACCATATGTGCTTAATACTATGATTACCTGCTATTTTCCTCATTACCTAACTCTGAAACATACTGTATATACCAGTGTATATATGACAACCACCGAAAGTGAAAATAGCAAAGCAAAAATCACTAGGGGCCTTATATGCCAGATGAACAATTTCCCCTATTGTGGTTTGTCTTCCATGTTGCAGCCACATACCCAGTCCAGGGACTGATGCCTGCCCCACCTGCACACTCATCCTAGTGTGCCAGCTCGGCATACCGTGCTATTGGTGTGTCAGCTCAGCGTACAGAATAACTTAATGATGACTTCTTAAAAATAGTGGAAACTTAACAGCCCTTCTCCGGGTACCCTCCATGAAAGAAATTAGGAGGGTAGGTACTCGGAGGAGGGCTTTCTCTGCAGTGGCGCCCAATCTATGGAATGCGCTCCCCAGAGAGGTCCGCCTGGCACTGTCGTTACTTGTTTTTCGGCGCCAGGTGAAGACCTTTTTATTTAAACGTCACTTTAATTGTTAACAATATTTGCTTATTTATCTGGCCAGGGTGACTTCTTTTATATTTTATATTTTTATTTATTTTATATTGTTAATTTTAATTTTATATTGTTATTTTTGTATTTTATTGTATTTTTATTGTGTTTGTAAGCCGCCTTGAGGCTTTGGCAAGGGGCGGCATAGAAGTGTTCTAATAATAATAATAATAATAATAATAATAATAATAATTTACTGACCTTCCTGATTCCCCAGACCCGTGAGCAGAGCAGTTGGATCAGGTTGGAAATCATGAGAATTCAGCCTGAAGTGTAGTGCTTTCTGTCTCCTTACTTCCTGTTCTCTTCTGTCTTTTCTCTTTCCACCCACATATCATCCATTTTTGTTAAGAGTTTGTGAGTCATTCTACAGGGCACAGGTTCCCCGCTTCCCTAACTCTCAGAAAACTAATTTTCTTGTGGACATCACATCTACTAGGCTTTTTACAATGGGAGGCTCTCTCATCTGATCCACAGTTGTGTAGGGTTGTCCTGTGTCTGGATCCCTTTTTCTGTGCACAAGGTCAATGCCTTGTTCCACAGGTTGCAAGAGAAATTTTTACCATCTTTCTGATTGAATTTATCACATCCAAGAAATGGAACTGGCATATGTTGTATGTGTGCAGAGTGCTTTCTGATTGGATAGAACCTCTCAGCTGTGGAAATCTGAGGCGCTATTGGTGGCTTTTCAGGGAAAATTTCTTTTTTAAAAATATGCTTATTGAATTTTATTTTAACAAAAACAAAACTTATTGTTACACTAATATAAAATACAAATAATATAATAATGATAAACATATTTAAACAATACAATAATAACAGTTCTACCTCCACCAGGACCAATAGATACATACTACTTAATGTAAATGTATTCATTCAGGTTGCTCCATTACAACTCCCTTTCCGGAACTGCATTGAATCTTGTGATGGCTCACACCCCTTTCCCTTTATTAAAACATTCATTCATTATTAAAATAAATTCAAATATCTTCAAAATTATTTCTACTTATCAAGCCTTTTTTCCACTTAATATTGCAAGTTCACCTTATTAACAGATATATCCCAAACTTCTTTATACCAGTCATTATTTTTTATAATTACCTTTCACTTTTCATTTCCTTGCTATTGTTAATTTTACTGCTGTTAGTAAATTTATCATCAATTCTTTAATATTTTGTCCCACTCATTCCCTAAATAGTGACAATAATCCAGGGTCTACTTTAATATTTAGATTCAATATTTTACTAATTTCTTTGAAAACCATTTTCAAAACTATGTATTTACACTCCCACCACATATGGAAATATGTACCCACTTTTCCGTTACATCTGCAACATACATTGAATATTTAGTATTCATATAATTCTCCCAACTTTTATAAGAAAGAAAGGTTGATGAGAAAATTGAGAGCAAATTTGGGTTAATTAAAGTTGAAGGATGTACCTATCCAAGTATTTCAAGATTTATGTTTCCAGACTATATTGGTCAGAGGTTCATTGCAAGCACATAAAGATTACTCTGTTGAAGAATGACATTGAACATAGTTGGGGACACTCTATAGTTGAGAGTCTGATATAAGAGAAAATATCATAAATTCACTGGAACATGTTTTAAATTTGGTGCATGAATGATTATACAGAAAGAAAACCAAGGTGGATGAGAGGAATGACAAGTACATTTTATAGCATTTTATTGGAATGTAAAGTTTCACATTTATTAGGAGGACCAACATCATCCTCTCAAAGAATTTTGGGAAATAGATTTAAGAAGAAATATTAGTAATGAAGAATGGAGAGATTTGTGGGATGAGAGAATTTTAAAAAGTATGTCAATAAGAATTAAAACTTTTATACATTAATTCAGAAATGGTATTTAACTCTGATTAAATTAAACCTTTCTTTCTTATAAAAGTTGGAGAATCTTATCACTACTATCTATAGGGGTTAGCCTGGATTGATGTTGGAGGTCAGCACAATGTATTTCTCATCTGGCATCATTTCTTTAAGCCATGCAAGAACATCACTTCCAATTTACCTTTCTTCCATTGGTGAAATAAACCGTTCTGGTATATTTTTCAATTGTAAAATCCTTCTACAATCTCAGGCCTCCAAATCAAATCACCTTTTCCTCCCGTTCTGTTATTTTTCCAGAAAGGCAAAATATGTTGAGTGTATTAGCTTTAGCTAACGTATCTATTTCTGGGGGGGTTTCTTTTCCATCATCTTCACTTGATTCTCCATTTTTGTAAAAGCTTTCTGATTTTCTGTTTTTATCTAGTTAACAGTAGTCTTTCTTTGTTCATTAGTAACCTCTTTCAGCTGCCCTTTCAACTGTTTAAATTCCTGAGATTTTTTCATTATCTTTTTTCAGCCATTTTTTCAGCCATCTTTCAAACTTGAGTCCAGAATCTTTTAAAATGTTCTCATCTTTTTTTCAGCCATTTTGCTCCCTGAAGCTTTTTTCAGTGTCTCCATTCTCTGTATATGTTAACCTAGTAAGCTCTAGTTAGACTCAAATCAATGGTCTTCTTGGTTTATGTATCCTGACAAAATAAGTTTTCTGTTGTGGTTGTCTTTGTGACATCAATTGTTTGAGACCAACAAATCAGTAGTCCAAATTATGTCACTTCAAGCTTTATTTCATCAAATTAAAAACAGCTATGCATCAGAGGGATCTCTATAACCATACTGGATCAATGGCTTCTTTGTTATTGTTTTCCTTTACTCTAGAGTCAGCAATCTACATCAGTAGCTCAGAAATTTAGTCTGTTCTTTGTTCTTATCACAATTTCCATTATTTATGGCTTTTACATAGCCATATAATTCCATGCAAGTCTTTATATTATACTTATTTTAGGATTCAAGTTCACTGAACAATTTAAGCAATTGTGAAAAAGCTTTTACTTTATTTCACAAGCCTCAAGCCAGTTCTGTAATCATTGTTTACCATGTCCATTTCTGCACTGGAGTCATGCCCAGTCCAATTAAATTTAACTGCAGAAAGTATTACCTTCTGTGAGTCAGTCTCATTAATTAGCTTTAATTTTCAAAGTTCTTTCTCACAGCTGCTTTCCAGCACAGTCACCTTCCAAGTCCGTCACAGTCACTCCCTCCATTGAAGCTGTATCTTGTTTAAATTGGATTTTAAAAATTGAATTTACTAAGAATCAGTACCTTCTTATTAAAATCTTTTCAGGTAGGAAGACCCTTCCTCAAATCATGTGGACAAGCACCTACTATTTCCAGGTTACTATCGTTAATCTTAAAAAGGCATTAAGAGCTTTCTTTTAACCATTTAATTGTGGCCATTGACCAGCCCATCCCTCTTCAGGGGAAATTTCTGGAAGTGTCCAGTTTTATTTCTGGGTGGCTTCAAAATTGCATAGTCCAGGCATATCAGACCCTGGGTAAGAGACTACCAGAAGGGAGTGATGCTGATTCTCTTTACAAGGCAGGAGCGATTACAGAGTAATTTTTCCTTAGAGACAAACACGTGAGCTTCAATGGATATGTTTTCCAAACACTAAGATTCACAAATCTGCTTTTGCACTGGCAGCTTTCAGTCATAAGGTTCTGCAGAGAGTGGTGGTATAGGCAACAATTCTCAGAAGGTCCACTAACATCACAAGTGCTTGTACTGTATACCAAGGTGAGGAATACCCTCTGTGAGGTTCAGGAGAAAAGAAACATGTTCTTACTGTAAATTTCTCTTCTCTTGTTTCATTCAGGAACAGTTTTTTTCAATAAACTAGTGACTTCTGTCAGTGCCCTGTGGCAGAAGGCAGGAGGGTGGCAGTCGGTGCCTTCTGGATATGTTTTGTCATGTGAAGTTCCTGCTTGTTTCTTGTTCTGTCCTCTGTGCTTCAGCACAGGTTGTTTGGTATTCATTTTTTCTTTTAAGATACAGTAGCAAGTTAGGTTTTTTCCAGCAATCTCTGCAAGGTTGCTTCCAGTATTTTCAGCAAGGGGTTGTGGGATGGTTCTTGCAGTTCCAGTCCAATCTGGGGAATCAGGACTGATCCTTCCCTTGGAAAGGAAAGATTTGTTAGATGATCCTTGCTACTTGCTTCAGAAGGAGGTGCCATCCTAAGGTGAAGAATACTCTCTGCAATGCTCAGAGGACAGAAATGCACAGTAAAAAAATATTTTTTTCTTTTTCTTTTAATGACATGTGTTGCAAACTATATTTTCCTTAATATCGCTTACATTTTCAGTATTCCATTCGGATCGTGTGAAAGTGTCTTTCATTGTAACCTCCTGTGACAAAGGGACTTCGAGGAAAAAAAGTCCATTCACATGCTGTGAAAACTGGCAATTAGACTTGAAGCTGCCATATTGTCAAACAGAATTAACTTCAGATTAATAGTGAACACTAATAATACTTTATGTTGCTTCTTAACAGTTGACTATTGTAAAACCAAACATCACCAGTTACCTTATTACTAGCAAACACATCTATATTTTGAAGGTTTAAATTCCTTTTTGATGAAGAATGTCTGCACCCTTTGGCTTCTCATTTATAATGATGGTATGTGCAGGGGTGGGTGGGGAGACAAGACTTTAGGATATGATTAATGCTTTTGATGAATGAACAGTGGAATCTGCAAGGGCTTCTTAGATTTGCAGTCATGACTGGATTATTCTCCCTAGATGCAAAAAGGATGGACCTTTGATAAGAGATTTGATGTTTTGCTTTTGACCTGCCACTCTTATTTGAATAGCAATGCAATTTGGGCACATTCTTATGCATGTACATAGAGGAAAAAGTCCTATAATTCCCAGCATTCAAATTGAACTTTGGAGTTGTAGGACTTGTTTTTGTCTAAAAATCCATGATTGTGCCTTTAGGGACCTTAAATTAGTATCTGTCTAGTTTTACAATTTGATGAAGGCTGTTACCTTATTAAAACATCACATACAAATAAAACTTCACATACAAATATAAATAGGCAGATTTTATCCCTATGTACTATCCAATATGTTTTCCTGGTTTTTTTCCCCTTTCCTCCTAATGTGTTCCAATCTGTTTACATCTCTCTTCCATGCCCTCCTAACTTAAATATTTATATATGCAACTCTAAGAGTGGTTGGTTTTTATTAAGAAAACTTCTAAAATGGTTTTCCTTTTATAATGCCATAAGTTGCCATAATTGTCTGGTGAGGCAATTTCCTATTCCAAATATACTGTATAGTATTGTCAAAAAATCCCATCATAATTTAGTGCAGAGATTCACTTTTCTGTTTTAGAAATACCCCATAAAAGGTACTTTAAAAGTCAATACCTCAGGCATACTTTAAATTTGGATTGTACCCATTAAATGCATCACTGCATATAATTATGTTCCTTTCTGTATATATTATGTATGAATCTTCGTCTCTGATATGTAGAGCTCTTAAACCTACCTGTTTTAGTAATATATATAATAAAATGAAGTAACTATTATCTTTGTACTCCTAATATGAATTTTAACTAAATATATTTCATATATCACTGAAGTATAAATTTACAATCTTGGCAAACACTGAAACCTCACTTGTAAGTGAATCCTAGCATGGTTGCAACAAATTGCCTTCAGACAACCAAGCTAAGAACCTTTTGCAAACTGAAGCTTAAACGCCAGTTAAACAGTAACCTAGAAAAGGTTTAGATGGGCTTACTGTGTATTAAAATCAGCTACCGACTGCCAATACGTAATGCTAATTGTGCCAGCGCTACTGAATGGTTGGGTGTGTGCTGGGATGATCTGGGAACAAAATGGCAGGCGTAGATTGCAATATGGTATAGGTTAAGGTCCTAGTAAATGTTAAATCCCACTGCTGTACCATCCGTGTCTGCATCCCGCAGATGGGGGAGGTTTCTGATTCCTGTGACGTGCAATGGCTCCCCTTGTCCTCGTCCCCGAATATGCCCTCTTACGACGGGGATCTGCCAGCCGCAACCACAAAACCTTCCCCGGGTCGCGTTTTGCTCGGCCGGTCTTGGCACAGCCCTTCCGCTACCCGGCGTCACGTCTCCGGTCCTCCTGCCGCCAGGGGCGCAGCGGGCGAGGCTGCGTGGGGGGAGGCGGGGATGGAGAAGGAGGATGAGGAGGGCTGGAGACGGGCCGGGAAGGCAGCAAAGGCTGGAGGCTCGCTGAGCTGCTCGGGCAGCTGCTGCTCTTCGCCGGCCATGGGTAAGAGGAGTAGGGCGGCGGCCCCTGCCGGGAACAGCCACGGGGGAGAGGCGCCGCAGAGGGGAAAGGGCCGGGGAGCGGCTCGCTCCTCCGTAGCCGGCGCGCCGCAGGCTCTCGGGACGGAGCGGACCGTCCTCCTTCTTGAGAAAAGGTCATCCTTTGGAGCTCGGTTCTCCTTCGGCAGCTGCCTGCCCGTCCGCTCGCTTCGGTAGGGGCTGCGGCCGCCCCTCAGTTGCGGCTGGATGCAAACAACAGGTCGCCGCTTTCCCTCACCCCCGCGCTTTTCTTGCATTGAAGGCACCTCTCCTGGAGGGAAAGTCATGAGTCATCGAGGCCGCCTCGAAAATTTTTCGAGCCCCCACCCCACCCCGGCACCTCTTCAGGTTCGGGATTGAGACACGTCTAGCCCCGTTCCTCCGCGAGATCCATACGCGGCTTGTTATCTTGGATGTGCCGGAAAAGTGGGTTGCTCGTAAAATGGCTTCGGGGTGGTCGTGCTATGACGGCATTCGCGCTTCAGTGGCAGGGCTTCTTGAGACGTCCCATTCTCACGTACACGGGTGACACACGTGAGCGGTGTCTTTGAATTTAAACCTGTACGAGGCAGAGATGTATCGTCAGCCCTGCGGGGAACTTAAGACCGCTGACGCGAGGAAGCGCGTGAGCTGTCAAAGAAGTGCCGCTTCATTTATCCGTGAGAAATGTTTGTTATTGGGGACGGTACACGTTTTCAGAGGGGACACATGCCGGCAGGAGACGAAGCCCTTCGTGTGAACTGGCCGACTATATGAATCTCCACCTAAGTGGAAGGATTCCCAGCTATTCGAGAATGTTATGTATATACAGCACCCTCCCCCCCCCCGCCCCCGCTTATCTGATGCATAGATGGGGTGGGGGATGTGGAACTTGGCCAGAGGGGTGTCCCTCGGGAGGAGGGTTTACTTAACCCCCCCCCCGCGTCTGAATGTAGGCCTGGCTAATCCTGCCCCAAGATCAGCTGCCCCCATGTCTGCACTACAGCTGAAATCTATGCATGTTTAATCAGAATAAACAAAATCTCTGTTTTCAAAGTGCTTACTTGGATGTGACATAGTGCAGAGGATAGCAGCCCAAATAGAGTGTTGTAAATTGCAATGCAAGCATCAGCGTGGTCCTTATGTGAGTGTTGTTAATGAGGTACACCTAATCCTTGAGAACTAAGTCCAGAAATGTGCTTATTCACTTCTTTTCTGAAACTCATTTTTTCCTCTTGATGTCTTAAGACCCATTCTGATCATTTCTTTGTTAAATTTGGTGCTTTCATTTGCTCTCTTTAATTATCATTCTTAGCACTTACATAATGTTTTCAACTGCCCCAGTTACTTTATCTTAATAGTACTTACAACAAATTTATAAGGCACCTTCCTCTCCCTAACACACACTTTATGTTTTGTACCACAGCTCCCAGCATTTCTGACCACTGACCATGTTGGTTGCAGGATGAAGGGAGTTATACTGAAAAGCATCTTGGGGGTGCCCAGTTGGGAAAGGCTTCTATAACAGATAATCACTATAATATAAGCTGACTTGAAAGATAATAGCATGCAAACTACACAAAATCTAAATTCTCTGCCATTGGAAACAATCAGGAACAGAGAACTGACAGGTAAATTCTGAGATTTACAACTTCTGGTTGTAGCAATCAGCCTCAATTCTCTCCTTCCTGTCTCCAGCTTTCCCCCTACATAGATAAATGAAAGCACCCAAAACAGCTTATGTACTAATTTTACCATGCTAGAAGGGTTTCCTAAGCACCTAAATATATATTCTTTCTGATACTTACCTGAAAAGATTAAACATAGCTTTGAATTTAGGGTTGACTCATATTCTATCAGTTTCAGTTAGATGAAGATAGACTACTACCAGTAATGCGTAAGCAAGTCAATCCTATGTATCTTTACCTGGATGCAGCTCCCACACTGTTGGTTCGAGCATTCCCAAGAGCAGAAAGACTATACCCTTATTTATTTTAATAGAAAAAGTAAACAAACCACTCTGTAAAACATCATTAGATGAAACATTCCTTTAAAAGGATTGGTTCTGTATCATACTGATCTATCTCTAAGAAGAATACTCCTGCAGTTACTAACTGTAGCCTCCTGGATTGTCATGCTGTAAGTGATTACCACATTGGTCCTAAGGAGAAACAGGATCCAAAAATTTTAGATAGCATATTCTAGCATCAGTCTTAGTAGATAGCAAGGTTTTGAATAGTCCAGAATCCTGCATGAGCAGAGTTTTGTACTGCAAAAGCTTGCCACCAAGTGCCACAACAAGCTAAGGAGTTTAGCATATTTATTATATAAAACAGATGTTGAACAGAGCAACAATTGAATCATGTAAAGGTAGTTAAGACTTAAGTATAGTATGAAGTGTCGTACTTCAGAGTAGAGGATTGAGCCATAAAATAACAGAAAGTAGCAGATGCAAAAAACCGTAGCAAATACCTAATGAAGGTCTATGGAAGTCCAGGAATCCCAAGCAATGCTAGATGTTTCAAGCACTGATTTAGAATGGGACATCTGCCAGTGCTGCAAGACTACAAATAAATCTGATTCCTGCAGAACAGACATTTCATACAGACACATCCTATGTTTCTTAGCATAATACTTTCCTGTTTTTTCAACTTATTACTATAGATGTGGATACTATCATTGTTCTTTGATCACTAATACATTAATTTGGGTTAACTGAAACTTTTCTTCATGTTTAATTTTTATCTGTTTATCATTTTTAAGCTGTTAAAGACCCTACAGCTGTTGAACGAGCAAATTTATTGAATATGGCTAAATTGAGTATCAAGGGCCTCATCGAATCAGCTCTGAGCTTTGGTCGAACTCTTGATTCTGATTATCCACCTCTACAACAGTTCTTTGTTGTCATGGAGCACTGCCTGAAACATGGCCTTAAAGGTACAAATAACATTTGTTTTTAGCTTGTTTTCTTCATAATAAAACGTTTGAATATTTTATTTGAGTGTGCCATCTTAGCCTGGATGTTTTATTTTGCAGTGTGAGGCAAGCTATGGCATTATACAGAGGCACAATATGGTGCTTTCCTGTACTAGACAGCCATTCGTCCAAGAAGTATACTGTAAACTTTCCTGACAACAGTCAATCCAAGTGACTGTTTAGGTTCCTTAGCATTGATAAGAGCAATTGAAATCCACTTTTTGCTGGAGATTTTTACTTCCTTGAATGGTCCTTAAACTGATGTCTCTTTTACTTTCCTTCTTTGCTGAGTACTTGACTTGCTAATTCATCTTTGTTTTTTCTTATTTTGTTATCCTGTATAACATGGAGTACTCCATAACATTAGCTTCCCAATTGGCTGCAGTGGCTATGGAGAAGGACAGGTATACCAGAATAGGTATGCAATTGCATCCTTATCTGAACAGGAATACTACAGCTGCAGTTATCCATGCTTTGGTAATATTTGATCGCATTACTGGAGTGCAGTATATGTGGGGTTGCCTTGGAAAATGGCCTGGAAACCTCAGCTGGTCCAAAACAGTTCAGCAAGATTGTTAAGAGAGACTGTCTACTATTAGGCCAGTATTTGAACCATGTGCACTGGTTACCAGACAATGTCCAGGTCTGATTCAAAGTGCTAGTTATTAACATTCAAAGCCTTAAATGACTTGGGGCCAAGTTACCCAAAGGATTGTTTTCTCCCATATATACGTGCCCAAATCCTAAAATCATCCTCAGTAGTCCTTCTAGGGGATCCCCTACTAAAGGAAGTCCAGTGAGTGGCTGCTAGAAAGAGGGCCTTTTTGGTGACACCTCAACTATGGAATGAACTTCGCAGGTTAGCTTGCCTGTCAATTACATTGTACTCTTTCTGGCACCAGGGAAATACCTTCTTATTTTCCTAGGAATTCTGTTTGGATTTTTAATTTCAGGCAGTTTTAAATTCATTATCGTATTTTAACTCTTTGTTTATTCCAGTTTTCACTTCTATTTTATACTGTAGTCTTAACTATTTAATTTTTATGTTGTATTTTATGTTTTAAAATTATTCTGAACCTCCCAGAGATCTTTGGTGATTGGGTGGTATGAAAATATAATAAAAATACATTTGTTAAGGCAATATAAGTGTAAAATATTAAACACATTTGCAAATGTTCTTTTTACTCATATGGCTTTTCAGTAAATAGCTGTAAATAACTTTTAACCCATTAGCAAGTGTATAGAATCACTTGAGAAAAATAAAGCAGAAATTAAAATAACAAAATATTATGTTTTCTCCTGCTAGTAAAAAAATCTTTCCTAAGTTACAATAAAACAATCTGGGGGCCCCTGGAACTTGTGGAGAAGTTGTATCCAGAAGCTGAAGAAATTGCTGCTAGTGTTAGAGACTTACCCGGTCTCAAGTAAGTTGTATTGCCAATAAGGATTTTTAAATACAAATTATGTGTAGCATACTTGAATGTCTCCCCAGCTCCCTTGCTTTGCTTCTGTAGACCATGAGATGTCTAGGAGCACAGATCCAATTTAAACTCCTAGGGAACTCTGCAAATGAAATGATATTAGTACCCTAACTATTGAGCCCACAAAGTTTTGTGAAAAGACAAGGTGAACTCTATAGAGTGTTTTTGCAAGGAATGTAAGGAATTCTACCATGGCAGACCTTTGGTCCTTCTAGCCCAGAATTGTCTAGGCTGACTGGCAGTGACATCCTAGGGTTTTAGACAGGTAGGGGTCTTTTCCCTACCTTACTTGGAGATGCTAGTGATTACATGCAAGACCTTTGCTCAGTCTCTGAGTTAAGGCCCTTTCCAAGAACTATGATGAAAGAGGAAATCTGATAATAAAAAGCTAATGAACTTGCTGAGTCTGAAAAACGTATAACATTTGCAAGTGTCTCTACTTTTATTTGGATTTAAGAGAAGCTAAAATATTCAGACAATTTCCACTTTTATGTTATAAAGCAGTGTCATTAGTTCCTGTAAAACATACTGCTGATTTTTGTTATATTTTATAGTATTTAATGGGAGATTTACAAAGATTTCAGTAGCATAGAATCAAGAAAAACATTGTTTAACATGATCTGATTTATGAAGAGTTGCTCCTTAGTGAAAAGAATAAAGTAAGTTTTAAATTAACTAACATTACATTAGTGGGGAGAAGTGAGGGCAGAGGGAGAACCTTTTGTATGTAGTTCAGTTAGGTAATCATTCTAGAAAAGGCAGTCAAGCTGGATTGAATATCTCTGATTTATCCTTCCTCTAATTATCAGTATAATATATATGTTCTTAGACAAACTTTCAAACCTGTTTTCACGTAGACATAGAATGTGATTTCCAGAACTGTATAATTGTACACTTTCTATCTAGCAATATTCAACAGGTTTGAGGAGATTTTGATCACCAAGTTCTATCCCAGAATGAAGTGATATTGGAAATCTCACTGTCAGGGTTCCTTCTAGGATGAAGTGTGTCAGATTGCAGCACATGTCAGTTTGGTTAACATCAGTTGCCTTTTGGCTCCTTCTCCCAAATTTGTCTCCAAATCTGGCCCTTTGGCTGTCCCAGAGGGATAGTTGAGAGGGTAAAAGCCACTCTCAATATGTCTGGGACCAGCTGCTCCCTGGAGCATCCCTCAGCCACTGACAAAATGGCTTCTATCCATAGAAAAGTGCTTCCACCTTCCCTATGTTAAACCCAGGGCTTTTTTGTCATAGAACACACAGGAACGGCGTTCAGGCATCTTTTTTTCCAATGGATTTTACGAAGTGATTTTGAATTGTAGCAGATCAGCAGCAAACATCATTCACATAGTGCCTGCAGGCTGCTTTTGTGTCTGCCATCTGTTACCTGATAGTGAGATAGTGAGGGCGCTGCTCTGGGGCTCTGGGCTTGGGAGGCTGCTCTGTTGCTCGGCTTGGGATTGGTGTGTGTGGTCGCGCGCTTACTGCCCGCGCTTACTGCCGGCGACGTGAGTTCCGGCACTTTTTTTTTTTTTTTTTTTTTTACAAAAAATGCACTGGTTAAACCCCTATACTCCCTCAAAATCTATTTCAAAGTGTTGTGGGGAGGTAGGAGGATAAAAGAGGAAGGAAAGAAGGAGAAAATCCGATTTCAGTGTTGCGTTCTTGCCCACTAAACAAATGATTGTAGGGTAGACTTTGCTCTGTAATGGTATAATATAGTCTAAATCCTGGACCCAGTTTGGTCTTCTGTATCAAGTGTGCGTTCATCAAAATGAACTTGTTTAAGACTGTAGCTGAAAAATGTCTTTATGAGTTTTAGCATTTTGGTAAAATAAGAGACAACCAGCATATTAGAGAATGTACTTGACTGTGTTTGATTATGCTGAGATTGTGCTGAGCTGGGATTTACGCTGATTCATTGCAATTCCACAAAGGTCTATGGCTCACAACTAGGGCTGTAATTTCAGTTAGATAGAAATACTATTTATTGTGCAAATAGCATGAGGCATTCAGTATATTTGTCTTTTTGTTTGACTTTGACTTTTTTCTTGTTTACCTATTGTCTATTACATAGAGGCTGAGGTTGAATGTGAGACAGGAATGAAATTTGACATGTATGTTCAGACTGTGACTAGAATATTTGGTGAATCATCTAGGGAGCTTGAGCTATTTGGTGGTATAGAAATGTAATAAATAAAATTAAGTCTACATCCCAATTTCAAATAGGGGGAGGAAAATGTAAAATAAAATGCAGCATGATCTGCCCTGTACGTTGGATTTAAATGTGGTGTACACATTCAGGGCACAGTTCTATATTTTAGGTTCTAAACTATGTATGATGTCCATACTTGCTTTCAAAGATGACAAGGAGTAAGTAGGGACTCAATGCATTTTTAAAGCTTAGGATTTTGAATATAAAAGTATAAATTTGGGGTAGCCGTAAAATGATAGGTAAATAGTTATTGGATAACTGTATTTTTAGTTTTTTTTCCTATCCTTTATATTTTCTTGATTGTTCTTAGTATGATATCCAACAGTAATGGCTTTTTAAAGTCATTCTTATTTCATTTAGGATGATTTTGGTGACATTTTCACGAGCTTTGCACTGTGAAATAGTTTGTTGTAGTTCCATATTTTGGTTCTTGGGTAAAAGTAAAATACAGCCTGTTCGAGTTGGAAATTCTCTAACGTCAGAATGTAGACTTCTGTTCCTACTTACATTAGCCCCTGTATTTTTAAATATTTCTCCAAGATTAAAAAATAGCAACCTTCATTTTCTTTATCTCTTAAGGGCCTTTTCAAATGCCACTTAAAAGCAACTAGAATTATCTCATTTCAAGCATAACTTGTTTTATCTTGACTTTTTGAAGAACACTGTTCAAATGGAAATTAAAAGCGTTATGTGTCTTTTTATCAAAACCTGTTGTCTGTCGGTGAAACCTTCTGGTATGGGTATTTTCTGAACTATGTCCTTTTATCAGAACTTCACTAGGACGTGCTCGAGCTTGGTTGCGATTGGCACTTATGCAAAAAAAGATGGCTGACTATCTACGGTGTCTCATCTTTCGCAAAGATCTCCTTGGGTGAGTGCCTTTCCAGATTTTTATGGAAAAAAAATAGGTTCAATGCTGTACTTGCTACAAGAATTATACAGTTATATCATATGTTATCCTTATGATTGCTTAGAAATATGATTTTAAAGAAATAATTTGAGTTCAATAAATTAAACATTTCTTACTTTTGAGATATTAATGTAATACCTCATTTTCTTTTGCTACTTAAACTGGGTTATTGATCATATCCAGCCAATAGAATTTATAGGCTTGCCATCAGAATAAAATGCATTAGTATAAGTAATATAAAATTAAAGTGTATGATTGTAATTTATAACTTGTTTATTATTATTTTTTAGTTTAGAATTTTCTATTGTATGTGGGGGGTGATACCCAGTGGCAAAAATCCCAAGTGTCAAATTCAGTACTTGAATTTGGCTTGTGCAAACCATTTAATGATATATTACAACTTCATTTTGTGTGATCTTGCTTGTTCCAGTTGCTTTGCTTATGCAACTGTTAGTGGAACATGTAACCATTTTTGGAACACCACCACCTCTTATATTTTTTTCCATTACGGTGAATTCAACCAAAAGGTTCAGATGCACAGGGGTGCAGAGGGTGTCATAACTTCAGAAGCGACTATGTATGCAGTATTCTACTGAGTAAAGTGCTGTTTTCACCCCAACAACTTTGCACTTTTAGACTTTAGACTTCAGACTTTCCTCCTGAGGTGGTATATGCTGAATTTTCCTACAGAACTAAACAGGATTTAAAAGTTGCAAATTTGGCTGGTTTACATACTTAAAAATAAAGAAGTATTTTATTTATCTTTATTAAGTGGCAAACTTCAATTGCAATATTATGTAGTAAACTGTAGTGGGTCTGGCTTTGGGGCCCTTTGGGAGTACCAGTCATAGTGGCTGCTGTCCAGTTCATCCTTATGAGAGAGTAATGCCTATTGAGTTTAATGGACCTTAGTCCCATTGAAGATTGCACTGCAACTCAGACTTTAAGAGTCTTGAAAATAAGTTCAGTAACACAATTGATTGAGAATTTAAAAATCACTTAAATATTTCACAGTGTCTTACAAAATAATTCAAATGTATTTTACAGTGAGTTTTATGAATATCATGCACTGATGATGGAAGAAGAAGGAGCAGTCATTGTTGGGTTACTTGTTGGTTTAAATGTAATAGATGCAAACCTGTGTGTAAAAGGAGAAGATTTGGATTCACAAGTAAGTGAGCCTGAAGTTATGGTCTGATACTTTGCCTTGAAATCTAAGTCTTTTTGAACGAAATAATAGAGTATAAGACCAAGCTGAACAGACAGTATGCAGTATGTTAGAAACCCTTAAAAGGCAAGAATCACTTCCTCGTTTGGATTGGAGTAAAGGCTGGTTCTTCCTGAAATGAAGCAAAGTTATTTATTTGGAAGCATGGGCATATCATAAAAAGTGCTTGTTCATAAACTTTTGTTTCTAGAGAATTAGTTCATCATAAAACTTTTCACTGGACTACACAGTCCTGTAAAATGATGTATGACTGTATTTTCCCCTTTGTTTGACTGCCCTGCAGGTTCCTTAGCATTTAAAATAGTACTGTCTTCAAAGTATATTAAAATGTGAGGGCTTGGGGCTAACAGCTGTGCACCATGTATTTCTTCCCATCTTTTTAATGTGCAGATCTGTATTTTTCTGCTAGGAAGAGGGAATGCATCTTTGTTACCCTTCCATATAATAAAGTATTTATTGAAACACAGCTTTCAAAGTGTGGAATGGGAAAATGCAGCATTACGATTTGGGTGGACAACCCCTGGCCCCACAGAGGCTTCTGTGTACTTTCTGATGCAGCTCCAGCTGCCCCATTGCCTTTCCTTGTAGGGCATGTGGAACCAGATGTCAGGGAAGTCACTGTTTCAGTGTGTCAGGGATGAAGACTTTCCCAGTTTCTACATTCAGTCTTGGAAAGTAGTTTCTACACTCAAATGCAAACAGGTGAAATTGCAGAAAGGATAAATGCTGGGAAAATACTGTATTGTACAGATTGAAGACTTGTAAAATGCATACAACCATTCACAAGTCTCTGAGATTCATTATGCACAGTACACCTACTTGTCAGTGGTAGTATGCATTCATGCTTGCTTGCTGCATCTCAAGGACAGTTTCAAAAAATCTAAATAAATTTTGCAGTCTGACATAACTTATTCACACATTATTTTCCATGCATTATGCTTTAATTTTCTCTTCGTTCATGGTTTTATAGGAAATAATCTCTAGTGACTATAGGAATTCAGACATAAAAAGAACATCTCAAAATAGTATGCTTACACTTTGATCCAGAAAACCTTGCTCTGTCCTTAGGGGCATTTTAAAAGACCTGCACACTGCTCACATGGACTATAATTTTGGCATCTATGCCCCACTGCACTCACACAAGTTCTCTGGGCATACCTCTGGCTCAGTATTGTAATCTCAACTTGATTGCTTAAACATTTTAATAGTAGCAGAGTGTCAATACTGAATCATTTTGTAGTTACTTATGTATTGAGACATTAATGATATGGTTAATATGTATAATTCTTGCTTAATTGAATTTGATGGCTAAATTTTCATTAACACCAGACAAGTGAAAGTTATAACCCTAGCCTTTCTTTTCTTTTTTGTAAAATGTGAATAAATCTGTTTCTTCTTAGGTGGGTGTGATTGATTTCTCGATGTACTTAAAGAATGAAGATGATATTGAAAGCAAAGAAAGGTGTGTGTTGTGTACCTTGAGGTTCAGCATGTTGAATTAAACTGTTGAAAAATCCAACACATTAGAGTGTATTCAGAGATTCCTTTTCTTGGATGGAATATTCCTTCTGTCAGGGGAAGAGAACCTTTGGATCCAGCTTATTTTCTTTTAGCAATTCTAATCAACTATCACATTTAATACTTCGAAAGGGCGGGTGGGGTGTACATTTTTTCTGTAAGACTTTGCCATGGCAGTGGTGGGGGAGGTGGGTAGTAAAACTTGCCTTGCTTTGTCCGGACTGCTAAGAGGACACTTACATGAACTTCTGTTCTTCTTTACTGAAATTTACCCAAGCTAAATATGGACTGAGTTAATTACGAATCAGATTTGAGAACTCTTATAGGTCAGCTCCTCAGCCTCTTTCTCTTCCCTTATTAATTTTGCTTTCTCTTTCCTTGTACGTTTATGAACTTCTATGGTGAAATAACATCTTTCAAAATAATAATTGAAAAAGATTGATGGAATTTGAATTATAGGCTTAGCAAGTGAAGAGAAATACCAGTCTCCTTGTTCTATGTTACTCATGTTTATGCAGAAGAAAGTACCACTGAATTAAATGATACTTCCTCCCATGAAAGCATGTTGCCTGCAGCGGAGAGCTAATGGCACCCCCCCCCCCCCGCCCCATTCACAACACTTAGGACCAACACTTGATCTTGTTGCAGCATTCTTACATCAGCTTTTATCATTATCAATCCCCCTATGATGGCGCTGCCTGGTGGTCACCAGTCTGGGATATTTATCAGGGGGAATTCATGTTAAAGTTTATGTATTTTCCAATTTCTTAGACATGCAATGTTGGAAAGGAATAGTGGTTTTCAGTTCATTCTGCAGTTCTAAGATGGGATATCCTATACCCAAAAGGGTTTTTTTTAAATCGGGCTTCCCCAACTCAGTGCTCTACAGATCAGAACTGACTGGCCAGGAGGGCACAAGGTTAGGGAAGGTTGTTATAAGCTATGCTCAACTGTTATTAAGTTGGAGTGCTTACAATATCAAGATTAGGCAGCCTGATATATGGATGTTTTGAAATTCAGCCTTCATTAGCTCTATGCTGCAGAGCCAATGATGAGAACTTAAAGGGTAAATCCAAAACACTCAGAAGGCCCAAAGGTATCTACTCCTGTGCCATGGTAAAAGAATTTAACATTTCTGACCTAAAGTAAAGCGCTTCTGCTCTTATGTGGCATTTTTAAGGCTCAGATAAAACTCTAATCATATAATTTTCCAACTCTTTTAGAAATGACCATATTGCTGCTATACTGGATCAAAAGAATTATGTTGAAGAACTAAATCGGCAACTGAAGTAAGTAGAGGCATGTGTTAAACAGAAGAGGCATCCTTTGGTAAAAATACACCTTTTCTAGTAAAGCAGTAGGCATTTGAGTTCCTATAATTGTGCTTGTCTCTAGTTAATGGTAGTATAATATAACTAGTAGGTAGAGATTCTGAAGTTGAGACTTCTGGAAGTAGTAGTGTTTGCAGAGATTTGTCCATTAACGTGCTTTTATTCTTTTAAAACTGAACAAACTAAGAAGAATTTCTTACATTATCTGATCAAGTTTAAACTAGCATGATAAAATCCTTTAAATAATTGATTCAAACTTAATTTGTACTTGCTGTTCTGTACCAGCAAGATTACAGCTTCAATCCCAAACAGTTTTTGGGAGCAGAGTCAGTGCCATGAGTTAGAGTTCTTGTGGGAAATATTTGGGTTACAATGGTGTTTCCAATAGGAAATCTGTAAAATGTGGTAGTAAAATATACTTCTATAAACATCTGTGTATGTTTCCTGGACCATCTGCATAAGATTTTTGAAGGATGCTGCATATGAATATTTGATTTTCATGCTATATACCTTTGTGGTAGAAAACACCAGTGTACCACTGATATTTCCTGTCAAAACTGGAAAATGTAGTACTATACTAGCCCCAGTTAACTTGGTGGGACTCTCTTCTGAATAAACATGTTTAAGATTGGAGTGCAAAGAGAACTGTATTCAGCAGTTGGCCAGAACTTTATTATCACAAAGTTTAGGGCACAATCTGATGCATGCCTAGACAGAAAAAGTCCTATATTTCCCAGCATACCTCCACCTGGTGTGCTTACTGGAGCATGCTGGGAATTGTAGGACATTTTTTCTGTGTAAATGTACATCAGATTGTACCCTTAGTATTCCTCCTTAGAAAGAAATGGGCTTACTGCTAAGTTAAGAGAACAGTTAGCTTCAACAAACAAGGTGAGAGTGCTGAAAAGCTAAACAAATGAGCACATAAAGTGACAACGTATTTTTATTTCCTTCCCTAAAGAGTTGCAGAAAAAAATAAATTCTCTGAATTGTGGGAGAGGGAGGAATGAATGAAAGTTGACAGTCATGTAATGAATCTTAGAAAGATACCAATGTCAATTGCAGTAGTGAGGAAAAATGAGATGACTGCAGACAGAAATCTAATGAAATATATTTTCTTGAGTAGGTATAGTGGAGGTGCACCTGCACTTGTAGGAATTTGGGTACAAATCTTAATAAGTGTCTCTTTATTGTTTTCAGTAGCACAGTCAGCAGCCTCCATACACGTGTTGATTCATTAGAGAAGTCAAACACTAAACTAATTGAAGAGGTACTGTCTTTTAGCAATGTATAACTTTATGTTGGAATTAGTAGTATTTATGGCTTTTTTGTTTCATTTGGACCATTATTTGAAACACTTTTCCCATGATGTTTTCCTGAATATTCTGCTTCCCAACATCTTCACTTCTTTAATAAGCTGTAATGAGCTAAATAGGATCCTGGGCCAGGTAACTAGGCATATCAGTTTTGATTGGAGTAGTCCTTACATTTTGTGACAGCTCTGTCATATGATATCTGTTAGATCTAGCCCTTCATCAGTGTATGCACCTCTCAGAAGACCTTATTTTAAGCTGAGATTTGTGCACAAGTCCATACAAGCCCTTTAAAATTATAAAGTGGTAGTTCTTGCTAAATTATGCTTTTTTATAAATGCATTTGCTGATGGTGCCTCATGCTGAATGTCAGTTGGTGCAATATAGTAGTTAGATTGTGAGACTTTGATCTTGGAAACCTGGATTTGTCAGCAGTGACCCTGGGCAAGTCCTTATCTCAGCCTGTTACCTCAGAGGGTAGTTGTCATGATAAAGTGAGGATTGTGTTCATTGGACAAATAGCAGGGAAAAATATAGTTATTTCCAATAACTCACTTTTCCCATATAGCTTATTTTCTCAAGTATATTTCTTGCAACTGTAAGGGATAAGTCCTTTGTGTTTAACATGTTTCTAAAGACCCATTAAAATGTTTTTTGCTCTTTGTTCTGTGTATATGCTTCAGAATGTTGTTTTCCTACTGTTCACCTGAACTTGTTTATATTTTCTGTTTTGTTTTGTTCTGCCTCTTCTTAGTTAGCAATAGCCAAAAACAACATTATTAAACTTCAAGAAGAAAACCATCACTTAAGAAGTGAAAACACTCTCATTTTGATGAAAACACAGCATCATCTAGAGGTATGTAGATGTAGTTTGTTTTGATAGAGGTAGAGGTAGTTTGTTTTGATTTGAATAATGTCACAAAGCTTAGGTTCATGACTTGCATATAAAAATTCAAATTGACATTTTTCTAAGTATTGTATTAATCCTAGTAGATAGGGATTATAGATCTGTGATAAACTTTTTAGAAAATCATTTGTGAATGCATTTTGTTGGGCAAACTTTTACAGTGTGCATAAAAACCAAAGGTAGCTGTATTGTCCCCACAGTTTGGCAATACCTTTACTAGAAACAAGTAGAATAATTCAGTTAACCAATAATCAGTTAAAATTTTCTGGTATCTCTGCTCTTAAAGAAAGAACTTGAACTTTAAATGGATATAAAACAAAATCATCAACAAAGTAACTGCTTGAGTTTCCTTTCCCCAGGCCTAACTAAGATAAATCAAAAATGGAAGGATTGCCTGGCATAATTGCTCTCTCTGTGGTCCTGGGAACAATCAGTGGCAAACAGTGATGGGAGTAGGACTGTGTGGAGAGAGCATTTGGTGGAGCATTGCCATATTGGTCCTCAGAGCTCACTTGCCAACACAAGAGATGGGGCATATGTGGTCTGTTGCATTTCACTGATTCAGAGGGTTGGCATCCTGCCCTTCTTCCCCTATCCTGAAAATCCCTGGAAAAATGTTAGGAAAGTTTTTTCAATGACTGTAGCTTTTTGTGTCTGCCCCTTTTGCCCTAGTTATTTAAGTGTAAGTGGTCCCTCATTTCCTTCATAGGTGAACAAAGTGGATGCTGAAGCAGAACTTCAGACATACAAACACTCCAGACAAAGCCTGGATGACATGTATAACGAAGCACATAGGCAGCTTCGAGAAGAATCCCAGTTAAGACAAGTGAGTATATAATGGATATGCTGTCGGCTTTGTACCATGCTATTTTCCCAGACATTTTTGGCTGTTTAATACTTGGGAAATTTTGTGTGTGTGCTTTGTAGGATATAGAAAATGAGCTGATGGTCCAAGTTGGTATGAAGCATGAGATAGAACTTGCAATGAAGCTGCTGGAGAAAGATATACATGAAAAACAAGATACCCTTATAAGTCTGCGGCAACAGTTGGAGGAAGTCAAAGCAATAAATGTAGAAATGTACCAAAAGCTTCAGGTAAAAATAATATTCATTATTCATAACTTGAAAACTGAACACACTGTACACATGGGTCCAGTTTTGTAGCTATGCCTGCTTATTCTTAATCTTCAAATGAGGCTATTTGCCTCTTTTGAGAATTGTTGGTTTCAATGCCAAGTTGTGGCAGTTGTGCCTGCGATTCTTTTCTCTGCACAAGAGCAAATACACCATATACCATGGAGGTGCTGCCCAAGGCAAATTTGGGAAATGGTCTTACAAATCCCCAGACATCTTCCTCCCTGTCCTATCACAGTCAGCATCCAAGGAATTGTGACAGCTGCCCTCCAATAACAGGAAAGCCACCTCAAACAGGGTTAAGGGAAGTGGGGAGGGGCGGCGGGGGGACTGGAGCAGTCAGGATCTAAGGTATCCTGAGGCTGCTCCACTCTCCTTCCATCATCTTCTGTAGCTCTCCAGCTACACGGCTGAAGATGGCCATCTAGTGAACCTGCAGAGAGGGAAGAGTAGCGAGGCACAGATCGCCTCTGTCAGTCCTCCTGTTCTGCATAGAATACCCATAATTCTCTGAGTCTGGCAGCTGATAAGCCTCCTCACCAGGGGAATGACTTCCAATCATTCCAGATTGTTCATTCCTTGTAAAGCAGAAAGCCGGGCAGTGGAGCACATCAAGCCTCAAACTGTTGATACCTGCCACATTTTTTCAAAGTTCCATTTGTTTTCCTTTTAGCAGTATTTTAGAGAAAAAACAGAAATGAAGAATTTAAAAAATACACACATCCCCCATCCCCAAACTTCTCCTCCTGGAGAATGATGAGTTTACCGGGGCTAAAATGAGAGAAAGTGACTGACAGCCATATATAACATAGCTAAATGGTAAGAGTTCTAGCACACAGTTTATTAACTGAAGTTGGACCAGTGAGAGCAACATTGAGGAGAGATGAAAGGAAGAAACAAAGGCAACACATGAAAGTCATAGTCCTTATTGTTACTTAGCTGTTATTTCTCAGTTACTAATCAGTATTACTCAGTGTTTTGATATAAGAAATTAATCTCTTTAATGATAGGTATCAGATGATGCCATGAAAGAAAAGAATGAAATCATTGGCCGACTGGAGGATAAAACAAGTCAGATTACGGCAACTATGAAACAGTTAGAGCAAAGGTACAGCATCTCGTTTTATTTTGTTCTCCCCCTTCATTTCTTTTTTCCTTTGCTTGCCAGATTGGCTGCATTTACATGTGGCATTAAACCTTGGCTAGACACTGTTCAGGCATGCTGGAATGAGGACAAGCAACACTCAGGTTCACGTGCTCCTCCTCTCATTCTTTCACTTTGTGCTTCCTGGACAGCTGTCAAAAGACAAGCTGTGAAGGGAAGCTAAGCTGCAAGTGATCTTTGCTTTGTAACAAATTTCAAACAAGCTTCATAATCCATGGTTTGAAGTTGGTTTGTGTACAAACTGACCAGAGTTTTTTCTGAATTACAATCTCTGGTTCATAAGCAATGACAAATTCAGATTCTGTGAATGTGAAGCTAACTACTGTTAAGTCCTCTTCCGAGAAGAGAAGAGAAGAGAAGAGAAGAGAAGAGAAGAGAAGAGAAGAGAAGAGGAAACTGGGGAACATGTGAGCCTGAGTCTTGCTTTGACTCACTCTAGCACATGCTAAATCATGGTTTAATCTTATGTGCAAATTGACCAATATCATGTAGTGGCCATGGAAACATGACTTCATTTTGAAGGAAGCTAAATGTGCATTTTGCTGCTGACTTATAAATGCTTTATGTACAGGTTTTGTACAAATAGAGAATGAATAAGCAATAATTCAAACTTTTATTCTTCCTTATATATTGACTGCATTGGATTGTGCCCAGCTTCAGGCATGAACAGTGCAACTAGTAGAGGCAGACTTTGCAAGACTTGCCTTCTTCTGCACGGCAGTCTCTTCAGTCTTCCAGAATTGCTATGCAGTGGTTTTGGAGGACGTTGCTGAATGGAGTAGGAAGAGTGGGATGGGTTAGGGTGGAAAAGGATCCCTGAAAACCCACTGGATTTTCAGGTATCTCTCTTCCTTAGCTCCCTACACCTCAGTCCATCCCATTCAGCAGAGACCCCTGACCCATTTCCTGGTGGGAAGGTTGGAGAGATTGCTGTATGGCAGCGGAGGCTAAGAAGGCACTTCTGTTAGTCCCATTACACATGCATAAATCTCAATTTAACCTATTATTCCCTGTGTGTATTCCTTCTTTAGTTAGCCACTCCATAATTCCATTTTAATCTTGTTTCTTTTTTGTATATAACTTGTATTCTGCAAAGCTTCCATTGACCAGACTAAATGTTACACTTAGTCAAAACTCAGTCCTGTACTCAAAGGCAAATGCTGAACTACCTGGGACATTCGAAGATACATGAATGACACTTTTCTTAAAATTAGGCGTGTTTTGAATACTAGCGATGATGGTAATGGTATTAGGTTTGTGGCTTTGAAAGAATTTTTTGCCCTAACCATCTCAAAACTATTTGCCCCAGAGGGAAAATACATTTGTCAAACTTTAGCTTAGAGAAATAGTATGTAATTTACTATTTACATACTATTTACTATTTACATAATATTACATAAAATGTTCTTCCTTTTAAATTTAAATTTTGAGTAGGAGTCCCAGAGAACCTTCGTTCTTGGTCCATGTGGTTCGCTATTGTTTTTAAAATGTGCTTTGAACAGCAGATCATATTTGAAACTGAAGAGAAATTCAGAAGTAGTTTGTGATACTGCTATCATTTGTTTCAAGAAAAGAGGGCAAATGTCTTCCATGCTGTGCCTAAGACCCTGGATGTTTCTATAGTTTGCATTGAGGCTCTATATACTAATAAAAATGCGGTATCAATTCTATGTATAAATATAATACATATTTACATATTATACATAATAATGTATAATAGCATGCATAACATTCACAAAAGGGTATAAAAGCAATGATTTACATGCATCAATAATTTTATGAACTGTAAAAAAATGTTACTATTCATAGCCTCATCATGTGGCTGCTGATATGTCTCGCCATTGGTTTTTCTTTTCAATTCAATTGACTTAACAAAAAATAATAATTATATATTAAAGTATTAGTGGCATGACTATTCTTTTATTGACATCCTTTTTCCTCTTTTTCTTTTTCTTTTCTCCTTTATCCCAACTTTTACATTTTTGAATGTTTTTATTACCTTTATTTGTCTTTGATTTTTTTCATTGTACATATGAAGTGACAAAGAATTGTTAACACAAACTAGAACTATTGCAATGTCCTTGGTGAAATGTGCCAACAATGAAGGGCAGCATCAGTACAAGCTTGTTAAAGATATATCATTTTGAACAATATTTTATGCCTCCTGAAATGAAAAATGGAGTAAAATCTCCTTAAAAATCTCCTAGTTTTTTTTAAACTAGCTTTTAAGCTTTGATGCTTAATTGGGTGTGTACCAAGTTGTAAATGTAGCAAAATAATTTTGGCATTGTCATGGGTCAGTATTTCTGGCACAAATCTAAAAAGTTGTTTTTTTGGAAATGACATTAAAATTAGCATATTATTTGCAGGTCAGAATTAAGATTAAAACCAGTGTTCTTACTTTTGAAATGTTAAATAGAAATTTATTTTAAATGCAGCAAGCATGATTTTCATTAGGTTGGATGACATAGCCACAGAATAGTTCAGTTTTTTTAATTGGAGAAATTTAATTAGCAGGATAGAGTAACAGTCTTTTGAGTTACACAGAACACTTTTTAAAAAGCCAGTAATTTGTCATTTTGAATATCGTCTCTAATATATTTAGAGTTGCACAAATTCTGCTGTAAAATATAGAGAATGCACAACAAGTAGTGCTCGCTGAATCATGTTCATATCTGGCCTTTTTGTCTTGAAATTGAATGAAAGTGAATGGAATTTTAAATTTCAAGATTTTTTAAAAAATTCTTGAAATTGAATGGAATTTTAATTCCATCTTCCTTTGGACTGACGAGGCAATGAAATCTAGATTAATTAATGGACATGGTACAGCAATGAAAGGTCATTAAACTAGAAAGAATCCAGTTTCGGGGGGGGGGGAAGGAACAATGGACCAACAGCAGTTAATATTTTTGTTTTGTTCATATTTTATAGTAATTTATTAAGATAATCAAACCATTTGATGTGCACAGGGAACTCCTGTATGAGAGGCCTTCCCCATTCATTTCTTTGGAAGTGGCTCTTTCATGCCCAAAGGAATACAGGTGTGGAACTGCCTTGAAATTAAAGGGGGTGGTTCTTATATATGTGGAACATCCAGTTCACACCCCTGTGAGTATGCAGATTACCTGTTTTCATTTATACTGGGGTGGGCAAGACACCAGTAGATACGCTTGCTAGGGTTTATGGGAGCTAAAGGCCAACATGTCTGGAGGGTCCCAGCCTACCCACCCCTTTACTGTACCAAGCACACTATCTTAGACACACCATGGTCTTCCTTGGCATATATTTAATGCAGCACTGGCTCTGCTGCCATGATTGCACTAGTCCACTATTTGTTCTGAATTGTATCAGATCATCCAGTACACTGCCTTTTCCAGTCTGTGGTACTGAAGGATTTGGGTAGGTAAGGTATAGCTAGTTACAGGATTTTGTTGTCCTGTTCTTTTATCTATACAATACCCACAATGACTCAACAGTGCGCAGTGGAAGCAATGCATATGTGAACCATAAAATCTGTATGCCTCAGCATAGCTGGTATCTGTTAATCATAAATACCAAATAAACACTTTCGGAGAAAGGTATGGGTGCTTTTGTTACTGTGGTAGTGAGAAAATAATTTGGATTTTTTTGGCATTGTCTGGGTCTCTCATTTGAGTTTGTGAGTTTACCCCAAACTTTGTTTTCATTTAGAAAATGTTTCTATTTCCCCATTTTTTCTTTTATTTGCCTTCACCCTTTGCACCCCAAATTCTAGCTTCAGTTTTACCCAAAGTTGATTTGAATTACACCAGATTGCATCAAGCAGAGAAGGCTCAAATGGAAGCAGAGAGTGAGGACAAGAATATTGAACAAGATTATATGAGTAAATCTGAAAGTCTCCAGAAAGAAATTGCCCAAAAGGAGAAAAAAGTGTGAGTAACATATATTTCTGGGAAAGCTAGAATCCATTTACCATTTTTGTTTTTACTGTCATCAAAATGTACTGTTAATTTCTTGAACCTTTGCTGGACAATCCTAACTTAGGTATGCTTTTCATTACCAATTTTGTACAGATGTAGAGCTATAAGGTAGAATTCTAGGACAGTGGTGGCAAACCCATGGTATGCCTACCGCAATGGGCACACAGCCCTCTCTGTCGGCACATGAGCCAAGTCACCCCAGCATCGCCCCAGCAGCTGAGCATTGGATAACAGCGCACATAGGGGCCATGCGCATGCTCGGAAAGGAGTAGCGGCGCCAGGTGATGACGTCACGAGCCGCAACTCATTAGCCATGCCTCGTCCGAGCTTTCGCATGGCCAGTCAGTGCTCTGCCAAGGATATATATATATTTGCTTGGACTGGCTGTGAGTTGTTTTATCTCAACTAAAACCTCAGTATTCAGGTTTTATTGCAGTGTTGGCACTTTGCAATAAATAAGTGGGTTTTGGGTTGCAGTTTGGGCACTCGGCCTCTAAAAGGTTTGCCATCACTGTTCTAGGACATCACTCCTTGCACAAGTAGCAAACAGTGTTCCCAAACATACACCCCTTTGCATTTACACTTTTGTCTCCGTAATCAAAAATGACCTGGGACATAAAATACACTAATAAAATAAATACAAGTGATCCTGTGTTGATCTGATTGCTCTCCTAACTTGGAAGATTATGGGCATCCTGTGTGTGCCAGAAGAAGCATGGAGACCAAGGGCACTTCCGCTGTTTTCCCACTTCATCAAAGCAGCTAGGTAGTCACTTTCAGCAATCTGATGGCGACACTTCGGACAGGGAGAAGAGGCTGAGTTGTCAGCAGGTTGTTGTATCTTGGCAGTGCCAGTCTCCTTCCCTTCTCCACCTCCTTAGACCTGCCCCTCCAAATCCCTTCTTCAAGTTGCTTCTACAGCCCTGGAGAAGCAGCTGGTACAATTCTTTACTTGCTTACTGTGGGGTGGGGGGGTGGAATCCAAGTGAAGATTCCCAAATTTGAAGCCAGAGCACTTTCCTGAACTGGGATTTAGAAATGCAGAAAATCATATTGCTTTGTTAGGGCCACTGAGATGAAAAATATACCATGGTTATTCTCAGCTCAAACTGATTAGAAGTAAGCGCCATTCTTCTGACATTACACACAAAGAGAAAAGAGCATCCAGGATGTTAAAGGGTCTGGAAACAAAATGCTGGGAAGAATAATCAAAAGAGATTGCTACGTTTAGCCTGGGAAAAAAATTAAAAGGAAACATGATAGCATTCTTCAAATATTTGAAAGGCTATCATGGAGAAGATGTTTTCTGTTTCTCCAAGTGGAAGGATTAAAACAAAGGTTGGAAGTTCTATGAAAACAGGCTTGCTTTGTTTTTATATTTTGTATACTGGCCAGAGAGCTTCGGCTATGGGGTAGTATAGAAATCAAATCAAATAAATCCCCCCTCCTCCCCCCGCCCCAGGTCCAGAAATTAGGAGCAGAGATTCAAGGACTGGCTTAGACTCATATGAGTCTGCAGTAACCAAGTAGGTAATTTTCTGTTTGAATAGCTAACCCCAGTGCCATAGTGCAAATTGCTTTTGAAACTTTTCTGTTTGCCATTGACTGTAGGGAGAGAGGTTTAAAAATAGTCTTAGTATTTTCTTGAGCTCAAGGAACTAGTTTAACATTTTGGGGTTCCTTGCCCAGATATTTACTGTATTTACTATGCTGTATGTGAATTATTTTCAATATTGTATCCTAAGCTATGTATTAAGACAGCCTTCCCCAACCTGATGGCCTTCAGAGGCATTTGGACCACAACTCCCAAAATTCCCATCCAGCAGAGCCATTGACTGGGAATTCTGGGTGTTGTGGGCCAAATGCCTCTGAAGGCCATCAGGTTGGAGAAGGCTATCTAAGGAATTTATAAGGGGATACTTACTTAACTATAACAAGATATCTTATAACAAGATACTGATTTAAACATTTTATTTTGGTTTGAGTGACTTTTTAATATTCTATATTTCAAGGTGTCAGCTGGAAACAGATTTGAAAATAGAAAGAGAGTGGCGGCAAACCATGGAAGAAGACCTTAAAAAGGAAAAAGAAATATCAACCTCTTTGAAGACAGAGACCCAACAAATCGTTACTCTTAAAAAAGTAAATTCTGCCTCAAAATTTCGGAGAATTTCAGTGGTCATTTGAAACTGGATACCCAGCAGATGTTTTAGCATCTAACTCCCATCAGTATCATATTGAGGAAGGCAGCCATAGATTTGTGTTGTGCCAACTTTGATGCTTTTTTGATTCTAGGCAAAAGCCTTGTTTCCCCAGGCTTTTGATTATTAATTTGTGGTGGAACTATTTTAATTGCTTTAATTGTGTGATTATTTAAACTTTCTGCAAAATTATTAGAGGGAGCAATTTTGGAGGTAGAAAAAAGTTTTCAAATGGGTAGTTCCTCTCGCTTTCTGCCTTCTAAAAACTGATGTAAAAGATGTATTTTTGCCTTGGGCCATGGTATCAACAGAACTTGGCAGGCTTCAGCCAGCAGCTGCACATTCTCCTCCACCCCCAAATGCTCCTGGGCTGATGCTGCACGATGTAGCATCATTCCAAGGGCATTCTGTGGTGCTGGGGGCCAGCAGGTGGCTCCTGGGAAGAGCTCTCCTACTTCTGCTACCATAGGAAGTAAAAATACATTTTTGAATAGGAGAAAATGGAAACCATTGCCCTGGGTTAGGGTTAGGGCCAGAAGTTGGCACCATGGAGCATCCATGCCGTACCCAACCACCAGCCCAGCTTGTCACAACTTGGGAGTAAGCCTGTGAGGTGGCAAAGGAGCTCAGCAAGGGGACTCACAGATACTGCTGAGTAAGTAATATGGAGCTCTTAGTGCCAAATGATGACATGACCCATGTGTGCTGGGAAGTTATGGGCAGTTTCTAGCAGCAGAAGGGATGGGCAAAGAGTGTGCTCACTAAGAGGAGCTTGCATTGCAGGTTGTGGATTGGGCTTATATTGAGAGAATAGCCTACAGTGACCCCACAAGTTACCCTGTACTATGATCCCTATGGTACACATTGATCTGAGAGAACAAAGTATTTAATGCCCTGTTATAGCTTGTTTTTATTGAACCTTACTACAAATTGGGGAGGGCTGTGTTGAGAGAAACTCAATGCAATATCTTTTACAGTCCAATGTTAATGTGCTGGTTGCTACATAATCTAAATTTGACTTCAGACCAAGCTAAATTTGGCCCATTTAGACCTCTTTACTGAGTTCACCCTCAAAAAGGGATGCCTAGGGGGACAAAAGTGGTCCCCAGATGCCACCAGTTGCCCATTCCTGATACAGATGCTCATTTGTCTATGTGTTTAAAAGACAAACTCATCTTAAAGGATGCAGATCTCTTCTGGGAATGGGAATACATTTTTTGTAATGAACACCAGCTAACTAGCACATTTTATCCTGCTTCTGTTACAGACTGGCAGAACCAATTTCTCCAGAGCATAATCCCGAACAAAGAATTTTAGAACAATGTGAAGTAGGCTGTTCGATGTACAGTTGCATGCACCTTTAAAATATAATGCTGGATGAAAATTGCTCCACATGTTGTTAACTCCAATTTTAAAACCCAGACCAAACCAGAAAGTTTTACAGCCACTCTAAAAATCCTGCCATGGGCTTCTATTTGAGGCTCTTGACTGGCTACTGTGGGAATGGCAGGGGCCCAGACATGCCTTTGGTGTAATCTAGCAGGGCTAGATCTATTAGTTTTTATTACTTTTCTCTCCTATTTGCTGGCTATCTGGAATTGTAGGGAACAAGATTTTGAAAATTCTCCACATTTTCTCCACATTTCTTGTTAATGCTCCTTGGGCTTCGTTTGATCACATGTTAGCACAAAAAGGACTATCAGGAAGTCTGTTCATTCATCCAAATAAGAAAATTTAGGGCATCTTAGAAACATTACGTGAAGATGCAGTTATACTGGAAATGCATTGTTTAGTTATCACGTATATAATCTATGATTCACATTCAGAATTTTTTTTGCTAACTTGAAAGGATGTTGGGAAGGTGGTGCAGAAGTATTCTGCTTTCCTTTTTTTGCCCTTTCTAATACGTTATCCAGCCCTGGATAATGCAGAACTAGATAAAATGTGATTTTCTTTCAGTGATAACATCCTCAGAGGGGGAGCCATGTTAGGTTCTGTAGCACCTTGAAGCCAAACACATTTATTGTGTCTTACTGCTGCTATACCTCTGTGCTGATTAGGTTGCAACTGCTGTGGTCTTATTGTTTTATGTCTTTCTTGCTTTTCTTGTTTTTAGCTTTTGTTAACTGCCCAGAGAGCTTCAGCTGTTAGGCAGTATAAAAGGAATTCTTATTAATAGTGTTATTATTATTGGATTGGATGCCACTTGATCAGATGCATGAAGAGTTATCCTCATATAGTGAGTTAATATAGATATAAATATAGAGCAGATGTGGAAATATGATAAATGGGAATGATTTTAGCTTGGTGCTATAGACCACCTTATCTTCTCCACCTCTGCTGCCATCGCAGTACTGGTCCCAGACATTGTGTTGCCCAAACCAGAGCCCATATGGTGCCTCTTCCCTCTCCCCACTTACCCAGTCCAAGTCCTGTATCATTCAGACACTGATTCTTGCCCATCTGCACAACCCTATGGTGTCATCTGAAATGGGTCACTTCACTCTGCTGCACAGACTTTGGTTAATAGTTTGTTCTGGGTTACTAGTGTGGAATTGTTGGTTCAGGTTTTCATTTCATTGGCTGGGTTTCATAGACAAAGAAGTGTCTGATCCTGGTTGAAATCTCTCATTGTTAATACATGTTGTCATATCTAATGTTCATATTTGTTTTTTAAAGGAATTCCTAAAATTACATGAAAAAAACAAGCAGTTGAAAAATCTGTCTCATGGCCAAGAAGAAGCACTCCAAGAATTAGCTGGCAAACTTAGCGAGTAATTCTTCCTTTTTCTTCTTGCAGGGGAGGGACATGATTATCCTTGTAACCCAATGTTTAAATGGTACCATGGTGTTTGAGCAAAAAATAATTTATTATTATCCGTGAATAAGTTCCCCAGTCTTATTTTTCTCTGGTTTGGAAAGTCATCCAACCAAGGGGTTCCTCTGAAGGAACATACCATGCAAATGACAAAAGACTTTTTAATTTTCTTGGGCACATACTAACTCAGCCTGCTTGCACAGAAGCCTGCTTTTCATAGCCTTCTGTTGTACCATGGGAATATTCAACTTGTCAAGCATTTAGATACTAGTATAGCATTTGGATTTTTGTTTGTTTGTTTAGAATATTTATATGCTCCCTTTGTTGAGTTCAGAGCAGCCTACATTATATCAAACCATGCTAATAAAAATAAATAAAATTTATAACAACCAAGCAATAATGCAAGAGTTTAACAGCAATGCTCTAAAAAGATGTCGAAAGTCAGCCCCCAAAGTCCTTCTGAATGACATGTTTTGCTGCATTTCTAAAAGGTCACACTAAAACAGCAGTTCTGGATTTCTTGAGCAAAGTTGCTCATGTCAGCCATCTACTATGAAGACTCTACTTCTCAAGTTGGTCTTCTCAAGATGTGCCTCTCCTAGATGTTCTCAGCCCACATGGAGCAGGACATGACCAACAAAATTAATGGCTGTGTGGCTCAAATTTCATGGCCCAGTTCAGAGACAACTCTACATTTGAGAGCTGTGTCTGGATACAAGTATGAACTAGTTATGACTTGCTTCATTACTGCTGATGAAGTCCAATGAAATGTTTTTCTAGGGTCCTGGTGTAAGAATTGTTTGCACACTGCTAAAATATGTTGTCTTGGTCACTGTGTGAGAGACCTTTCAGAAATTTTTCTTAGCAAGTCATCCTTTCTAGGGGAAAAAGGAAATAGATAGAAAACTTGGGGAAGATGGCAGCATGTTTATGTGTGTTGAATAAGCTGAATGCAGGGTTGAAAGGGGAGCAGACTTATGTATCGATTCAATCCAGTCCTAATTCTCTGAAAGAAATGGTATATTTTCCCCTAGTCTATAATTATTTACACTTGATTTTCAAATCATGTCTTTTCTTTAGATCGAAGCTTAAAATAGAAGATATAAAGGAAGCAAACAAAACATTACAGGTTAGTAATGTGGGAGAGATGGCATGTTCCACATGGATTCTTCTATTAAAATTATTTATTTATTTATTGGCCACCAAGTAGTTCAAATGGACTCGCATGTTTGAAAATGTGTTTATTGTGTACTGCACTCTAGCCCATACATCCAGGGACGGCTTTAATTTTAAAGTGTGGCTTGGTTGTTATATCTGAACCAAGCCAATCTGTTCTTTCACTGTTTGCTTCACTTCAAGCCCTTGCCCTAGATTTTTCATTGATTTTTTGTCACAAAATTAAAATTCATCTCTATTTTATTCTGCTTAATTCAAGTATTAATGGAACATACATTAATGGGTGAGCTCATGCTGCATGGCAAGTTACCCTGCAAAAATGCTAAGCAGTGTGGGTTTTTTTTCTGGAACAACCCACTCTGCACTCAACAAATGATTGAACTAACCATGGGTTCTCCCGCTCTTTTTCTCTCAGTATTCTAGGGGACTTCATGGCAAGATGAGTACTGTTTTCCCTCTCTGAAGTGACTGTAAACCATGAAACCTGTATATATCCCTGTCAATCCTGATTAATTCTGTCAAGGACTCCATGTTGAAAGGAAGCCTGAGTTTTGACAGCTATCTAAACGTCATATTCCTTTAAATGGGGTGGTTCACACTTTTGCATCTTCCTGAACATTTAGAATTTTGGGAGGAGATGACTGTAGTCAGGGATACTGAGAGCAGGCAGGTCCCACCCAAAATATGAGTAGATCTTGCTGGGAAGGGGGTAGTCTATACACCACCCCATTTTTCCTGCAAAGATACCTCAACCCAGGTTTTATCTGACAGCTCACCATTTGACAGCTGTCAAATTGAAAACAAAGTAGCAAATTAACATGTTTTTATAGTTTTGCTTTGTTGATTTCCTTGCTGTACTTTGAAAAGAAATAGCATCCAGAGCATTGACAAGGCAAGGCTGCACATTTGGGATAGCCAGAGTTGCACACTTGTTATGGTCTAAGCTACCCCTTCTCAAATAATTTAGAACAGAGGTGGTTAAATGTAACCAAGGAAATAGTTCCCCATTGTGAGTGGCAGCTATAAGTTCCACTGGTGCTTGCACACTACTTGTTCTGTCCTGTTTTGCCACCACAAATGTTTTTTGTTTTGAAATTGCCAGGAATACTTGCCTAATTCTTTTGGACTGGGAAATATGCACACATTTAATGGCTGGAAGTAAATGGAGGAAGGATTTTCAGTAATGAGACAATTAACACAGTGTGCAAATTTCCCTTCCATTTACTTGCCAGCCATTACATTTGCATACATTTCTGCATTTTTAGAACCATCACGGAACTACAGTAAAAGCAGCGGTAAGTGTTCCAAAAAAGAGCTGTGAAAAGAGAGTGGACTTAGTATTTTCTCTTTCTGGACTAGCTGGATGCTTTGGGAAATCTAGATGCCCTAATAGGTTCTTTTGGTTCTTTGATATGATCAACAGCTGTAATTTCTTCTCACTGCTGGAATGTCTACATCATGTTACAGCCACCATCTACAACAGTGCTTCTTGTAGAATACTAACATCTCCAGTAATTGACTTAAAAAGGCTTAGAAACCTGTTTTAACTGCCAGGGTGTGTTCTGTGATTGTGAGATAACTTTTCACTTATTTAAAGATACTGGGAGATTCTTATACTCATCTTTCAAGGATGAAGCTGAGGCAGATGCTTTCCCAAATTCTAGTGTTGTTGTGTTCTCTCGTTGGCTTTTTCAGCAAACTTGATTGGCCCATGTGTTTCCTAACTTCCTGTTTGTTATTAATCATACATTAATTTAGATTGCAATCCCATATCCACTTAATTGGGAAAAGGCCCCTTTCAACTCAGTGGGTCCTGATTCTGAGTATCTTTCTTGGCCTCCATGACTGGGGCAGATGAACTACCTGATCGACAGCTTATCCACCCTTACTAATCTTTCCCTACAATGTATATCCACATGGTATGTTCTAGGATACATTTCCAGGGACTGCACTGTATTCAGGGGCTCCCAACTTTTTGGGACTTCAAAGCATATTTAGAAATTTGAGTAATCACTGTGGAAACCATCACAAAATGCCCAGTCCCTGGATTGCCACACTGGTGTCTGTCCTCTTGATGGCTCTTAGGGTGCATCTTAATCAGCAAAAATGTTTTGTGTCTGTTGGAACCTGCAACATTTCTTGAGTAAGGGATTGTCTGAATCAGGCAGTTACTGGTGGTGCAATATGGCTAATGCTTCTTTTAAACACATATTTTGGTAATGTGCAGTACTGGCTGCTGTTGGGGGGGAGCTTATTACAGATAAATTTTGTACCAAGATGGCCATTAACATTCACTGATGTGTACACTTTTAAAAATTATTTAACCACATCATTGAAATTAACAAATGGAAGGCAAATTAGATTCTTTCTGGCAGTTAAGAGTGGTGTTCCAAACTTGGAAGGATAAATGCTAATTTGATATAATGCAACGGACTGAGGACTTTTGATATATGAGCTAGTGTCACATAGATGCCAATTTCAATTTCAAGAGGATACTTATTTGGATATTTGGTCTGCTTTTGTTGAGGCCTGTATATAATTGCTAGAGAGCTATATCCATTTCTTACAATCCATGCATCTATGTTAAAAAAAACAGAAAAAACACACGGTGCTTCTGCAGTGCTGATGATGCAGTGGTGTAAGATTTCCTGAGGGTAAGACGTTAACAATCTGGTGAAAGATTTGCTGGCATGAGTTTTCTTGCACTGCAGGCCTGTTCCAAGGAATGTTGTTCTTTTGTGTAAACGGAATGGCAGTTAACATTTCAGATTAGATAAATAATAATTTGCACCTTTACTTGTTCCACTACACCTTTTCTCTCCACTAGGGGCAGGTCTGGCTAAAGGACAAAGAAGCCACCCACTGCAAATTATGTGAAAAGGAATTTTCTCTTTCCAAGCGGAAGGTGAGATTGAATAAAACATCAGTATTAGTTGCCATTCGTTAATGCTGATATGTTTGGTCAGGTATCTAATCCCATATTTACAAAGAGCATTACCCATGTTCTTAAACTTCATCAGATACAATTAAAATCACTATAATTCTCATGTTTTACTATAAGCTATGATGTGGACATTTTTATAAACCATTTGTGATACATAGATTGTAACAAATTACTGTATATATTTTCTTATTGAAGGTACAAAATATTATTTAGTATTAGGATGTTACAAGCAAAATATATAGAGCCATATATACATATTATAGCAAATTATCCAATATTCTATATTTTGATGATCTTTTTAAAAATCTTGATTTAGCATCATTGTAGGAACTGTGGTGAAATTTTCTGCAATGCCTGCTCAGACAATGAACTGCCTTTGCCATCTTCACCAAAGCCTGTACGAGTTTGCGATTCCTGCCATGCGCTGCTCATACAGAGGTGTTCTTCCAATGTGCCGTAAGACTCCTACAGGTGAATAAATTCTCACTTCTCTACATGGATAAGTACCATAGTGTTGCTGTTCCTACTCCTGCAATGTTAGCCAAAACCTTTGTATTGTCAACATCAAGTTGACACCCATCCCTAAATCTTTGTGGCACTGAAATTCCTGCAATGTTGGCATGATGTCATGCTTTGTGAGGTTGTGCTAATGCAGTAATTGAGTTGTATCTGCTTGTGCAACATGTTTTATCACTGGTCTTTCAGGATACAAGCAAGAATGTTCTGTATTCTGTGATCGGCTATTTTATCATGCAAGTAACCATTCGAGTACATAAAACAGAATTTTGCATCTTTTTACCTTAATTTTAAAAGGTACTTATTTTGGGAACAGGTTGGCTGTGACCAAACAAGCTTAGAAGTCAGAAGTCAGAGAGGAGCAGGACAGGGTTTCATGGGCTATCCTGTTTAGTTTTATCTCCTGTTTACACACACACCATTCATCCACCCACTCCTGCTTGTAAAATTCTGGCAGCCCAAAGCTTAATTCTAGTTTGTTAGGGCACCTGCTTAGCTAGAAGAGTAGGTAGGTAGAACGTTTCGTGCAGGATGGAGCTCTTGCTCTTGACAGGAGGATTCATGGTGCATGGCAGTTGAGGCTCCACTTTGGATGGAAGCCAGCCAGGTTTGGGAGATCTCCCATTGTATGGCCTGAGAAGAACTATCTTGATTTACATAATGTGCACTGGGGTATGGCAGGACTAGCACAGAGAAGGCCATATTTTCTAGATCATGGGAAATGCACACTGCTTCTGTTTAGTCGTAGGTGAGGAAAGTAATTATGAATTTGAGAGGATGCCACGCTGAACTCCTTTCCAGTTGGAATCTATTTCCTCCCCACTAGATGTAATGCAGCAGTTATAAAATCTTTTAAAACCGCAAAGGGTATTTAAAAGGACATTATATATAACTTGATGAGTGCCTTTTCTTTCTATACCCATCACAAGTAGATGGCAAACTAAATGACTTAAGGGATGACTTAAAACAATCACACACATCTGTTTTGTGTAAATTTCTGTTCAGCTGCCTCAGTGTGAGGTGTGTAGAAATGATGTCTTGGAAAATTTAATAAGAGATTTGTATTACTGAAGTTCAGATTGTGTAAGCACTACAGTGTACATACAGTAAAACATTTTTCTAAAACCTAATTCTTAAGGAATACTTTCTCCTTTTGCAAATAAAGTTAGTTACTATAATGCTTTTATACCGATGATCATACACATATTCCCCCTTTTTATAAGAGATATTGTGAATCTGAAGATTTAAGCTATGGCATTTCCAAGCAAGCCACCAATTTTCATAAGTATCATTTCTGAGACCATTGACTTGATAAGATTTCAAAGAATAGGAAAATCTTGTACAAAATACAATAAAACAGTCCAGGATGGGATTCTTATTTTTTAACATCTAATGCAAAAGAAGTAGAAAAACATTACTTCCTGCACGTTAATTCAGCTTTTGAACATGCTGACATTTTAATATCAAATGTCAAATCGAATATCAAAAGCAAAGAAGAAATGGTGATGGTGGTTTCCTTGAGCTGCTAAATGGCTGTCTCTAGCAACCACTACACTGAAGTATCTCAGATAGATTTTGCTGTGAGTTGTTCAGAGACTAAAGTGATTGGACGGGCTAGAATTATCCCAAATAAATAAATAATCAAACAAACAAAATTTTAAGATCAGCAAGCAGTCCTTTTTTGCTTTAATCTATGAGGACTATGGAATATACAAAGAACCCGTTGACTTGCTTTTGCTTAGCTTCTGCACTTTTAACACCATTACAAGAAATCCAGGATCTGAAGCTGTACCTTCTGTGCAGCCCAAAGCACCTCCTGCCTGTGCTGAATTTCCGTCATAGGTGTTAAAAGCACAGGATCTCTGTTTAGTACCCTAGAGCAGCTATTGTAGTATCAAAGTAGACCTTGAGCTTCTCTGAACTCCCATCAAGAATAGGAAGCATTCTGAAAGTACCACAACTACACAAATTGTTATAATTAGCCACTTGCTCATTTCTTAAACTTAAGCCACTATATAGCTTGGTACAGGAGAAAACTTAACTCTGATTAGCATGCATAATTCAAAAAGGGAACTTCACTATAAACTTCTAAAGTGTTGCAGAGATAGAAGCCTATAGCTATTGAAATGTTCATAAGCAGCCTACTCCTAACCAAGCTAAACAGCAATTTTGATTTTACAATGACTTTATACAAGTTGGAACAGTGTGTTACTTTTGTCCAAATGTGCAACAAGCCTTTTTCACATCCTCCTCTTGTTGGCCTGGGAGGATAAACACTATGCACTTTCTGCTGCTAGAAAACTCCAATACTGAGGTGTTTATATTTAGTGTCAGATAGGACCTAGCTCAATTCCTGCTCCTTGACAACTTTGTCTGCAAATTCTACAAGTACTTTTTCCCAAGGTCATACCTGCAGCGATGCATTATCTATCATTGTAGTAATAGTATCATTGTAGTTGCACTGTTTGTAAATCATAGTGCCTAAAGTACTGTAAAAATATATTGGCATTTATAGTTCCTGGAGGTACATGCCAGACTGGACTTTTTTGTGCTATCAAAATGACTTGTTCAAACAGTAACAGGCTATGCAACTGTTGCTGTATGTGGTAACAGGTCATGACAGACCCAATATAGCAGCTTTGATAGGCATCTGTTAATCCTATCGAATTTACTGACATTCTAAACTGTTCCCCTTACTCTTCTTTCTCCACCTACAACTTGCACTAATGTGATAGGTGTTGTATAGTAAGTACTCTCAGCAGGACAAATGGACAGTTTTATTAAATTGCCTTAACCTGCTCCTCTTTGGCTTCAGACACAATTAGTTACATGACCCTTTCCCAGTAGAAACACAGTTGGAATAATCCTTTTTCTGCAAAGATTCATAATCCATTCCTGCACTTAGAATTGTATTATCTTAGAACAGGCATTTAGGCTCTATGTGCATGCGTGCCAAAATTTTAAATTTACTAATACACATTTGTAATGTTTTAACACGCAGTTTTTGTAACTTTAAATACAGAAGTTTGTAACAATGTTTTGGGAAAATTAAGTATTTGACCATTTTCAGCATGCATTGGAGATATTAAAATTGAGTCTATCATGTGTCTTACTATTATTACTCCAGATCCAGTTAATATAATTTCCAGTTAATAGAAAACAACCTAATGATTCTGATATATATTTGCATTATGAAAATACTAATTAGGGTTAATAACTTTGCAATATCAGTTCATTTTACATAACCAAGGTCTATGTACCAGTTAAGATTTGCGAAGTAATTTCTATGAGAGTCAGATGTGGTTATTTTGTCACTGGTATAGTGCCATAAGGTAGTGGTATGGGTATGGGAACAAAATGCTGTCTACCCACCTATGTGATCACTATTTCTAGTTACAACTCATGTTGTGACTTTGTGACACATTTAGGCTTGCAGTAATCTCTGGAGTTACCTGGTTTAGGAATAAATTCCACTTAATTCAGTAGGGTTTACTTCTCAGAAGATCTGCATAGGGGTTTTATATTTATATCCTCCTGTTTTTCCTTTCAAGGAATTCAAGGCAGCTTACCTAATTCTCCTTTTCCTCTCACAATAACCCTGTGAGATAGGTTGGACTGAGTCTTTGACTGGCCCAAAGTCACTCAGCACCTTGGCTGAGTGGGGATTATAACCCAGATTGCCTGAGTTCCAGTCCAGCACTCCTAACTATGACCCCACACCGGCTCTCTGCATTTTATTGTTGTTCACCAAGATACTACTGTAAAAAGATAGAAGCATCTGGAATGTGAATTTATTGGCTGTTGTTAATTGTCTGAACTAAGTAGGCAACTAAGCAGAATTACTAAAATGAATGTATGCAGATCAATAAATTATAAAATAAATATTTTGGTCCAAATAAAAATACAGAATGTTGAAGCTGATTATACATGCTAAAGTGAGTGTAGGAGCTTCTTGGCGGGGTAAAAAAACCTTAAAGAATGAGTTAAGAGCAATTCATTATCACTGTTTACAACTACCTTAGCTAAAGACTGTTTAACCCATTTCCAGTAGCAGATAAAACATGATGCTGTTGCTGAAGCTGCAGGATCCTTGAATTAATTCTCTGGTCACCTACAGAGACTTGAAACTGGTGCCAAATAGTAAGATCTACTCTGACTGAAAGCCTTGATCCAGATCTGGTATTAGCAAGTACTCCCAACTGGGAAATGAAAAAAAGGGTTTATATTGGACTTCTATACATAACCTATTAAGCACAAGTCCTTGCTTTAACTAGCATACCAGTTAAAAAGCTTGATTATATCAGAGCTTTCCAACTATGACAAAGCTAACTTTCACATGTCCATGTCCAAATAAGTATCTAGAACGCTCCTAAGGTTTTATACAAAGCCCTTGCATGCAGAACTGAATGTTATATTCTCAGCACTGTCACTTAGATCAACATGCAGAAATTCAGATGTTTTATTGTTCACGCCTTAAAACATTGGATCTAGCATCTGAGTTAAGAGGAATTGGCTTGCTATTTCCATGTTCTCTCCTTTTTCACCATTCTGATTTTTATTCTTCTATGGACACTTTACTCAACAACCTATGTTCTGCATATTTGCATGTAATGAGATGCACTCACAGATGTTTCTCCCTATGTTTGAACCAGGCCATAGTTAACTATTGTCCTGCTAAAAGGGGAGGAACACCCTCAGTCTGTGCTACTGCCTTACAGTCAAGTTGAAGCTCTAAAACTAGACTTGAGAATTAGGTCTTTTCAGTCATCTCTGACAAATGGACAACAGGGTGTGTGTTAGCAGTGATATAGGAGTACAAGTGTAGTAGGTAGAGCTCTCAAAGCTCTGAGTGCTTCATTCCTGTTGCCAAATAGAAGCAATTCATGCTATCCAATTTTTTGTTTTGATGCATCAATCCTAAAAAGATAATTCAAGTGGCATCTTTTAAAAAAAGGAGGAAGATTTCAACTTTTCACATGTATTAGTTTGCTTCTCAGTTTCATACCTCTTAGATAAATCGACACAACACACTTCCTAAAATGAAGTCTCTTTTGCTATCTCCCACAATAAGACATTTATTACATACATAACATTACTAGCAAAAACAGGCAACAAACTTTCAATAATTGATCACACTTGACAAATTACTGGGGAAATTTGGAGGACAAGCAGTTTGAAATAAAAAGTTATGTATTTTGTACCTTTTTGTCAATACATAGAGAATGTTTCAGTGTCTAAACAGTATTTCATCCAAACATCTTACATGTTACATGTACAGAAAGAGGAGCATATTGGTGTAATTTTATCATTTGCCAAACTTTCTGTTGGAAGTGTTTGTCTGCTAGGCAGTTCCCTCAATAATCCTTACATAGAAAAATTGCTCCTACTGCTGAAACTTCCCAAGTCAATTATATGTTTTATTTCTAAGAAATTAAACTGTTCCTGATGTCTCTATGGATATTGTTCTAGTCCACTAAAGTAATAGTTTTATGCTTCCCTCCCCTATATCGTCCATATATTATACACAACTCATCTGAAAATCTGATTGCCAAGGATACAAGTGTGAAGATTGATACACGGATTTGTACCAATACTTAACATACACTTTAAGGGTTAGGAGATTTCTGGCATGCATAACAGTTCAGACATCAACCAGCTCTTTAATATAGCAGTTGTGCATTAGGTCATTCCAGAACTTTAAACTCACGGCCTTCATGCCCAGCACATTTTGGAGACATACTGCTATGGGGATTTGTCTTCACCGACAAGCACTTTATATTAGATTAACTAGAAAAACTATTCTATAGTTTAATTTCAAATCTCAAGAAACGTACTATTAATTTGATGGGGGGATATTTCCATTTCACAGAATGTTATTAATCATGAGAACCTACAGTACAACTGCTGTAATGAACCAAATCTCTTAAATGAACATTGCTTGGAATATGCAACATACCTTTTAGGAACAGCTAGTATAAAAAGTATCAACATCAGTGGTTTGAATATAAAAAATTTATTTAAAGTCAGAGTATGCAACAAATAAAACCTACAGAAAACAGATTTCCCCATCACAATCTGTTGCTTACCAAATAATGGGAAAACACATTCCTTCAGTCATTATAAAGTTTTCAATACAAAAGAAATTAAGTTTTGTAAGAAAGTCTAGAAGACCAGATACTGTTTCCTTCCAATATGCTTTGTAGACACTGTGTCATTCTTCAATACATTCCACGCCATCCACCTCCTCCCATGTTGCCTTGTCCATAGTATCCACCACTGTTTCCACTGCCACGACCTACAAAGCAATAAAGAGTGTTACCCTGTGGTCACAAGTGTTCACAATTCATTTAGAAATCTAATAATATGGCTTCCCAACATGGCAGCAAGCACTCTCGATGTTGCACAAATGTAGGTTTCTTCAAGCTAAACCAGAAGCATTTACGTCCAAAACACTATTAGATTCTTCTTAGTACTGTTATATCATTAGCCCCTAAGCACACCACCCTTTTATATGCCTTTTTTCCACAACTTATCTTAGCATTAAAAACACACAGTACAAAATAGCTTGGCTACCTTTTAAAGCAAAACTTACCATAGCCTCCCAAACCATCAGGAGTACCATATCCTCCACTGTAACTACTGCCCATTCCCATTCTTCCAACGGAACCATAACCACCTTGATCTGCAAAAGAGCATTCACCATTAGCCTCGAGAGATCTGTACATATTTAATTTGAATTAAAAGTATGGAAAGAAGCATACCCATGCCATCTCTGCCATAGCCTCCCATTCCAGAACCACCTCCAGCAGTTGAATTGAGGAAAAGCTCAATGTATCGATGCTCTTTAAAATAAGAATAAAAAACACATAACTGTAAGTGAATAGATAACTGTTAAGAGCTTCATAATTAGCTACCTGAAAACAGGAAAGAATTTACAAAAGCTCAGGCCCTTGCACCTAGCTCACTGGGTAAAGCCTCTTTCCTTATAAATGGATGCTCTAGAAATGCTTGATAGACAAGCAGGTGGGGCCATGTAACCAACCACCTGCGTCTCAAAACATTTTAAGTTCTGTCCATGTAACATGCAATACTGTTTCTCTTCTAATCCAATGGGAATGAAAATGTTAACAACCCTTTTCTCAATATACTACAAAGCCATACAGGCTTCTATTTATATGTTTTAATCCAACTTACGCATGTGATTTTTATCTTTAGACATAGCAGCTACTGCATCTTCATGTGTCACAAATTCTACATCAGCTTCTCCTGTTGCTCTTCCATCTGCTCCAATGTCAATGTGAACTCTTATAGGAGTCAACGGTGAGAAAAACTAAAAATGAGGAATAGTATGTTAATACTAGCAGGAACATCCCACAAATGTAAACTTCAGTATTTTAAGCACATCATGTCCACTTTACACATGTTATTTGCTAGCATCAGGGACATCACTGTCTAGTCATGTGTATGTCTTTAATGAAGTAATTTATTTCAGATTTGGTTGGTTCATCCTGAGCAACTGCCATGAAAAAGACACACTATCTGGCAAAGTATTTATTAGGGCACACAGAAATTAGTTGTTTTCCTACTTTGCACAGCAACTACATTTATTCCCACACTAGTCTTTTGTATCCTGAATAACACACATGGTCTTGGTTCTCTTGTAAGCCTAAGGATGGGTAGTTTCAGGTTTGTAGGATCTTGTTTGAACTAAAATCCTGGGATCAGTGGAGCCAATTACAAAATAATGGCATGGGAAGAGGGTACAGACTCAGACAGAAAATACTTTATCAAGTAACCCATTGCCTTCTACAAGACGAACAACTGGAATGACCTGAATATACAATATCAAAATTACTCCTGAATAGATCAGAAATCAAAATATAGATCAGGTATTTGAACATAAAATGCTAAAACTGGCCAGCAGAGCTGCCCAAAGACCTGATTAAAGGCAGCTATTTATTAATCATGTCTTACAGGCAAGGTACACATAGGATGAATGACAAGCAGCATGAGGCCAAGCATGGTTAAAGATGACGTAGATAAAATTTTTGACTCTTAAGATAATGCACTTGGTGCAACCAGTTGAAATAGCTATGGAGTTTTTTTAAACAAATCTGAACAACTTCACATACCACACAACAATTATGAGATCAGTTGTCCTTTTGTGTTTCATTTCCCCCTGTCTCCACAACTGCTCAAGGGTTTTACAATTAAACTAAGGTATCAGGAGTCTAATTTACTCCTTCTGAACAAATTCATGGGAAGTGAAACTAGCAAATGCATAAGCTAACTATGAACCATTTTATCCCCTGCAACTTCTTAAAATAGGAGGGAAAACTTCAGTAATTTGCCTGCATCATGTATTCCATTTTTATCTGATCATGCCAGCTCAGTAACAGTGGAGATTCAACCCCACCACCTCTCTGAGTATGTAAGACCTTTCCATCTTTTTTATTATAACCAGGCATTTTATGGATGTTACTGGTTTTCCTTTCCGCCAACACTTTGGGATACAAGTAACGTCAGTGTTAAGACATTATAGTGACACTAGTAAAATCTACTTTTTCTGTTATGCTGCAGTCATTCTGACATCAAATCATAAATTTATTTTCGAATATGACTATAAAAGGGTGTAACAGACTCCCAAAACAAACTGACACAAGAAGCTATGTCAGCATGCTTAAGAGAAGACTACCAGCATATCCTTTTTTTCAATTTAATTTCTATAGGTTGCTCTGACAAAAAGAAATTGTTGAACAATACATGGTGATGACAATTAAAATGAGGCCTCCCATTTGCTTATTTCAAAAAAGTGTCAACATCAGGAATAGCCAGAGCAATCAGGCAATGGAGGCTGTGGGACTCCACCGCTGGAAGTATTCAAGTAAAGTCTTGACAGCCATCTTTCAGGGAGGCTTTAATCTGGTTTCCTGCCATAAACAGGGAGCTGGTCTCATTGGCCTAAATGTCTCCCTCAAACTCTGTTTCAATGAATGCTCTAATTTTAGGAATAGCACAATAGCTTTAAGGGTCTTCTAGAAAAGAACTCTAATGCTCCACTTACTGATGCTACAATAAACATTTTCTGATCTCAGTAAGAACAGGCCAGATCCTTTAATTATGAAGGTTACTAGTGCCCCAAGACAAGAAGCTCAGTCCATGTATTTTTCCAATGCCAATAGCTTTTCAAATAATTGAGGCAGCCAACTTGTGCCTATAAGGCTCTCAACACATTAATTACATTTTAATGCTATCTTTTAGCAAACTAGCAAGGAAAAGGGTTAATCTAGAACTGAATATGGTCATACTGCAGGTACAGCTGATTCAATTTGATTTCAAAAGTAAAGAAAAATCTTGTTTGTTTCCAAACTAGATATGTTTTTCCACTTACATTAGCAATGTCATTTTCTGTTGCTCGGAATGGCAATCCTCTCATGTGAACAAAGTGACCACCATGAAAGCCTGAGCTTGCATCTCCTGCTCCACCATAGCCATGGCCTCCCATTCCTAAAATTACAAGATGTCAATGAATGCAAAATATATTGAAGCTAATGACAGGCACCCCCAGTGTGCACTTACTTATCTTGAAACTGGAAGTGAACTAAAGCAGTTTAATTAATATCATATTCAAGTGTTAACTTTCACTGGTAATATTTTGGTTGCTTCCATGATAAAAAATACTTCTTCCATTCTGTTGTTTGAGAAGGATTACATGGAAAAGCAATTTCCCATCTATTCACATGTTGTGACTAGCAATTCTAAACCAGTTTCTTGCAACTTACTTGAAAATAATTACAACACTGAACAATTCAAAGCAAACCTCATATATATTATCAGGTGGGGCAGAAGGCAGATCTCTAGATATTTGGAACCTCAACACACATAACCCTTCCATGGGCAAAGGTCAGGAATTTGGGTTGCTGCCCTTTTTAATTTGCCTAGCTTTAACCATCACTTTTGTTATACCCTATGGTCTTATTCACACATTTCTTCAAACAGTATGAAAATAGTAAGAAAGATTCCCGATGTCCTTTGCTTTGTGAGCCAGTGTGAGCCAGCCGGATGGCTGAAGAAAACTATAAAGCTTTCCAATCTTACCTCTCCCATCTCGCATTCTGTCATCATAGCCATCATTTCCATAGCCATAATTGTTATAGCCACCATAGTCATCAAAGCCACCATATCCTGTGAGATTTAAGAAGTGGGCATACCATTAAATGGTCTTTAGAAGTAAATTATCAGATGAATACACTGTGTATATAATCAAGGTTTCTTGACTTCAAATATAAAAATGTCTATAAGTAACGCACTCAGGCTCAAATACATGCAAACCAAATTTCATTCCACATTCAAAATCTCATTTCAGATGCCTCTCCATACCTTTTCAATCTTTAGTCACATGGCTGGTAAAAAAATTGATAGGTATCCAGATTTCAGACTTGGTATGTTTAATAATTACTGTCATTTCTGTATTTCTTGACAAAACGTCAGGAACGTGAAAATGACATGAGCCTGTGGTCATTAGATACACATACCACCGTCATATCCACCACCTCCTCGACGCATTCTGTCATACATACTTCCACGCCCAGCTCCATAATAACCCCCTCTTCCTCCCATTGGTCTATCATATGGTCCAGGTCGCTGTCCCATCATTCTTCGTGGTGGGTCATAAAATCCTCGGATTTCACTCTTACTACTTTTGAAGATCTCAATATATCTGAGTGAAAAAAGATTTACAATGTACAAGTGTAAGAATACTCATATGTGATGTTCAGAAAAAAGTTATAACAATAAACTACACAAATGCTGTGAATGCTGTGAACTGCACAAGTGCTGTGAAATTGCTCTATATCTAAGTTCAGCATTCAATAGAAGTGTACACTGTTTTCCAAGTGTCACTTAAAACTTTAGGCATTTTAAATGCAAAAGTAAGCATTTCTGATTTATTTTTATTGACTAAACATTCTAACTGTACATTAAATACAACAAATCTCTGAACCACACTCCCCCCTACCCCAGTAAAATTTCTTTGAAAAATATCTGGCTATCATAGAACACCCTCCATAAAAATTGCAAGAGCCCAATTTTAGCAAGCTACATAGTATTACCATTCCCCCCTCCCACCAAATCTACTATACTTCCCAAATTACTTAGGGTGATTTTTTAAAAACAATAGCCAGTTAATTTATACTCCCCAACCCCCCAAAAGCAATACTGACCCCCAACCCCCCAAAAAAGATTTAACACCATCCCAAACTCTCCATCCCCACCTGTGCCCTATTCTTTCCTTGTGTTTCCCCAGAGCTTTTTCTGCTATCTCCTTTGAAGCAAACTGCACGAAGGCCTCCCCTGTGCTTCTCCCCTGGTAGTCCAGCGTCAATGTTATCCCATTTGGCACGATTTCCAACCCTTTAACCCAAGGACAAATAACCCCATCAAGGGGAAGAGTGTTAAAGTCTGAAACATTCCCAGTTGTAGAAAATACTTAAAGCAAATCTACACAAATGCAAGAAAATAACTTAGCTTTCCCCCCGACCTAGCCCAAATACACACACTAAAGATCTTTCATTAAACTTTATGGGTTTAGACATTCTATTACTGTCTCTTTGTTCAGACTGCACAGCAACAGCTACATCACAAAGGCCCACCTATATTGCATGATGTAATAACTACATACTCCAAGTTCTGATTCCTAGCAAGGTATCTAAATGTGTAAATTTATATCCTATACTACCAATACAATCTCTTAACTGTTTAGCAGTATTTTAACACAAAATACCAAAATTAGCAATCTAAGTTTTAAACACTGATTCCCCCCTCCCCCAGAAATAGCTAATAATAATTAAACTATTTCAAATATCAATCTTGCAGACATAGAAACACTGAAAGTCACTTGACATTAACACTAGAGCTACCTTGAAAGAACTGAACGATCTCCTCCTTGCTGCAGCCAAATGGCAGACCACGCAATCGTACTGTTCCATCACTAGATGAATCATTTGGACCATTATGTTTCCCAGCCCAGTCCATTTTGCTGTTTAAAATCAAACACCATAAAAAACATAAACAGCAAATTTAGCATTTGAGAATCATGAATCACCCCCAACCCTTCCTAAGCAGGACTGTATATATTAGCAGTATCTTGAAACATTTTTTAAAAAGCGCAACAGCTGCTCAAACATTGCTTAATGCTCTGATAAGTTTACAACTGCCATATAGGACAACTAGCATGACCTGCTCATGCCACCTGCCGCACAGCTACCCACTAGATTTCTGGTCCTCAACTGAGATGCAACTACAAAAACAAATTCTACAGCCTGAGAAAGTACCAATGCCTCCCCAGCTTCTCTCATGTTAGCCCAGCCATGCACTGGCCCATTCAGTACATATACCAAATCATTGCAGTGAGTGTTGTTTTTTAAATTCACTGTGCTACATGCTGGTGAAGCCACGGTAAAACGATTTTCTAAAACTCCTTATGAATCACACAAATCTCCTCTGTCATCATGCAAGCCACATGTATGTTTTGCTCAAATGACAGTTAAGGGAACCAATGCAAGATTCCTGCAAAGAATCATAGGACTGGAGATCTGACAACTAAGTGAGACAGTGGAAGTGAACCATGAAATCAGTCTAAGGGGATAAGGACTGATAGAACTAGGATAAGATTTAGAAAACTGGGTAAGGACTGCAAAGGGTACACAAGAGGCTGTGTTTCAACTGCAAAACAGTGTCATCAAAAATAGAGGCAAGCCAAATGTTTTATTTGTATCTGAAATTGAAAACTGCCCTGTAGACTTAAGAGAGGTGAGGTATATAATATGTATAACATTTTGTAATATAAATTGAGAAAATCAAGTGCAAATTAATAGTGCAGGAATTAAAAAAAAAAGGGCAGTCGCTTTATAGTGGGATTCACACACATGCCAACATAGCCACTACAACAGTATGCTGTCCTAATATACCTGAGTTGTTACATCCAGAGAAGCCCGAGCCTACTTAAACTGGGGGTGCCTGCTGTGATAATCCTAACTTTAAGATAAACTCTTGACAAATCATGTAGTTTGACTTTGTTTTTATTCACCAGTTTCATTTAGTGGTTGTCAGTTGGTAGGAGAGAACAGTTTAGTTTGGGGTGAAGCTCCATGTACTGCTATATGTAGGGACATTTTTTCTTCCAAACAGGATGTGGCAGAGAGATTCTCCCCACTTCTGCCCAAAAGAGGCACCATCTAACAGCAGGGCTCTCATCTTGCATAAGAACCCTGTCAACATGCAACAAGCTCTGCCCACCTCCCCTCAATCTGAAAGAGTGGGTCATTAACAGGAAAACAAGGCAGAAAATTCATAAAAAAACAAAAAGGACATTATTGGACAGTTCCCACATGCTCCATGCCACATGCAAAAAATGTCCTTCTTCAGAGCTGAAGCACAGGGGACTGAACAACACAAAGTAGTTTCTAGTTCTGTGTCTCATGTTTTTATGGGGAAAAGCTTCTCCATCAAGTTGGGAAGACAATCAAATAATAGGCAGTAGAGCAGAATATTCAACAAATGTCAATTAACAAGACGCAAAAGCAGCAAACAAAATGAAACGTGCACTGCAGAAGCACTTGCAGTATCTATGATTTCTACAAATCTCCCACCCAAAAACTAAGGGAACTGGTAAGCCCTGCAAGTGATCAGATAAATTCTGATGCTGTGCACCTCAAATCCCACCCCCTTTCATCGTCTGGAAGCAGAGGCTAATCTGATCAGTGAGGATCAAACCAAATAGTGTAACCCTACAGTGTAACCCTTATTTGAAGGCAGTAAGAGAATAGTCTTCTTATTAACTTCCCCTGATGCCGGCTTACTCCAAGGCTTCAGAAACATTTGTAAAAGAGACAATCATCAAGAGAAGACTCTTTCAACCAGGTCTAACACCAACACCTGTTTAACCTGAAGGTTTCCTCCGATCCTTTAGCAACAGCTTGTAAACCCCCTCAATGGTAGGAACCAAAGAAATCTTTAACTATTAATCATGTGTTTCACTGCCAAAGGAGACAGGTATGGTAATGATTTTCTTTACAACCTTTTGACTGAATAATGATAAAGGAAAAGAAATACGCCAGTGAGATAATTTAACAAACCTACTAAGGGAGTCATGAGATAAGTATCTCAAATGGTGTCTAGTTAGCAGTTCCATTTTCTTCTCTTATGGGCAAGTACACTGGCTAGCTAACAAGATCATCAACAATTGATGGATGCCACATATTTTCTTTTACAAATACCACAACTTTCTGCAATTATTTTGGAGATCTGCGACTTTGCATGTCACTTTTTGTCTGCATTAACACAATTAGACTGCTCACATGATACACTATGGCACCTGAAGGCACCATACTGAATATTCAATCCCTGTCCCTGGAATGTCATGTCATGCAAATTCTATTCTGGGCTAAATAAATAGAAAGTAAAAAAAAAAACTTACTTCCATTAAAACAGGCTACATATTATGCAAGCGTTGTCTGACCCTCACATAATCTCCACTGGTTTGGTTTGTAAGACCTGGCAACCCACAGTTTGGGGATTGAATTTTCAGGATGGCACCTTAAATAACTGTGACATGTAAATACAATCAATGTGGCTCTCAAATTCAAGGATAATTTAGTTGCCAACCATGTAGAGATAGGCTTAGAAACCAAGGATAAAAAGATTTTATTTCTGCTTGCAACAGAAGCAGAAAATGCCTCATACATTCTACTTTCATTCTTTTGTAACCAAGATCCTGAGAATCCAGGGCAGCACTGCCTAAAACTTGCTCTTACGAAATTTCTGCTAGAAGCATAAAGCGGAGGAAAACTGTGTAAGAGACACTATAACCATTTTATATCTACGCATTAAATGGTAGAAACAGATTTGACATGCCATGTGGCATGACTCCTCCAATTAATTGATGGGAGTTTTTCTCTAAAAGCGAAATATTCAAGGCTCTGTAACACCGAGGAGGGCTGACTGAACTGTCAACTGAAGTGTGTCATGTGGAGTGGTTCTTGGATTGGACAGTTTCTCCAAGCAGATTATGGACAAAGACTCGATTCTGAACCTCCTAGTATCTCATCTGAACCAGAAGACCAATAGATTATTCACTACTTTCTTCATACAGTGGAAGATACAAATCTTCCTGCTGCAAAATGGCTGCTATATACATCCCCCACTGCAGACCAATTTCCTTTCTTCTCTTGCATATCGGAAAACCCAGCAAAGAAAAAAAAATCAGGTCTAATAAGATCTATACTAGTCAGATCACTGGATAAATCAAACAGGGAATCAAGGTGTCTTTCAGAAAACACTTTTTTTGCAGCCTGATATGCTATCACAAACCAATATGGCCTGCAGTGGAATATGAGGACATTATCCCCCAGCTTATCTATTTTAAGGAGTTCCTATGTAACTCCAATACATAGGTTAAATGTAGTATTTCAGGCTGTTATGGGACCTTCAATTGAAGCTGCAGCACTGAAGAAGCTGCTTAAGACTGTATTCAAAGCAGAAACCGTTACAAATTTTGAAAAAGGGATCCTTATTTAGCAAAAATATACCATCCTTCATTAGGACAAGAAGGAAACTAGGTTTTCTACATGGCCCATGTTAGACTATGTTTTGTTTCCTTTAAAGAATTTTCTATGGGAAATAATATATCTAAATACATTTCAGAAAGGTGACAGAAATTGTATCAGACAGAAGCATACAGCAAAAGGAATAAATCGTCCTTTCCAACATGGACACTCTATCTTTGATAAAACAGAGCTGCAAAGATTTTATACAGCAATGTAACTTTTTGGCCTGGGATATAGTACCCTCAATCACCAAAAAGTAATCTGTTCTATCCCACCAACTGATAAAAGAAAAACTGAAATTACCAGGAAGCTTTATTTTGATGGCTCAAGACTCCCACTTTCCCCTGTCCAAATCCTGTGGACAGAAAGTCTTTTTTAAACAGTGTTAATTACTCAGCTTTTCAACCACAATGGATCTACAACACAGCTAACAATAATATAAATCAATTTAAAGAATAAAACTGTTACACCATTTCTAAAAATAAATACAACATTGTTGGATCAAAAAAACTTAAAGTGGATGCTCTGAGGTGAAAAATTCCCTTTCTCCTGCTTGTCTTGACTAACATATTGTCTTTGTGATTTGTAATACTGATATTGCATTTAATCAGTAATACAGAGTAGGAAATTTTCTACTATTAGAAATCTACTGTTTTTATAACATTATTAGAAACAGAATGAAAAAATGCAAGTCAAGTAGGGTAACTGGAATGGATTCAATCCTAAGTCTATAGGCATAAAATTTATCAAAATTTTAAAGCCATGCGAAAAAAAGAATCATTCCCCCCTTTTTCTGGAAAATATGAAAATAAGCAATGCTTTTTTCATGCTTTTTACTAAAGTCACTTTGGGTGTAATCCAATCCATATGCCTGCACCTTTTTGAACTTGGAAGATTACAGGTATCTTAACCAAGGTGAAAAAGTGCAGAGATGAAAGTTACCTTTGTGTTCCTCCTGCCCTGCAAAACACTTAAGTCAAACAATTTTGTTTGTCACACCTCAAAGCTGAAGGGAAAGAGGCCAAGACTCTACAGGGTGTTTTTGTACTGTGGCAGCACTAGTCCACTGCTCCTCCCTATCCTTTGGAACATCCACTCAAACCCTTTCTCCAAAGTTACATTTATTTAACCACTGCATAACTCATGCTTGCTGATTTCACAGAACCTGACAACCCCCAAGCATAGGATGCATATTTAACCTGGCACCCACAGTAGCATGAGATGCCACAGGCTAAACAGTTCACGACAAGGTGTAGCATGTTGGTTAAACCCAGTAATCGTGTCCAGTGGGATATACCCGTGTAAACACACACACACTGTTGCAGCCTTTGTTGATACAACTCCACAATGGATGGGAAGAGATTATGCTCATTCCTGTATTCCCTGCTAGAAGACAGTAAGGATAAGCTACATCTTAAAATGGATCTTTATCACTCCCACAAAGTCTCAAACTTTGAACAGTTAAGTCCATCCTTTTTCTCAAAAAGATGTCTGGCAGCTTAATCTCAAACTACTACTTGAGCTGCTGCATCCTAATGGGAATTGGGAAGAGGGAGGAGAGGATGTCACTGTAATTTGCAGCCTTGTCTACTTACTGTACGATAACCCACACAAAGAATTGCACCCATTCCCTTTATCCTGTGGACTGAAAAGTGAAGGACTCATCCAGAGCAACTTCAAGACCTGGATACAGTAGGCAGGCCATTCTGGGTCTTATATGCAGGCAATGACGTGGAGCAGATTTTTTTCCCAGTGCTTTCTTTTTCTGCAGAAAATTTTCTTCATTTCATAAGTTTATTAGTAATGATGAACAGATGCCAACTGCAAATCAATATTAGGCAAGCTTTACAGTTTCAAGGCTGCAGATGAGTGATTGTCAGCATATCATGCACAGTTCCTTGGCTCCTAAAATTCATTAGTGTATCAACATTTTCAGTACTATTTCCCATAAATTTGAACAATGTGATATAGATGTTGTTGCTTTAAATGTATTTCAACAAAAATAAAATCTACATCTTGTGTATGCTTTGATTCCACCATCCCAATCAAATGTTTCAGGTCATATATTTGTGATGTCTTGGAACCAGAACCAAAACAAACCAAAGCACCCCCCCCCCCAAAAAAAAGAAAAGAAGAAAGACAGGGTCTGCTTTTTAGATTTGTTGTCTACTAAATACAAGTAAAATAAATAAGGTAAATTAAATCACTCTCTTGGGCATTAGAAATTTTTTCAATTCAATTTTTTTCAGAAAACTCACACATTACATACAAAACAAGGTTAAAAAGGAGATGCTAGTTAGCGATTCTCTCTCTGGCATTGGCTTTCTCTACTATTCTGCAGCCAAAAATTTCCAGCAAAGGTCTTGTGGGGGGTGGGGGGGAACAGCAACCCAGCAAATGGCAAGCTGATTAAACTCATACTTCTTTGTACCCCTTCACAGTGCTTGATTTTCATATGTTGTTCAGACTAATTCAGTGAACTATATACACACCCTTTTAAAACCCTTAACTTTGCATGCAACTACACAGTCAATTCCAACACTAGAACTGTTTCCTTCTACAGAGATTTGTTGCTATTTCCTCTTCATATTCTTTTTTTGGCAACACAGTTTGGTAGTGTACAAGAGAGGCTTTTCCTGTATTCGCAAATACACAAAAATACAACTATTTACAAGAAAGGGTAGAAAGAGATATTTCCAAATACTCTGGCACTGTAGGATGTAGAGTAACAAAACTTTCGGAACAATGTTTTATGTTTTGAATTTTGGAGAGCCTTTCAGGTAATACACAAAACTGAAGAACTGTCTTCAATCTCTCAATAGTGTCACCACTAGTACGTTATTATTTATCAAGGTAACATTCTTAATGTCTATGAATAGAGCAAACAGTACAATACTCTGAATATTTATTCTGGAGTAAGTCCCACTGTATTCAATAAACTTATTCACAGGTAAGCATGCAGAGAATTGCAGCTCAAGTTACCTAGTAGCATTCCTGGCAAGTCTTTTCATTTAAGTGTTACTGTATAAACAGTACAAAATATATTAATTACACATTTATAATTTGTCATCTCAGGATTATATTTTGCAAATGAAGGGTACATTCAGTTTAGTTAACCGAGCAAACCTTAAAAGGCCACTATGTCTCCTGAAATAATAGTCTAACATTTTTGATTCATTAACAAAAAAGTATCATTTCATGGTATATATGTTTTTAGTTCTATTATTTCTGGATCAAGGTAGAAGTAGCTCTCTAAATGTTTCAAGCAGCAAATATAATTATTACATTACCTACTGTTCTTTTCCTTTTATCAAAACTGGATTAGCTGTAGCCATGACCTTGTCAAATGGGCCATTAACAATCAACATTAGCTGATTAAGAGATACAAAGGTAAGACCAGACCAATCTCCGTGGTTGGTAAGCATGCAATCTCTCATAAAGAACAGCCACCCAGTTCTTATTTTGAAACATAATTACAACACATTCTTGTATAATTGTTAAGATTATTAATTATACTGTACTGCGAGTTTTTTACAGGTAATATTCTGGCCTTAATCCTTGTTAACGTTTTTGGATTAAAATGAGCAAAGGGTGAGAGATGTACTCATTCTGCAGCTCCACACTATGCAGGATATCTCGGAAGTAATTCCCACTGAGCTAAACGGGACTTACTCGCAGACATCTTAGCATAGGATCTCTCATATCACCCCGTTAGGGACAAGGCGAGAAACAACGAACAGACTTGAGAGAGACTCCCCCCATATCAACAACGCTTCACAGCTAGTCGGTTAACAGTACACTTCCAACCCTCCCGAGAGAACGCACAGAAATTGTCATCACGCACGCGCAGAAGTCCTCCGGGGAAGGGAAGGGGGAGTGGCGAATGAGAGAAAGTTCGTTCAGAGCGGGGCGGGGGGGCAAAGAGGAGGCGGAGGCGATCTCTCGTCGGTAAGCGTAGCGAGGCCGATTTACAATAGAGGAAGCGACGCACGCGCCGCCTCTTCTTTTGTCAAGTCCAGGAAATACAGTTTACATGTTCTCGCCTCTTCCCTCGTCTCTGGCCTGCGCGATGGTTCCGGCGACGGCGGCCGTTAGAGAACTGAGCCACCATTTTACACTTGTGTGGGCTGAAGGGCGCCTCGCCTGATATACTTTCCTTCAGCCCTGGCGCAGCGCGCCTACTCTTTCCCTCTCGTATCACGTTAAACATGGCGGACGAGGGAATGGAAACCTCGAGGAAGCCTCCGCCGCTTAACCCTTTACGCTCCCGCCCCCCCTCCTGCCCGCTTTATTCTGCCACCTGCCCAAGGCGCCCGCTAATTCCTCTGGAACCGAGAAGGCGGGTCAACCCACCTCGCCTCACACTTTCCCGGCGGATCGGCGACCGGGTTGCCCGGCCCCCTTCCCCCCACCCCACTCACCGGCAACACCTCACCCACTTCCCCAGTCGATTTGCGCAAACCGCAGCGCTGAACTTCCCCCACAAAGAACAAGGAAGCGCCTAACGGGCGGCTGACTATCCAGCTACGCAGCTGAGGCAGACAGGATGGCGTCGCAGGCACGCGTCTCGCGATGACACGACACGACTGACGGGAATTTCGCTCACGTCTCCAGGGGGTACTGCACGACGCATGCGCCGCCAGTTAGCGAATGAGGAAAAGGGGACGGGCCGCGGAAAAACCGTTTAGGGCGAGACCTCCGAACGGCGGGGCGCGCGCGCGAGCCGTTGTAATGGCGCATGTGCAGCCTGGCGCTGTTTAAACCGAACCCGCCAGTTCTGTTGGAAGCGAATAGTGGATTTGGACGTCGTTCAAAAGTTAGGGACCAAGTGGCAATTTACCTCTGCCTTTCTCAGAATGCATATTTTCAAGCAACAAAGCACTGTATGCTGGTATCTGAGCCCGATCTTTAGTTATAAGGCGACGTTCTGGAAAATGGGTATATCAGTTACCTGAAGAAAGATGTACATGAACAGACCTCTGGATCTAGCAAGGTCGAAGCCACTTCTGGGATCCTATTTTAATTATGAAGTGCACAGAGAGCTTTGGTTATTGTACTGCAGAGAAATGCAGTTGGAAAGTAAATAAAATATATTGCTCTCTTCTGGTAGTCAGAACTGTACAAATGGCTCTTGTGTATGTAATATGGTTGAAAAGTCCTACTCACACCACTGGAATATGGGAGGAGGCAGCATACTAGCAGTAGTCCCTGATCCCAATTTCTGTGTTTATTGTTAAGTTGTCAATCTAATACAACTCTCCGTGTAATTGGGTAGTCTGTGATACCTAAATACACCTTGAGCTGAAGACCTATGTATGCTTTTATTAATACTGCTTGGTTTTACTCACATGTTTAGGATCAGGATATAATAACTTTGAATAATGCATATCAACATTTCATATAAATGCCTGCAATATAATAAGGTAAGTGCATATCTTACCACTTGTGTTTGATCTCTCTTCTTATGGATAAGTAATAGTATTTTAAGCATTCCACATTTGTTATTTCAGTTATTGCAATAAGAGTGGAGTCTTATGCATTAGAAAAAATATATAATTCCCAGCATGCCCTAGTCAGTGCAGTTGGGTTGAAGGAATGCTTGGAATTGTAGGATTTATGTATGTATAGGATTTATCCCTAATGCTTACTGTCATAGCCAATGCCTCTGGGAGATTGCAGTTTTGTAGCTAAAATTAGCAGTAGGGATATTCAACTCATGCTGTTAGCTAATAGTTATCCAGTGCAAGTGTGTATCCACTACTGGTTTAGGTCTTGAAGATTATTTGGCCTGGCTTACAGAGAGCATTTGGTCTCTTGTTAATCTATGATGAAAAAAAAGACATTTTAACACAACAGTTTCAGCAGACAAACACTAAAAGGTCTGTAAAAAAACATAAAATAGTAGAGTTGGAAGGGACCAGAGGGTCCAACCCCCTGCTCAATGCATGACTCCAAGTTAAACCATTTAGCTGTCCAGTTGTATCCTGAATGCCTCCAGTGTGGGAGAGCCCACAACCTTCCTAGGTCATTAGTTCCATTCCATTATTCCATTGTAGTTTTCTAACAGTAAGGAAGTTCTTCCTGATGTTTAGCAGGAACCTGTCTTCCTGTAACTTGAGCATGTTATTCCATGTCCTACAATCTGGAATGATCAAGAATTGATCCTGGCCTTCCTCTTTGTGACAATCTTTCAAGTATTTGTAGAGTGTGTTCATATTTACCCTTCTGCAGGCTAAATTTGCCCATTTCTTTCAATCTCTCTTAATAGGGCTTTGTTTCCAGTCCCTGAATCATTCTTGTTGCCATCTTTTGAACCTTTTCTAGTATGCCTGCATCTTCCTTAAACTGTGGCGCACCAAACTGGACACCGTATTCCAGATGAGGCCTAACCAGTGCTGAGTAAAGAGGAATTAGTACGTCACATGATTTGGAAGTGATCCTTCTAATAATTTCCTAGAATCATAGAGTTGGAAGGTGCCATGAAGGCCATCAAGTCCCACCCCCTGCTGTTGCAGGAAATCAGGTTACACCATCCCGCTGGTAATCCACTTAAAGAGCCCTTGGCCTAATATGGCAAAATATAAGTTTAATAATAAATTAAATTAATGTAGCCTATAAAAGCATTCACCCTTTTGGCAACAAGATCAGACTGTTGACTCATATTCAGCTTGTGATCTATAACCATTTCAATATCCTCACTTGCAGTATTGTTGAGCCAAGTATTTCTCATCTTGTAATGACGCATTTAGTTTGTTTTTCCTAAGTGCAGAACTTGGCATTTGTCTCTGTTGAATTGCATTCTGTTGTTTTCAGCCTAGCGCTCCAACCTATCAAGATCACCTTAATTACCCTGAAAGACAGAATATTTAACTATCCGACCCAGTTTAGTGTCATCTGTAAAACTGCCTTATTCAAATTATTAATAAAAATGTTGAAGAGTACTGGGCCCAGGACTGAGCCCTGCAGTACCCCACTCGCTACTTCTCTCCAGTTTGAGAAGGTCCCATTGATGAGCACTTTTTGGGTCCAATTCTGTAGCCAGCTGTGGATCCACTTGATAGTTGTTCCATCTAGCCCACTTTTTGCTAGTTGGCTAATCAGGATATCATGGGGCACTTTGTCAAAAGCTTTGCTGAAGTCAAGATAATGTCCACAGCATCCCCATAGTCCATTAGGGAGGTTATCCAATCAAAAAATAAAATCGGATTAGCCTGGCAGAATTTCTTCTTGAGAAATCCATGTTGGCTTCTAACAGACACTGCATTGTTTTCAAGATATTTGCGGACTAACTGCTTACATAAGCTGCTCAAGAATTCTCCCAGGGACTGATGTTAGACTTAATGGTTTGTAGTTCCGAGGTTGTTGTTCTGTTCATTTCCTGCAGATTGGGACAATCACCTTTCTCCAGTCATTTGGCACTTCCCTGCCTTCCATGATTTCTCAAAGATAACAGTGGTTCTGAGAGTTCTTCTGGCAGCTCCTTTGACTCTAGGGTAGTCTCACTATGTTAATAATACAGTGGTACCTCGGTTCACGAACACCTCAGTTCACCACCAAATTGGATTGCAAACAGAAATTATGGCAAAATTTTGCCTCCGTTCGCAAACTCCACATTGGGTGACGACCATGATCGTGGCCATGTTCCCGCACAAACACGATCACGGCATCTTCCCCTCACGAACACTCCAAACAATAACCTTCTCCCCACCCACCATGAGGGAGCACACACCTTGGTCAAGGCCTTCCCGGCTCCTCACCGCCACCCCGCTTCCCTTGTTGTTCCTCCTTGTTCAATTCAGCATTGAACTGTTGAATTCCAGTCATTGGAGTCATCCCACCAAGGTTTGGTTATACCTATCAGGTTGTATTCATCCTCCTATATTAAGGGTTCAAGTTCATGCTATTTGTTTCCCATATTCTGGGCATTAGTATATAGACATTGAAGAGTTTATATTCTACCTTTCTTCTTACCATTTTTGGAAGACTATTTTAAGTACCACTAGAGCTGCTCTCTTCCTTGTGGTGCATAAGTCTTTCTATGTTCTTATGCCCAGGTATACTTCTCCTTCACCTGCAGGCTCCCATTTGAAACCCCCCGATAAACTTCCTTATATTGTGCCCATGTTGTGGCCAAACACATTCTTTCCAGTCCCAAGGTGCAATCCCTTGCCATTTAAATAGCAAATAGGAAGAAAGTCAATAGTGATACTGTTTGTAAATCGAGTGTTGCAAGAATACTTAGTGTTGCCATGAACTGGAATAATCCTTGAATTAACATCACATGATAAGTGTATGCTCACAATCTCTGCACTGGGAAATAATCCTGTTCAAACTAACATGTTTTTATTATAATGTCTCACAACGCAGTCGCCTTGGCATTGTAGAGCAGAAAAGCAAACACTGGCCTCATCTGTCAGCCAGAGAACAAAAGGGTCACCAATTGGCAACGTGGAAAATAACCCTTTCTGCTCAGAGTCCATAAGCATATGTACTTGATTAGGTAAACTTTATTGATGTTAAACAAGTAACAGACAAGAATATGCATGCTGCCTGCCCTCTAGTATAACTTGCTATACTTCTACTGTACTCTCTTAAATATAATTTCCCTGGGTTACACAATATACAGGGGTGAGCTGCTCTGCCTTGCCCTCCTTAGCTGGCAGAAGCAAAAGTGAGAGTTACAGCTGGTGGCCCTCCAGCTTTTTCTGGTCCTGTAACTTCAGTCATCTTAACCATTGCCTAGAATGGCTAAGGCTGATGGGAATTGTAGGCCACAATAACTGGAGGGCCACAGGTGTAAAACATGAAATTGGGCCTGGAATAGTTAAATAACTATGGCTCCAATCCTATGGGCTCCTGGGGGTGGTTAGTCCCATTCCACACAGCTAGACTTTGATCTAAACATGTGCAAAATTGTACTCCTCGTTGCATTTCTGTACTGAGATAAATAGAATTTGATTATCAATAATTTACCAAAATAAAAACATTTTCCAAATTCGAGATAATATTTTATTTATTTATTTATTAAAATAAAACATTTCTATGCCGCCCCTTGCCAAGCCTCGGGGCGGCTTACAACATCAAATACAAAATAAATTATTAAGAAGGAGCAGATAAGGCTACCAGTTCTGTTTACTGATTCAGTTTAATATTAACATAGACATTTATGCAATAGCTGAAAGGGAGACTTAGCACTTTCTGGAAGGCTCTTTTGAAAAACAACTAAAGCTAAAGGAAGAAAATGGAGATTTCTCTTTTCATTGTTGATGCATTTACCAATCAGCCATTTCATGGCAACCCTGCAGCTGTTTGTCTTCTTGAAAATGTAAGTTTTTGAAATGTGCCTTTACTTTACAGATTATTAGCACTAATCTTTGCTACATGTTAGTGGTGCAATTCTTGTTAATTTCAATTAGGTTTTACTGCTGTACTAAAAGAGAACTTTAATGCATGTATAAGTTATTTACGGCAGTGGTTTTCCAATTTCTTGTCTTCTAAAAAACCCTTTCACAGTTAGTTTGTGTGATTCCCCCACATAACTATCTTAGAGGATTTTGGGGTAGATTCTAGGAAAACCTTCAGTTATCTGAGATGGCAAACTGGAATGAAGAGGAAGGGTGGGCAAATTTAGCGCCAGGTGCTAAATATGGTCCACCTGGGGGGGATCCCCAGAAGGCTGTGCCCTCTTCCCCTGGCCTAATCTTCTTTTCCCTGTAATTACCAATTATTTGTTGGGTTCCCATTTTTTTATGCAGTTTTCCTCCTTACAGAAGGTTGAAGTGCCTCTTTATAGGTCCAATTAGTGACAATAGGAGGCTTAAACTCAAAATTTTCCTCTGCTCTTTTTGCCTTTGGCACCACATTGTTTGCATTTGCCCCTTCCCACCACTGGAAGAATGTTCTGTAATTAAATTCAGCCCTTTGGGTGAAAAGGATTTCCCACCCATGCTATAGGGCAGGGTGGATTTTATTTGAATCAAATCAATTTGAATTACTGCTCAGTAAGATTAGGTTTGAATCATAGTTTTCTACATAATTTGCATGCATGCCTGCCTTCATTAAAATATTCCCAAATTGGGTCTGTTTGGCCTGCTGCCATTATAAGTTTTCTCCTTTGGGAAAAAATAATGTGATAAACCTCAGACTATACACAAAAAGATCCAGAGATCTCAAGGATAGTTTTTTGTGGAGTTTTCTGCTCAGAAAGTTTCATGTTCATTTTTACTGCTTGCCCTGCCCTCCGCATACTTAGCTACTTATGCAGATCTTTTCCAATCAAAACAATCTTCTATTCGATAAATTTTGTGAAACTTAGCACTTAAGAGGTAAGGGGTAGATTCTGTGTATATGAATTTGCAAAGGAATAGTGGGATTAAGGTCTTTTTCTCAACTCTTGTTTATTTTATTTTTTATTTTTACTGTGAAGAAGGAGCATGTGATCTCTGCAGACACAAATTCAGTTTTAAGGACTGTTGTTAGTCGCAAAGTCATGCCCGACCCATCACAACCCCATGGACAACATTCCTCCAGGCTCTCCTGTCATTTTGAGAACTGAAAAACCAAGCATCTGTGACAATATCTTTCAGATAGAAAAATTGTCCAATAATCTTACAGTAAGCTTTGGAAGAGCACAACGTTGTGAATGGATTAATGGAATTCATTGACCAACAAATTTAAACATTGCATGAATGTACAGCCTCATACTGCATAATTAAAAATATAATCCTTATTTCATGATGAATAGCCTTTGGACTATAAGGTATCTTAAAACAGAAAACTAGTTTAAGATTTTTTCCTCAGAAAGCATTTTATTAAAAAAAAATCCAATTTAAATTAAATCCATTTTTTTAAAAAAATCACCTCACTGTAGATTTTGACAGGGTGTTTGATACTCCTCTGTTAACTGCAGTGCAGCGGAAGATCTGTAATGTCAACATCTCCAGGAAATGTAAGAACATAAGAAAAGCCATGGATGATCAGGCCAAAGGTCCATCTAGTCCAGCACTCTGTACACCTGGTGGTAAACCAGCTGCCTGCACTGAAGCAAGACTTCTGCCTTCCCAAGCTCCTCAGGAACTGGTGTTTCTCAGGCACCATGGTACTCTGGTAAAAGAAGTACCATGTAGCCAGCAAGGCTAGTAGCCACTGATAGCCTCATCCCTCAAGAATCTATCCAATCCCCTTTTAAAGCCATCCAGGCTGATTGCCACTGTGTTGAATTTAAGTATACACTGTGTACTTTCTTTCATCTGTCCTAAATCTTTTGGGCCATCTCCATATCTGAAAGGGAAACTCCTTAGTTTCATGAGAGCAGACTGTCAGGGCCAGGGCTAACTAAAGGTCTATTGTTTAAGCAAGCAACTAGACTTTTATGCCAAGTGAAGGAAGCATTTAAAAGAACTAGGGACCAGCCCTGGCTGTTTAGGTTCAGGCCTGCCACACCTTATTCTACTAAGTCACACACAAAATTACATGGTGTGGGAATTAATCATATTTACCATAACATTTATTTATTTTGCAAATATAGAGATTGAAATTTAGTATGCCAGTGTAAGCAGTACATAAGTAACAGCCAAACAAAGTCAACATACACAGAGCACAAGAGGAGGAAGAGATGGGGGATCAAGACATATAACAAGTACACAGTTCATAGGGAGAAAGCACACAAAAATAATATCACAAAATTCAGACCCAGAGGACATAGATAAGTTCAGAAGTGGGCACAAGGCACATAAAGGGGCTGGGCCGTATGTCCAGTACTAACCATTCTCTTGCTACCCCCCCCCGCCCCTTAAAGCAGATCCAGAATTTTGACAGCTGCCAGATCTCCTTTCCCAGTTCTACAACTCTGTTGAAGGATGGTGATTGGACACACATACATGTAGAATATTCTGAGTGCTATTTGAAACGATAACATGTAGAAAAGAGCGAAATAATGAAAGGACTAGAACAACTTCCCATGGGTTCCCAACAACTTCCCAACAACTTCCCATGGGTTTGCAATGTTGGAGGCTTTTTAGCTTAGAGCAGAAGTGAGTAAGCGGGGGAAGGACATAAGAGGTATATAAAATAATGCACGGTGTGGGGAAAAAAATGAACAGGGAGACGTTTCTCTCCTCAATACTAGAAACCAGGGTAGTCAATGAAACTAAGTGGTAGACACGGCACAAATCAAAGGAAATACTTCACACAATGCAGAAACCAGTACTACAGCATGTAGTAATATCCATCAACATGGACAGTTTAGGAGATAAGACAAATGGATGGAGTATGTAGCCATCAGTGGCTCCTCACCATGATAGCTATCTTGCACCTAGGATCAGAGAGTGTGCCTCAGTATACTGGTAGCTGGGAACAGCATGGTCAGAATACTGGACTTGTGAGTCCTTTGGTCTGTTCAGCATGGCTTTTTCATTTTTACATCAGGGCTGTGGAAGTGATGGACACACATTGTAGTTAGTCCCCACTCTATTCCACTTAGAAGTGATTGGTCCAGTCAGTAAATGCTGTGGAACACAAGAGTAGCATCACCCATATGAAAATGGCATCCCACCCATGTAGATAATTCCCAGTTTTCTTCTATAAGTAGAGAAATGCGAACAAGTCAGAACTGTGTGTATGTGACATCATTTTTCTCCATCGTGCAGAGTAGCTTTAGATCATACCTTTTTCCTCTTTATTGTCTTTTGATTTGATTTTTTTTTTTTTTTGGTCTTTTATTTTGTTGAGCCAACACTGTTGCCTTGACCTATGAAATGGTCAATCAGTGATGACAAAATGAGAAAACAGGCGGGTGTGCCAACTGAAAACTACCACAGGATGGCAGTATTTAAAAACAATCAGTTAGTTGGGATGTTCTGTTTGCTTTGCTGTACTATGAAAACAGGTGTGGGTTGACCATAGGGATGTGGGAGGAATCTGCTTTGGAGGTGGGAACCACTGAATTCCATGGGCTCAGCTTCCATGATTCCACCCCCGCCCCTTTGACATGATCATGAATCCAATTTCCTGATACTCGCATCCTGCATACATGTGGTGCTTGCCAGGAATGAAGCCCTGTGTTAATGCTGTTCAAGCCATGGCCCTTTTCTGCACCATGTGCATCAGCCTTTGTGTCGCTGCAGTAGACACAGAAGGTTGCCATTTGTGCAACTTCCATTCCACAAGCATCCGTGGACTTGTTCTCTGCCCATCTCACTTTCCAGAACAGGACTAAGTGCAAGAGGAAGTCTGCAAATGCTAGAAGGGTGGATTCTACATGGCCTCAAAGCATCTTTCGTTGACAAGTTCATGGAGGACAAAGCCATCAATGGCTACTAGTTATGATGGCTGCATGATACCTCTAAAATCAGAGTCAGTATGCCTATTTATACCATTTGCTGTAGAACAAGAACAAGAGGGTGGTACTGAAGTCATGTCTGGCTTGTCAGCTTTCCATTAGGCAACAGGTTGGCCACTGGGAAACAGAAGATTCGACTAGATTAACCTTTGGTCTACTCACACTGCCCTTCTTGTGTTCTTGTCTTCAGTCTTACGTTGTCCACATTTTTCAATAAAATCCCCATAGTACACTGGTGTATTTTTAATTTACAAAGTATAGATCCCTTAGGTTAGGGTGAAAAACACACAGGCCATGAGCTGCATGACCCTTCCACCCTTTGTGTCCATTCTATTATAATTAAGAAACCCCTTCTGTAAAAGTTGAGGTTTGCCCTCAGAACAGCTTCAGAGGCTTCACGTGAGCAAATGTAGTGGTAGGAGGAGGGGGAATATACCTGGCAGCAGGTTGAGTGGGAGAATTTACCCCCAGACTACCTGCCATAGCCACTCCTGCCTAAAGATCCTGTTGAGTTGTGTTAAATGAGCTTTTGTTCTTGCTAAGAACTTAAGATGGGCCATGCTTGATAAAATCACACAGATCCCGGCAACCAGCACATGTGCTAAATGGTGAACCTTTAGGAAATAGATAGTGAATATGCACTTGTTTCTAATTTGTTGCCCACAGACTGCTCTTTCTTCAGGGTTGAATGAATATCCCATTTTGCTGACCTAGCAACCACCTACTTCCTTCAACCTCCATTTCACTCAATAAGTCTGAGAGCATGAGTGTTTATCAGCAGATGACTAGAACAAAGCATAATGAGTGCATTTGCATGACACAAGAAGCCACACTGGTTTTCTTTCGGTATTTCAGCATGATATGCTTGGTTTGTAGAAACCACAATAAGAAAAAATGGTCTGCTCTTTGGTTCTGATGCTTCACCATGGTTTCTTTGATTGTCCAAACCTGGCATCATGCCTTATTTGTGGTATTAAGAATGTGGCCCTCAAGCTTAAGCTCATGCTGTGCAAAATGCTTTGGGTTATGGAGAATGCAAGGGCATCTTCAAGAGGACAGTCTCCAGGGGGCAGTAGTTTATGTTCAGGCTAGAACAAGGCTTATTCCATTTCCAACCCTTTACTCATACATATTTTGGAAGGAAAAAAATGCCACTATGTTGAGCTGGACCTGCCACTAGGGGCATCACATTTGTGTATAGGGGCACTCCAAGTCTTATTTCCTGAGTCATCAGTCTTTCGGTATTCATTAGTGCTGGGTCCTCATGTCTGAAAGTGCCATTTTGCACTAGAGCAGGGGTCCTCAAACTTTTTCAACAGGGGGCTAGTTGAAAGGCAGCAGTGGCAGCAGCAGGCGCGCGCATGGTGAGGCAGCAGCTTGTTCACTGAGAGATCGTTTTCTCCGAGCGAGTCCAAAACCTCTGAGGTGGGCTGGATAAATGGGCATGGTGGGCCGCATCTGGCCCATGGGTCATAGTTTGAGGACCCATGCACTAGAAGTACATGATTTGGGGTGACCCAAGGCTCATGTCAAGATGAATAGCATTGAGTTCCTCATTTGTATATGGATGTTTCAGGTATAGAAATGCCTTGCACAAAAAAAGAATTTTGAGCAGGCCACAGCAGTAAAGCATCTCATAAGGGACAGCTTTCCAGGAGCAGGGGTATCACATAGAGTCCTCTCTAGTTCCTTACTCATCCTGCTTCTGTAGCTCTGTGTTGAAGGAGGTAATAGGAATCAAGAGCCACTTTCAACCTTAGGTCTAGTAATGGGCCCTTCCCTTTTCTGATATATGAAGATGAGTGCAGCTTTGCTATAAAAGAAATAATATCCTTTAACATTTTATTTTAATTTTTAGGAACTGGAAGAAGATTGCCTCCAAAAAATTGCAGCTGAAATGAATCTTTCAGAAACTGCATTCATCAGAAAACTGCATCCTACTGATGATTTTACTGAAAGTAAGATTCTTCAGCTTAGCCTTCCACAAACTGGTGCTCTCAGATGTTTTAGACTTAGCATTCCTGAAGATTAACCATGTGGGCTGGAGCTCTCTGCCTGGCTTCCAGTCTGTCTCTGGGTCCAATTCAAAGTTCTGCCATTAACTTTAATGTCCTAAATACCTGGAGCAGGTTACTTGAATGGCTTCATTCAACTCTTCCATATATGCCTATGTTGGGGAAATTCAGATAAATCCTGGTAAAAAGTTGTTTATATGTGCCTTTGTGTTATAAAATCAAACCTGCAACATCTCTGCACCTCTTTCTCAGAAAGTACCAGAATTCCATGGCAGGCTTCTGTTTAGTGTTATTTTCAAAACTGTTCCTTTAAAAGATGGCTACTACCTTTGGTTGGAAAAAGCCTTTGCAGAATGGGCTCTCAGTACGCCTTGCTATTCTTGGGCTGACAGCAAACAAAACTGATAAGGCTGCCAGACAAGTTTTTCTAGCAGTATTGCAATCACCCTTATTTGCATGGCAAGACACACAATAATCCCTGTGCCTCAGTGATTGTTATGTTAATTTTTTGTAATCAATGCATTTGTATTGAGCCAGATCTCTCACATTCTTTTGACTGTGTTCCCCTTATTTTGTCATCACCTGCTCTGCTGCCTTGATTCAGAATCTATAAAACACTCTGTATATGGCCTAAAAGCCTGTAGTTGGCTGTGAGGACCAGTACCTCACCAATAAAAATGCTTGGGTTCAAGGCAATTCAATCTTCTCTATGAGTCAAGGTGTTTATTCCTGCCATTGCTAAAGAGACTCTGACACCTGTCTGGACTGTAGAGTCATATTCAGAGGTTCTTTTCTGGCTTCCTCACATACTTACTGAAGTTTTACCACCTTTTTCCAGTTAAAACATTCTTTTTGCTTTCTACTTGGATTAATTTTCCTATCTGGATTCTTCTTGGGCTTCTTAAATATATTTTAATCTATACCTGGCTCCACAAACTTGTTCTTTATATCTTTCATTGGGCTAGGTAATTATTATTTTTGATTTATATTATAATTATTTTAGCTTAGTGTTGTAAGCCGCCCCGAGGCTTCAGCGAATGGGGCGGCATAAAAATGTTTTAATAAAATAAATTATTTGCGGGGTGTGTGTGTGTGTAAGGGATTGGTAAAGGATTATTCCTTTTTTGGGTAAGAGGGGTAAAGGATTGGGCTATACTGATATATAACTGAAGGCTTCAAGCATGGTTTTAACTAGCTTGGACTAGTTGAAGTTTAAGTGGAGCAAAATAACAATTCAAAATGTTTCTAGTTAGATCTACTATAACTTTTGCATATCATAGTTACTACATTTGCTGCTCTAGTACAGTTTTCCAAGTCCCCAGCAAGGATTAATCTGTGGATTACTTTGCATGGTGTAACATAAGTATGATTCATGAGTACAGATGTATTTTCTCTATAAGCACAGACGTTTCACATTTTATGTCTATGTTTTATTTGACAACTTCTGCATGTGATATTCTTTTGTATCTACTTTTCTCTGCAATCTATTAATTTCTTAGGACTTCCAGACTAGCATATTTTCATTTGCTTAATTCATTATAAGGGCATTCACTGTTTTCCTGCTTCAGTTTTAAAAATTATTTTCAAACATAATGAATTTTAAAATAGACTTAAGTCAGCTCTGTTTACATTCTTACCAGTTGGAACCAGATCAAGACCTCATTTTCAGGCAACAGAGAAGTATTGCAAACAACTACACTAAAATGAAGTGACATAAAGTGGACAGTTACACTGGTATAAAACCAGTTAAAGTCTATTTGTAATATAAACGAGGCCTGAGCTGCACCATCCTTTTCCACTTTTTTTGTTTTGTAATAGCCTGTTCATTCAGGGGGCATACATGGCCATTGCTCTCATGCCAAGCAATCATAAAAAGAAGCACAAGAACTTTTCTAAGGAAGATAAATCAATAGTTTATAATTAGACTAGTATTTTAGTAACTTACCAAAACCATAAGCCTTAGTATTTCCTTTTGTAAGGAACTCACCTATAGTAGAACCATGTGAAAATTCTTAAGATGCTTCACAATTATTAATATTTTAATATATTTGTCACCATTTGTCATATGAAACAGAAGCACTGGTTCAGTCTCATTGAAGAGTAGCATATACATTCTTTATGGAGGCAATCCTATACACAGTTACCTTGGCCTAAGATGCATTGAACTCAGTGGGGCTTACTTCTAAGTAAACACTTATAGGCTTGTACTGTGAATAACTAAATAGAATAGATTTTTTTTCCAACAAGGACATACCAATCAAGTAGTTTTCTGGGTGAGGGCCCTGCTTGACAGTATATGCTGCACTCATTGCTGAGACACAGTCTAAACATGTGGGAGAAGTATACGTTTTGAAATGGTAGACTGCAGCATATCACAGTATATCACATAAGACTGCAAGTCGAGAGAATACCCTAAGCAAGCACTGAAACGAGCAGAAACACTCATTTCTGGATTCAGACAGGTTGGCGGAGCTTCCCTATGTGAGCTGTGCCCACCTTCCTGTCTGAAGTGAGTGTTCCTACTTCTTTGCCCTTCCTAGAGGAAGCACTAAATCCTCACTGAGCAAGTTGCAGGTGCAGCTTGCAGAATGGAAGAGGAGATGATCCCATGTGCAGTGACTAACTTGGATACTACCAGAATTGTTGCAGAGCAAGGAGTGAACTAAGTTAGAAATTTTCTCCAGGATGTACCAGCCCTTTTCTTACAGAGGAATTTAATATTTTGTTTAATTGAAAGAAGCATTCAAATGGCATCTCCTGCCAGTTGTGCAGCCCATCCTACTACCTCAGGATTGTGCCACCTCATTCTGTTGGTATGGGCAGACCAGACCATAATTCTATCCCATTCAGTACTTATCTACATAATGTTTCATCTGTAAGAGCATCCATTACCAAATCGATGATGCGTGCAGTTTTTCCTAGAGTGATTGTCCTGATCCATATTCTCAAATACCTACTATATACAGTCCCCTCACCCTTTAGTTACCCATCTTAAAATAAATCTCATGGTCCAGGGAATATTTCAGTGAGATGGGTGTTATCTTGCTCAGGCAAGAAAGAAAACTGCAGCTGGAAGAGACTGTCAAGCAGTAACGTTATGAAAGGACAAGCGACTGTCCGGAAATCGGCCTGGCCGAAGCTAATATGACATAGCAACAAAGGGACTTGTGTGCGTTACTTGTGAGACTGACTCCTGTATTTTCTTTCTTAGGTTCCTGTTTTGGATTAAGGTGGTTTACGCCAACGAATGAGGTCCCCCTCTGTGGTCATGCCACCCTCGCCTCTGCTGCTGTGTTATTCCAAAACAAGAGTAATTAACTTTTAGCTATCAAGTATATGATGCTTTGAGTACTTTAAAACAACATCACAATTATGTGTTTCTGATTTTAAAAAACAGAAAATGCGAATTTTACTCTCACCTTCCTAACTCTGAGTGGAGAATTGAATGCCAGGCAAGCAAGTGATCATATTATTCTGGACTTTCCACTTTACTCCACTTATCCACAGGTTAGATTTAAATGGAAACATCCTCCCCCGCCCAACAATTCCCAACATTTTTTCCAAAAGAAGAGTGGAAAAGCATACATTGTTTACATATTTCTTTTTTATCTAGGAACTTCAGGAAGTGGAAGAGTTAGTACAGGTAATTTATAGAGTATTCATATTATATTGGATAAATAATGTTATAGTCTGTTCTGCATTGGATTTGATTTTGTAATTAACCCTTTGTGCCAGATGTTTTATGCAAACAAGGCTACTTTTCCTGTGTTATGCTGGCCTAGATATAATTTCATCATGTCTTCCTTATGTCCTCACTATCCCAGATTAGGCATAAAAAACCTGGTGCCCTCCAGATGTTTTGGATTACAGGTCCCATAATCCCTTACCAGCATAGGCAGTGGTCAAAGATTGGGGAGTTTAAATCAAATGGCAGTCTCCAAGTTGCCTGTCCTTCGGTTATTCAAGTACAATGTCAGTGTCTGACAATGTATTTCATGAAATCACGGACAGATTTTATTCAAGGTGCCACTATGTCACATTAGCAACTCTATCCAAACTATGAAACCGTTCATTTAATTTAGCAGAGAACACTAGGTGAGAAGTGGCCAGACTTCCAATCCTCATTTAGCTACCATGATTATTGGATGACCTTGGGTCAGTCATCCTTCCATCTAACCTGCCACATAAGGTTGTTGTAGGGGTAAACTGAGATCAGCCCCTATAACCTGCCCATGTGCATATGGAGGGAGAATGGGATGTGGATGTGATCAAATGGGTTCAATCAATAGTAGGTTTATGGGGATTTTGTAGGTAATGTTACGGAATCAGCTCCATAAATAGGGTTGTTAGCATGTAGAAGAAGCTGAAAGAAGATATTGCTTCTCTTTGCAAAACCACGTTCTTTTGTGAAATAGTCAGCATTCTCTGTACTTAAGAGCAGCTCCTTCACATGTTCTAAAGTTCAGATAATCTAAACCAGGTTTCCCCTACCAGATGCGTTTGACTATACATCCCATCATCTCTGGATGGCATGGTCAATAGGAATTGAAGTCGAACTCATCTGGAGGGGCAGGGTTGGGAAAAGTTGATCTAAACAAACGTGGACTCTGAGACAGGAAGTCCATGGAGGGTGCATTTTCCCCCTGTGTTTATTTGGACCAGATGAAGCTGAGCCATGCTTCATTGTTGCCTTGCAGGGGCATGTGAGCGTTCTCTAAATATGAATCATATGCATCATTCTACAAAGAGAGTGATCATCTGGCTGAGCTAGTCTTGTTCCCACCTATTTGCCTAGAATTCCTCACACTAGGCTTAGTCCCATTAATCTCAATGGAAATTTTCTGAAAGTGTGACTCCTGATGCTTCTAGGCAGGGGTATCTCAATCCTGCCAATCCTTGATCTTCCTCTGTAAGCAACAAGCAGAATTCTCTTTGCTTTGTGGAGTCTGTGTTTCTGAATCTGTTTTTCCATATTGGTGTGCTCTGCCCACCCACACTGTGGGCAGAACAAAAAGCTGTTCTCCGTGAAATATTTATTGTGCTGTTCAGATCCCTCACTCACAGAAGTTTGCATTCCTTTCCACCACATTGTCATCTTGCCAGGTTCTTTCTTATGTTTCCCAGCCATTTTCACAGCTTTTTCAGAGTGGGGATAATGCTGTTGTTTCCTGGATTGTACCATGATTGTTTCCAGGGGCCTAGTATGAAGTCTAAACTTTGTACCACAGTTCCACCTTTAGTCTATAGCAATTTAGGACATGCTAACACATTTTTAAAAGTTAGCTCCCTTCCTTAATGTATCTACTGTGCTTTTCCTGTGTCTCACTGACGTTCACGTATTGCACTGTGTCCTTACTAGAAACAGAATGTTATCGGAATGGTCCCTGAAAAGGTTAAATTGTAAGGCAATGTAATGAACAATAGGTCTTTGCATGTTATTTTGTTGCAAGTGTACATTTCAATACAAGAACAATCATTTTAAGTGTAAAGTATTATAATATTTTTATCACCAGGCAGCAGTTGGCGATTTGAATGTTCAAGATGTCCGCTATTCTCCTGAGACAAGAAAACTCCTTGTCTGTCTCAGTGATGTCTATGAAAGGTATATGTATTTGGTTACAAGTTTTGTTAGGTGGTTTTATATATATATGGTGATTCCCACTCTGTAGTTTGGTGCCTTTGTCTGCTAGACTGACATTGAGGAACCAGTAGAAATGAGACTTGCTTCTGGATTCTCTTGTTTGGTTTAGCTGTTTCATTCTCCCATGCCATAGTTTATAGGGCTACCTTTTTTAACTTCATTTTCTTTAGGATTGTTTTGGAATGATTTCACAAATAATGTTATACATGGTTACCTTTGTTAGCTGTTAGATAACATCATCTTGTTCTGTTCAAGTTTCGTATAATTCTTGGAAAACAAAATTTGTCTCTCTATGAGTTTGAGCTTAATGTAGAAGGAACAGTAGCTGATGACAAAGATTCATGTGGCTCAATTTTCCTACAATCTGGAAAGACTGTTTTATTTTTCAGGCCTTTGCTTTACGGTGGATCTTGTCACACTAGCTGCTGTTGCTATGGCTTCTTTTGCTGTGATTGTGAATACTGTGCATTTGTTATTTCTGATGTTTTTGATTGCAGTTGCTTTTATTCTTTGAAGACTTTTGGGTGGAAATGTGGCCTAGCAAGAAAAATAGACATAAATAAAATGATGGTCAGATTTAGGTCCTTTGCTATTTTTTGGTCTGTCAATGTTGTTTTTAATATGTTTTTAGTTTTTTATATTGTTTCTGATGTTTGCTCTGGTTTTATTCTGTTTAAAGCTCTTCATAGACTTTGCATTCTGTTTTACCATGTGAACAACCAAGCGAGCTTTGGCTGTTGTGCAGCATGGAAATGCAGTAGATAAATAAAATTATGTTCTATCATAAGCAAGAAGGTTTTGGATGATTTCTAGCAACTGGCCTTCATCCTTTTCCTACAAGTGTACTGCTTTGAGTACAATAATCTCCATACAGAATATGCCAGTACTGGGGGTTTGGTCTTAAAGCAATCTGTTCCTGTTACTATTCATATAATGTGATGGTGATAATTTTATTTATTTATTTATTTATTTATTTATTTATTTATTAAAACATTTCTATGCTGCCCCTACTATACTAATAATATTATCCAGATCTGCAGTACACATTTTTGTTCTTATTGCCATTTTTTCACTGGCAATAACAACTCCTTAAACAACAATAATAACAAATCCTTAATTGTTAATGCTTAATCTCAAGGTCTGATTTAGAGAAAATAAAAGTGAATGCCCAAGAACTTTTGTCTGCTGAGAAGACTGGAAAAGTGAAAGGATTAATAGTCACGCTTAAGGGTGATTTTCATAGAAAACATGAAGGCCATGATTTCTACTCCCGCTACTTTGCACCATGGAATGGAATTTCAGAAGATCCAGTCACAGGTGTGTTTGCATGTGAACATGGCACTCCCAGTTTTATTAAATGCAGATTAATCGTTCCTGTTGGATGCTTTGTTGTTACAATATTCGAAAAGAATAGCCAGGTTCATCTTTTGCACATTGCAAAAGCAATAGAGCCTTATGCCACCCTAAAGCCTAACAAATGTATTGCAAAGCAAGCTTCACGGGCAACACACAATTGCTGAAGCAGGCTTTTGCCTCTGAAAGCTTATCCCACAATCAGTGTTTTCATCTCCAAGGTGTTGCAAAGTTTTCCTGTCATTTGTGACATGAATTTTGATGATAAGAATTTTTAAAAATGCGTTGGTAAGTATGCATGTATGGGTATCTAGAAATTTTTAAATGGATCCCATGAAACTGACAATAAAAGGGCAGTATATCTTATATTTTTGAGAGCCCTACTTGCAAAATGTCATTATAGTTTTAACGTTTGGTTAAGACAAATAAACAAAAACGACCAACAAATCCAAATAAACCAAAAGTAACACAAATATAAAACAATTTTGATTATAACCTCATAATTTGGGGCCTAAAGTATGATTTTGCACAAACATGATCTGATAAAATATGCTCCTTGAAGAATTCTAATTCCCCAGCATTCCCTCATACTCCAGCATGACCAAGGAATGGATCCCAGGGTGGGGGTATGTGGATAAAGAGCTGAGGCTGTGCTAGCAGGAGCGGTCTTGCTGTCACCAGAGGCAGGGAACAAGCTTAATGACTACCCAGTGATCTTGACTACACAGTTTGATTTTTTCTCTCTCTCTCTCCACATAAGGGAATTCCTGCACTTGGGGGTGACACTGCAGGGCAGAATTTGAAAAACCACCTCTCCATTGTTAACCTTGGGTGGCTTAGTTTTGCTACCAGGGATTACACATGGGAGGTAATGCAGAGTGCATTGATATGCACTGACCCCCCCCCCCGGGGTCTTTGCAATAGACTTGCCCTCACTCCTCATGCATGTCATCATCCACTGACAACTGCTTTGCTAATGGGAATAATAATTCCACTGTGGTATGATAGACTGTTGGATAGGGAACCTGGGAGATCGGGTTTCTAGGTCCCACTCAGCCATGGAGCTCACTGGGTGACTTTGGGCCAGTCACACACTCTCAGCCTGATCTACTTCACAGGGTTGTTTTTGTGAGGATGAAATGCAGCTGTGTAACCTGCCTTGAATGCCTCATGGGGTGGGGGCGGGGAAGCAGGATATAAATGCAATGTAATATAACAGTATGCATAACTTTTATCTGTCATTACGCCATTTTAATATATATTATATGTTTAGTTTTATGCCTTCTTTTTTAATTTTATTATTATTTTATTGGTTGATTTTATATTATAATTGCTATAAATGAATTGCATTGTTAGTTGTTTTTAAAATTTTATTTACTATGTTGCAAGCCGCCCAGAGAGCCTATGGCTAATGGGGCAGTGTACAAGTTAAATAAGTTAAATAAACAAAGAAACAAACAGATAAGTAAAGTAGTAATAATTCTGGCTATATAATGCTATATAAATGTTTATTTGAATAGTACCCAGCTGTACCCAGATGCTAGTGCTGATGATCCTGATATATGCAACACAACTAGCACTTTCTAGAGCAGTGGGACTGTTGGTGATTTGCCACCATGGCACATAGCACTGGGACACAACTGGACATGGCTTGTTGTTGTTGTTGTCGTCGTCATCGTCATCATCATCATCATTTTATTATTTCTACTTATTGCTACTTTATCTTTCCATTTTCTTCAAGGATCTGCTCATACTGTCTTAAGTAGTTATTGGTCACAAAAACTGGGGAAGACGGACCTGTGTGGTAAGCATCCGTATTCTCTTATCAGGGCATCATTTATAGGTTTTAAAACAGCTGTGAACATTAATCAAGGACTGTATATCAGTGAACCCTTAATTAGGTAACAGTGCCTCCTCCTATGTGACAAGAAGGCTGAAGGCAAACAAGGACTCTGGGCTGTTCATGGCCAGGGTAATGCAGAAGCCGCATAGCTGCCTCAGCTGCCTCCTCCCTTGCCACATGGAATTCACTTCCACAGGGCATGGTGACAGTCACCAGCTGGACAGCTTTAAAAGGGGCTGGACAAATTCACAGAAGATAAAGCCATCCAGGCCAGCTGCAGCATCAGAGCAGCCCGCTTATGCACACCAGCTGCAGGGGAACATGGGCAGGAAGGTATCGCTGCACTCATGTCTTCCTGGTTGCTTTCCCATCCCAGGTAGCTGGCTAGCCACTGTGTGGACACCATGTTAGACTAGGCAGACCTTGCTCTGATACAGCACGGCTCTCCTTAGGTTTTAAAAATTTGATTAACTTGTTTCACAGAAAATGAAGTTTAAAAATAGCTTGTCTTTCCAGTAGTATTTATTATGAAATTACTGTGGCTTTCCTTCTAAAACTGAGAACCACTGGCAAATGAAATGGTTGGTAGTCACTTCACATCAGTCTCTTTGTTTAGCATTTCAGTGTTCTGCTCGTGGAGGGAGGTTGGATATTTCACTCCGGCATGATGGAAGAGTCGATATTTGTGGACAAACACACATTGTGTTAAAAGGCTCTTTGAGCATTTGATGAAATAAATAAAACTCCCCACTGTTATAAATTTCTATTTGTTCTGATTGCTGTTGACGTGGATATGTATTTCCCTTAGAAGACTACTGCTGCTTAATTTCAAGGACAAAATATACACATTTACAGTACAGCCCTACAGGTTGCTCACTGAGTGGTCACAGGCCTCTTAATTCAGAGCATCCTATGCAGAGCGGAAAGCAAAGCAGAGGTGATCCCCAGCTCTCCATTCCTCCCACTTTGCTCCTTGGCTTTTCAGCCATTTTCAGCTAGCTGAATAGCTGGGTGCTTGGGGTGGGAGGGAAGGAGGTTGTAGAACTCCCATGCAGCTGCTTGGGGTAGGTACAGATAGCTTGAAGTGCCTGATCTTGCCTAATCTTGGAAGCTAGACAGGGTGAGGCCTGGGGGAAATCTGGACGTGTGACTTAAATGTTGTGAACTGCCCAGGGAGCTTCAGCTATAGGCAGTACAGAAATGTAGTAACAGCAACAACAATTACTGCTAACCACTGTTTAAAATAAAACACACGGGAGTAAAGCAAAACCGATTAAATTTATCTCATGCCAGCTTAATCCTAATCTAAATATGCAAGTTTGATAGTTATTTGGGGAAATATGTATTGGTTTGAAACTTGATGAGCATCAGTGGAAAGGGAGGTTCACCATTTGCTTTGAATGTTGAAGTCAAGGTCAGCCTCAGTACACTGAGTTCTTGGACACATGCCTGGATCGGGGGCTTCAGCAAAGCTCACCCCCAGTGACAACAGGCCTGTCTGAGCTCCCTTTTAAATGTACCCCCCCTCCCCACGACCCCAGTCCCGTGCAGCTGGGTTTAATTAACGCCAGCAAATTTCCCTATGGTGTAATGCCACACTTTCCCCAAGGCTCTGTCTGTTTCAAACAGCTAAACATGCATCACTTAGACCTATCCAGCTTTCTTCTAACATAATACTGCCTCCCCCAAAGTCAGCCTACACTGAACATTTTTACACTACTTCAAAATTAATTCTGATAATGGCATGGCAAATACCTAAAAGTGGATGAGTATTATTCCATATTTGTGATGGTACAAGTAGGAGCTGATAACACAAAACTACTTCCCAGGTGCTTGCGAAGATATTGCCCACACAATTTATAGTTTTTAACCCAATAAAGGCACACTGGGCAACTAGGGTGACTACTTATGAGCAACCAAAAAAGAGAGTACCAACATAACAAAAAATGCACATGCTAATTTCTGTGCATACATGCAAATATAGAAACAGTGATTACAATTTTAAATAGAAATATACTGTGGAAGACTGTGACTAGGTGACCTGTGGACCTGTTCGCTCAGACTACTCGCCAGGCGCTGCTGATGGGCAACTTCAAATTTCTTGATCTTTAGATGGGACTCAGTTTGGCCAACCCCTCAATTAGAGGATGCCTCCAAAGTAGAGGAAAGTCCTCTGGCAGCCCTTCAAAGAGAGCACTGTCATCTATAAAAGAGGACACATGGCATCAAACGGACAATGCCAGAGAGAGGCTTGTGCTTGTGGTAGTTATACCTCTTTGGCAGGACCCATCCCACCATGGGGCAGGTTGAGGTAGTAGCCTCCGATAGCTGATCTTGGGTTCATGAAAGGACAAAAAGTGGTAAAGCGATTTAGCATTGTTTCTGCCTGGGAATGAGGGAGAAGCTTGTTGGATTTTCTACCTTGGCGGCAGAAATAACTTGGCTGACCTCACTCTGCCTAAGGCAGTAAAGTGTCTTTGGCCACCAAAGCTATTTGGGTAAGCCAACAGAAAACTGGATTTGAAGGTTTTAGGGTCATATCCAGCATGGTCTTTTAAGTAAGTTAGAAGACATTGTGATCCTTGGTCTGGCTGGGCTTGAGAACAAACTGATACTCAGGGGAGGGCAGCTATCCCAGGATGAGATGCTAAAAGAGTGTCTCTTAACAGGTAACCTGGCCATTATTTTTTCCACACTGGCTGATCTGTAGGAGGCAACACTGCTAGAACACTAGTAGTAAACAGTCACAGTTGGCTTGTCCAGGAACTGCCTGTGGACAATAATTTGCCTATGTAAAATGCTTGTAGGTCTCCTGTAGGGGCATTAAGGAGGCAATTACTGTTCACCTGTCCAGATTTAACAAATAGACAATACAGTTTTCTTTCCTGGGGGAATATAATCATCAAGTCTAATAACTTAAAACCACTTCCTAACTAAATCTTCCTGACTAAACCAGTATACTTGCTGCTTAATGCAGATTTCTTTCTTCCTTGTTTTTGTTTGTTTGGTTGGTTTTGGGGTATAATTTATTTTTTCTTTGTCTCCATTTCTGTTTAGTGTGGATGGGGACAGGGACAGGGAGAGTCGGTGCTCAGGTGGGAGTCTGAGCTCTAAATGTGTTTGTAATCAACAGATTAGTTAATCAGCCATGATTTATTAATGATGAATTAATTATCCCTGATTTTGCATTTCTGCTGGCTAAATGGAGCTTTAAAGAGGTTATTTTATTAATCATCGTGGTGCTAATTGCAGACACTTACAGAAGGACTGCTAATTAAACATGCAACCGTGTGCAGAACAAGGCTACGGCTGCTGAGAGTGGCAAGAATAGAAGCCCTTGTTTCCTTAGCAGTGAAACTTTATTCCCCATGAAATATTACTGTGTTGACCCAACCATGCTAATTAATTGCCAAGAGCTGTTTTAATACATTACAGGATTTTCTGTCAGCATTTTTCTTAAAGTTGATATCCACAGGCTCAAACAGAACGTGTTTAGTCTGCCTTTGGCAAGGGAGACATCAGGGTCACCAGTGGTCACAACCCCCCAAATAAAGGGAGAAGAGCTTTTGTGGCTTATTATATTGTTCCATGTATTGACAATTTGGTGGTTCATCATTTCGCACACCACTAAAAACCATTGTAAAAGAGCTGCAGCAAAAAGAGAAAGTTACTTCCAAAGCTAGAGTTCCTCATATGAACACACATTTACACATGTAATGACCTGGTTCCTGGCAAACACCGATTTAATATTTTATTTATTTATTTATTATATTTCTATTCCACCTTCTTCTGCCTGGGTGGCATTGGGCAGACCCAGACCTCCTTAGTGTCAAGATGGTGATTGTCCATGGTCTGAAGGCATTGTACATTTAGACTGTATCCTGGGACCATAAGTTAATTAATGAAAGGTTAGTCAAGAGCAAGGGAGTATGTTGTCATGTGACACTTTGTGGCTTCCACTTTGTTTTCTGTTTATAAAACAACCCAGGGTTTGTTTGTTTTTTTTACAGTTTAGGGTTGTTTTATGCGTCATCCCAATTTGGAACTCTGGGTTGCTGAGTGACAAAGAATCCAAATGGTGAATCCATGGTTTGTTAAAACTCCAGGCTGTTTGTCTCTCAAGAACTCAAGAGTTTTTGGTTTGAAATAGGTTTGAACCCAGAATTGATCCTACGTTATTTTGAGAAATAGGACAGAAACAGGAAGCATGTTTGGATCTCCTTAGTATGTGGATGGAAAACTCCCTGGGAACACATGGGATGCTGCCTTGACTCCCATGATGGAAGAAAGGCAGGGTAGCAATATGCTGAATAAATAATGCATAAACAAATTCTATCCAGCATGTAAGAAGGCAGAGGGACAGTCATACATGCACAGAATTCAATGTCTAATATTAACATAAACTTACTATCAGTGTTAGTATGAGAGATAACCATTGAAAGATATTAATTTTTTAAAAAATAATGCACTGGATCAACTCCTAAGTCATCATTTTGAAGTTTGTCTGAGTCCAGATGGGAGGACATATATCAGGAATGGGATATTGGAGGGAGGGGAATTTACAACTTCCTGTAAAGTACCATTTTGCTATATCAAGGGTAGATTGTAAAGAGCCGTTCTGTTACTCCAGACCATAAGCCAAATCTGGCCCTTCTGTGGTCCCATTCCTGTCTTCTACTTTCCCCAGATGTGTATGTCCCCTTTTCTTGACCATTTGGAGGTTTTCAAGCTTTTGCACTTTTTTCTCCATTCAGAAGGTTGAAATGCCTCTCCTGTAAGGATTTTTGGTAGCATCAAGAGCTTTAAGGTAAACTATGTTGGTCTTTATACATTTCAGCTCCATCCCCTTTACTTTTAGACCAACCCATCACTGGGATGAAGCCCTCAGAGATTCTCCAAAATTGAATGTAGCCTTCAGGCTGAAAGAGGTTGTCTGCCCGTGTATTATGGCCTGCGTTTGTTGTAATTTGCCATTCAAATCTGGGAACAAAATAAAAATTCTTTCAAGAAGCAGAACATATAATGCTGATGGAGATGCAAAACAAGCAGGTAAAACATTATCTCGGGAAACATATATTCTGAAGTTCACATTGGCCTAGGGTAACACATATGCAGGTGGTGAGAATGTAGGGGAAATCTGGCAGGCAAGCCGGCTGAAGAAGGACCTGAACTTTTCCCACACCCATTAATTGGCTCCCGCAAATGCTCTCTTCCAATTCAATTTTCCTTCTGTTGCCAGGCTTACTTTCCATCTCAAAGTCTGCCAGGAGAAATAAGCCTAAAATAGTGGGAAGGTCATTTGCAAAGGAAAATTGATGAGAAAGGTTGAGAAAGTATATTTTTGTCCTTCTTGTGATAAGAAAAAAGTGTTAGGAAAGACTATCAAGCATAGTGAAAAAGCCAGTATTTTGCATACGAAACACTTTGTATATTTGACATGTGGAAGTCAGTGTACAGGACTAGTTAAACAAAACTGGGAGGAGGAAAAATGATGTCTAATCTAGTAACAGTAATTGTCCATGATGGAAAGAAACCCATGCAAAGAAACTCTGATCTCCACACAGCGAGAGGTCATTGATAGACTGTGTATCCAGAAGGGATGGGGTAGAACGCTTTGTGACAGCTGAAGCAAATGTTGCTGAGAAACTGGTCAATTTCTTTGTCTCACAGTTCCAAGGAAGCATATGCTATAAAGACAACTTTCTCAGAGACAAAAAGGAAAGAAAAAAGATTAATGAAAATTAAGTGTGACACCAAAACAGGC